ACAAACATTTGATCTTACTGTAAGATTTGTCTTTTGTAAAATTTGAGATTAGTAGGAGAAACTGCTCCAAATCTTAGTTTAAATCCATTTAGGATGCAACCAACAATGATGATTGAATGATATGCTTTTCTTATACATGTTTTTTTATAGAGATGAATACATTTGCCTATCCCATCTACTAGTTCTAATAGTATACTTTTAGGTTCTCATGCTTTTAGGTTTTTCAAAAAGTTCTCCTGAGATGATTTCTTTTCAAAAAGTGAAAGTGAAAGTATGCAAATAGTAGTGGTGCATCCTATTATTAAAGGGAAAACAATAACTTATTGACATTTCCCTGAATCTAAAAAGTTCATAATTGTCCCTTCGAGAACATATGATTAAGAAAAGAAAAAAAAAAGGTTCATTACTTGTTTTAATATATGTATCATGACGAAAATTTAAGGTTCATAATTTTGAAGTCCACTCTAGTTTTAGACATCAGAAATATACTGCAGGATTTAAGACAGAAGACATTTGTTTGGTCTAAATAATGTTCATTTTACATAAAATAGCATGATTAAGTTTGTTTTGGTGGATTAGAAGATTTGATTTATAAAAAGATATTAGAGATGTATAAAGGAGTTGAAACCTTGGTCATGCCTAAGTGCAGACGAGTGTGCAGAGGTCTTGTGTCCTGGCTTGTGAGATATTGGTGAAAGGAAATATCCGGAACTTTCCATTGGCCATGCACGTTAGTGTTAGCTGAGCATCACTCACCATTGCCTGTCAAATTCACATATAGTTTTTACAATGTTGTAATCACTAATCTAACTATGATTTGCATATTTAAAGACTCAGATTCTAGAATCGTTACTTGCTTAGAAATGAGTGAATAGTAATTTTGATTTCTGATATAGTTTCTTGAATTCTTATTTTTTTCAGGAGGATTTGGTTCGTATTTGATAGCTATGGATGATAGGACATATAAGCTCATTGGTTCTGATTATCCTGGGAACAATCCTGAAGATGTTATAAATCCTGGATTGTGGTGGATGACTGGGTTTTTATTAGTAGTTAGCTTCCTCGGTCTCTTCAGTCTCGTTCCACTTCGTAAGGTAGCATCTCACTACCGAAATCAAAAACTGTCTAAGAAACCAATAATCCAAGAGAACGCTATTGTTTGATCTCTTGATCCCTTATTCAATAGTGGGTTTCAGGTGATGATTTTGGACTACAAGCTTACATATCCCAGTGGAACCGCTACAGCGATGTTGATTAACAGTTTCCACAACAACACTGGAGCTGAGCTTGCAGGGTAATTGTCAGAGATTCATCTTTTCAATCTCACCTCCCTGCAAACGATAGCTTGAGCTGAGTTTCATTAAATATTTATCTCCAATATTATTCACTTCAGAAACCAAGTTAAATGTCTTGGGAAATACCTGAGCCTTAGCTTATTTTGGAGTTGCTTCAAGTGGTTCTTCAGTGGTTTTGGAGATGCATGTGGGTTTGATCACTTTCCCACACTTGGTTTGACGCTGTTCAAGAACACGTAAGTTAACCAATTTGGTACAGTTTAACAATAATCTATTGTAAATGAGAATGTTTTAACATGTGGATCGAATTGGTAACGAGTCATGATTTTCGGCTGCGCAGGTTTTACTTTGATTTCAGTCCTACTTTTATTGGATGTGGTATGATATGTCCCCATTTGGTGAACTGTTCGGTCCTTCTCGGTGCTATCATTTCTTGGGGATTTCTCTGGCCATTTATATCACAGCATGCTGGGGACTGGTATCCAGCGAACCTCCAGGCTAACGATTTCAAAGGTCTCTATGGATACAAGGTACAATAAACATATCAAGTAGGAAGACTTTAATAAAATTTGATGAGTTTCATAGGTACTCTCTTTGCGGTGGTTACTGATTCTTTTTCATATAATTACTGTACTTATAGGTCTTTATCGCCATTGCTATCATCCTTGGTGACGGTCTTTACAACCTCATTAAGATCATTATTGTCACTGTGAAGGAAATCTACAACAAAAGCTCCAAACAACAACACCTACCTGTCTTTAACGACATTTTAGGTGCGAAAAATATATATGATTCTGTTTCATCTATCGCATTATTTGTTAGTTATAGTCAGAGTTATTAATAAGGTGTCTCTCATGAGTCATGACCATACTGAAAACGTCTGTCCCAAATATATTCTTAAGAGTTTCTTTCTGCATTTCAGATAAAAGTAAGACCTTAGAATTAATGCGGGAGAAGAAGAAAAGAGATGACATATTTCTCAAGGACCGTATACCCCTCGAGTTTGCGGTTTCTGGTTATGTGGGTCTTGCAGCCATTTCAACTGCTATAATCCCGTTGATATTCCCACCATTGAGATGGTACTTTGTCCTCTGTACATACTTAGTTGCCCCAGGTCTTGCTTTTTGCAATTCTTATGGAGCCGGGCTCACGGATATGAGCATGCCTTCAACCTACGGAAAGACTGGTCTTTTCATCGTTGCTTCAATTGTAGGAAATAACGGTGGAGTCATTGCCGGTTTAGCAGCCTGTGGCATTATGATGTCAATCGTCTCAACTGCAGCGGATCTCATGCAGGACTTTAAAACAGGTTACCTCACACTATCATCTGCAAAATCCATGTTTGTAACTCAGCTTTTGGGTACAGCAATGGGTTGCATAATCGCTCCTCTCACGTTCTGGCTGTTTTGGACTGCTTTTGACATTGGAGATCCTGATGGTCTATACAAAGCACCTTACGCAGTTATCTACCGCGAAATGGCTATCCTCGGGATAGAGGGCTTTACAAAACTGCCCAAGCACTGTTTGGCTCTATGTTGCGGATTCTTCATCGCTGCTCTGATTGTAAATCTAATTAGAGAAATCACACCACCAAAGATCTCTAAGTTGATACCACTTCCAATGGCTATGGCTGGTCCATTCTACATAGGAGCTTACTTCACCATCGACATGTTCATAGGAACCGTGATTATGTTCGTATGGGAACGGATGAATAAGAAAGACGCAGATGATTACTCGGGTGCAATAGCTTCAGGACTGATCTGCGGCGATGGAATTTGGACCATCCCATCCGCAATTCTTTCAATATTAAGAATCAATCCACCCATCTGTATGTACTTTGGACCATCCTAGACATTGTTATCATATCAAAAGTTTGTTGCATTATAGCAAAAAATAGAGTTTTTCTATCTCACTCTATCACATTTTAAGTAGAACACAGAAATGTACCACCAATAAACATCTTCATGTATGTGCCATAAAGTAAAACAGTCATATTGACCTACGAAACTTTAAATGGGCTTCTTGTGTAAGCCCATATACTTTTGTTAAGAAGCCCATACGAATCTCCTTCCTCGTCTTTATTCCTCCACAATCCAATCATATATATCAATCAAAAACCTCCAATTCCTCAGAAACCCTAAATCCCAATTGAGAAAATTTTGTCTTAATTCAGACGCAAATTCAGTTTCTGTGAACTCTTTCTTTGTTGAATCATGGAACCAGCAACACAGCCCGAACCCGTTACTTACGTCTGCGGAGGTAAGCTCGATTCGAAAGATTTCATCGAACATCGAATTTTACTCTTAGTCTCTGTAAAAGATTGTAGCTTTGTGAAATTGAATGCTAAAGTTGCCTCTTTTGAGTAGCCTTATGAATCCTAATCTATTAGGAAATTTCATAATAAGGCTTAGTTAGGAGGCATAAATCAATCTTGATCATCAATACTTGTCTGTATTGTTTTGATCTATTTGACTTGAGGTCTTTTTGAGGAGGAGCTTTGCTTCTGCTTAGAATCTAGCTTCTCCCAAGCAGCCTCAGACATATACACTTTAAACCAAAATTCATAGGAAGATTTCTGATTTTTTTTGTAAGTAAAAAGGTTATCTTTGTTATATGGGTTTGTTTAATTTCTTCTATGTGTCAGATTGTGGACAAGAGAACACTTTGAAGCCTGGGGATGTGATCCAATGCAGAGAGTGTGGCTACCGTATTCTCTACAAGAAGCGTACCCGTAGAGGTGACTAATTCTTAATCCTCCTTTTGTTTTGTAATGTTTTTAGCTTTCTTTGATTCATCTCTTTTTTGGTCTTGTTCTTAGTTTATGATATTGATGGAACGATTTAAATTGTGTCTCACAAAACGCAAATGTTATTAGGATCGAGTTTTCGAATTAATCTTGAGTTTTATAACTACGTTCCGGTGTACTCCTTGTATTTGGATTGTTAATCTGTTGGTTTTCTTGTACAAATGTAGATGTTGTTAACTTGTTTCCGGCTAATTTATATGGTGTTTATTCTCTTGCAGTTGTTCAATACGAAGCTCGCTGAGAACCACTACTCCTGAAGATGTTTCATAGTCTGTTAAGATGGGTTGAGACGTTTTGGCACCTGTTTGGGATGTATATCGACATGCTTTTTGCTAAATTGCCTGTTTGATTTGATTTGGGGATTTGATCCCAGTGTGACTGTGTAATCACTTGGAATAACTAAGTTCACATTGCTAGAATCCTTGATTGGCTATAATCTCCTCTAAATTACTCATCCTCATCCTCCATTTTGACAAGCTAAACATCTCTAAGTTGTTTTGCTACCTTTGTTCTTTAGTGTTCTCTGCTTTTAGTTGGTCAGCTTCTGGTGGTGGAAAAGGTAGTGTCTGTGCCATATATCAATCTTGTTTGCTACAAATTCTCTGAAGTGTTGGGAAGAAATCGAAGAGAGTGACATGAAGAGAAACTACCACAATGTTACTCGCAAACAGATGAATGAATTAGTGTATTAATATCTAATAAAACCTTTGAAGTGCTATAGCTACAAGTAGAATAGTCAAAATAAGAGAATAAACGCTGCAAAATGCAATTAGCTTTCATCAAATACAAGCTGAGTTTTCAAAAATGCTATAGGCATTCATCAAATATACTAAGCTATGAAATAATCAATACGTACTCTCTTCCGGTGGTTACTGTTTCTATTTCATATCATTCATTACCGAATTTACAAGTCTTTATTGCCATTGCTATCGTTCTTGGTGACTGTATCTACAACCTCGTTAAAGTCATTGTTGTCACTGATAAACTCTGCAACAAAAGCTCCAAACAAAACCAACTACCAGTCTTTACCGACATGTATGATCCCGACTCATCTATAGCATTTAAAATAGTAGTCTGTGACTCTGTGTTATCAATAAGTTGTTTCTCTGATGACCACACTGTAATCAAATACATTCTCAAGAGTTTCTATCTGCGAACATAGAACATTAGAAAGTACCAATACATTTTATCAAACAAAAAAAAGTATCAAAAACATCTAATGTATCGTTCCAAACTTAATCTTCAGGATCATAGGGTCTGTTGTCAAAATCCTCTCTGTCCTCAGCTATGTCAGGGCAATACCTTTCAGACAAAATCTCAACTTGTTCTGCAAATGTTTTCGATTTCGGTACGCCGATATGAATGATCATCTGGTTCCACCGTTTTCGACAAGCTTCTCCATCTCGATTCTCCAAAAGATTATCCCAATCCACATCGTCGATACAAGCAGCATCCAGTTTCAAAAGCTCTTCCAAGAGTCTGTAGTCATCTACGTTAGCCCACATTCCCTTTGCTACCATTGGTGACATCAACTGCTCATACCATTTACTGCAGCAAGTCACGTGGTCCCGTGTTCCAAGTACGTCGCTTATGGTCATCCAAGGGATGTTATCTTTGAGCATACCATGTTTTGAGTGCTTCTCTTGGAATGCTTTCATTCTAAGGTCTTTGTTCACAAGGTCAAAGAGTTTTTGATACTCCTCCCTCATCCAATGTCCTTTCTTCTTCTCTGCCAATCTTCCTCTCCTCCAAGCGTCTTTCACATGCTTCCTGTGTTTACCCATTGCATCTGCAAGTGTTCTCCAATCATTCCCGTGTTTCTTTTGAAACTCCATAACGAGTTCAATATCCTCTTTCGCCCACATCCCCTTGGATCCTGCTTCAAATATCGTATGTGCACGATTATACACACTATTATATGCCCTCCAAGGTAAAGCAGATGCAATTTCTTTCCAACAGCCTTTAAGTTGTGGGTGTGACTTGCAATCCATAACCATCTTTATCCCCTCCTCTCCTAAAGCATGGTTATCAATGTATTCTAATACAGCATTCTTTACCAACTCATCTTCTTCTTTTGTATACCGTTTACCCCTCACCACCGTAACTTCTTCTTCATCATCTTCCGTTTCTTCATCTTCACTAGGAAAAAATTCCACTTGGGCAGAAAATTTCACCCTTTTTGTGCTTTTACTTGATGGGGTGGTCACATCTTTATCACTCTGAACAGACTCTTGCTTCTTCTTCCTTTTCTTCTTTGCATCTTTACCGTCATTGTTGTTTTCTTCAGCCTCAGAGACTTCACTTTGCTTCTTCTTCTTCTTCCTTTTCTTCTTTGCATCTTTTGTAGAGTTCAAGCCGTTTTCTTCAGCCTCTGAATCCTCACTTTGTTTATTCTCTGCGTCTTTCACAGAGTCCTTGTTGTTTTCCTCAACCTCTGAATCCTCAACTTGAACTCCATCCTCTGTAGAGTTCAAGTTCTTATCTTTAACCTCTGAATCCACACTTTGTTTCTTCTTCTTGCTCTTCCTCTTAACCTCCTTGTCTGTGTTTTCTTCAGCTACCAAATCACAACCATCCCGCTTTCTCTTTCTCGTTTTCTCACAAACTTTGGAGCTTTCACTGTTCCCTATCACATCACTCCCAGATTCTTTCTTGCTCTTCTTCTTCTTCTTCTTTTTCACACCATCCTCAGCTTCAGAATCAACCTTTGTCTCCTTAATTTTAGTCTTCACACCATCCTCAGCTTCAGAAACAACCATTTGCTCCTTGGATTTTTTCTTAACAACATCCTCACCCAATTTCTCACTTTCACGCTCAGAAATCTCATCATCTTCTCCAGCAAAACCATCCTTATTCTCTCGGTTTTCCTTCTTCTTCTTCTTCTTCTTCCCTTTATTCTTAATAGAAGTGTGCTTGGAAACGATTTCTTCAACGATTTCCCCAGAATCGACCCTAGTGTCACTCTTTTTCTTCTTCTTCTCCTCAGCCATCTCAGATTACGAAACCCTAATCAGACAAATCGCCCCTACGTTCGCGCAAATTCGATTCCGACAAGTTCGATTGAGTGATTTTAAACTCAAATTTTCAGACTTCGTTTGTTTGTGAAAGGAACTTTTTGATATGGCGGCTTCAAGAATCATGAAGAGATTAGGGTATTAATTTAACTATTTTTCTTATAAAAAACAATTCTATTTTACATTTGACCCACTCTCTATTTTTAGGGCCCAAGTATCACTGGGCCCAACAAGCTCTCTTTCTTTTAGCATTTTAGATCTCAAATAATTACGATCAATTTATATGAGAAGGTATGGAAGAGAACCTCGGAAAAGTATTGAAAATGTAGCATCAATTTTTCATTGGATTAAGTCCAATGTCATGTGTGGTGGAGTTTGGATCTTACATGATCTTTTGGGATAAGCTAGTTTTCATGCAAGGAATTCAATTGAAGGATCCGTATGAGAGAGCTCAACCGGTCAAGTTCTAGCTATCCAAACATTGGTCACACAGGTAACAGAGAAATATATACATTTCTAGTATTCTCTAGTCTTCTGTCCGAAGAGATTATTTATGAAGTTCGACTCGAAACTTTTTGATTAACAATAAAAAAAGATTGAAGGACCTACATGTAGAAGATGCAGATGACATCTTAGCATGGGAACTGCGAAAGACTCCTAACAACCGGGTTTAAGAATATTTTGATTGAGCTTTGGATTGGAATTTATCCGGGTTAAGTATATTTGGCGATTATATAAATTCTAAATTATCTAAAAGGGCAATAAAATAAGTGTGAAATTAATAAAATGTTGTTACCACTTAGGTCAAAAGGTCACTCGCCCCACCTTGAATCTCAGAGAGAGTAAAGTCAGAAAATAAAGTTTGGTAACTTTTACTTCCGACCTGAAAGTCCCCACTCCCCACACCTTGACATGGTCATGGATCCCAAGAAGAAACCAAACAGAGATCGACACCTTAAAGTCGAAGGAAGAGGTCGAAGAGTTAGGTTACCTCCACTTTGTGCAGCGAGGATTTATCAATTGACTAAAGAATTAGGTCACAAATCAGATGGTGAGACTCTTGAATGGTTGCTTCAACAAGCTGAGCCATCTATAATCTCTGCTACTGGAAATGGAATCAAACCCATTGGAACCACCACCACTGAGTCTGTCTCTCAACCTCCTCTCACGGCGGATTTGATGGTTAGTCATAACGTTGAAGGAGCTTCAAGGACTCAAATGGGGGCAAATGAAACAGAGCAAACCACTGGAGGGTTTGATTTGAATTACGGAATTGGTTTTGGTTTCAATGGTGTTTCAGAGATTGGTTTTGGAAATAATCAAACGCATGGACTTGAATTAGGTTTGTCTCATGTTGGTGTTTTGAATCCACAGGTTTATCAACAAATGGGTCAAGAACAGTCTAGGGTTCTTCATCATCATCATTCTTATGAAGATGAGCAACAGAGTGCAGAGAAAAATGGTTCTTAAAGCTCAAACCTTTAAATGGCTTTTACTTAGATTTGCATATATAAATTTAGTGAGAATATGATTGCTGAATTCTCAAACTTGATAACTTTCAAGGAAATGCATTTTGTGGCACAATGTGCTTATTCATAGCTTATTTTACTTAGGTCAGCAAGAGAACATTGGTTCTCAAAGCTCAAACCTTTAATGGCTTTTACTTAGATTGTGCATATATATAGTGAGAGGATAAATTATGCTTTTGCTGAAATCTCATTGTGCTCAATGCTCATTCATTGTTTCTTTTTAATCAATGGCTTTGATGTACTAATTACGCTATAAAGTTAATAAGTAAGTTCTGCTCTTTAAATCGTACTGAATTGAGGCTTTTCTGAGTAATTAAGCACTCTAATGATTGAGTTTTGTTGTACAAAGGAAAGTTTTTTGTTTGGTTAAAGATTCATCTTGTTTCTAAGATTTTGCCCAGAAGCTAAAGAGTCTGCAAAGTTAATCTCTCTTTTGGTCTCTGATGATGGCTAATGCCATACATTGGCTTTGCTTGCTGTCTTTGTTGATAGAATTTGGACTACGCGCGCTACGTTTCTTTGGGTGAAAAACAATCCGCATCATTCCACTTAGAACAGTGAAACAGTATGATGTTCTTATTGTATTGTGTCAACAGCCCATAATCAATGAAATGGGCCGCGATGAGTCAATGACAGTATAAGCGGAAAGAATTACGGATGCCATCGAGACTTAACTTTCCAAATGACTAACATTTGGTTAGGGCCTAAAAGCCAATATCCGTATTAAAACAAAACAAAAAAAAAAAATAGATAACAAATGCAAAAATTTAGAATTTCTGGATAACAAAAAAAATTTAGTAATACGTTGACTTCAATAAATAACATAGAAGAGAAGAGATAGAGATGCGTGTTAAATTGGCGGTGGGAGATATGTGATTCCCTTGGTCCCTCTTTCTCGTTTGATTCGGTAACCTAAACCTTCTCCATCCAAGAGGACACAAACAAGGAAGAAATTAACCTACCTACGTACATAATTTGAACTATTTGTCTATTAAAAATGGAAAATCTATTTTCCTCTTCTCTCTCTTATGACCGAAAAAAAGAAAAAGTCCTCAAAATAACTCTAAGATAATACATGTGGAAGTGGAACCTTCTATATATATTTTGCATGCTTTTTTGAATTTAAGTAATGGCATACTAATTAGAAAAAGTACAAGAGGAAGACAAAAAATGTCAATACTGTATGGTTTATTTAACAAAAAAAAAAAAAATACTGTATGGTTTAGATGTTTGGGTTTTCTATGGTCCAAAGTTTTTCTGAGTAATTTAGTTTCGTGGTCTAGGCAAATCAAGATATATTGCATTCGTAAAGTGTACAAATTATTATGTAAGAACCGTTATTTGGCATAACTTAATATATTAAAAATTGAAAAGTTTCTTAACCAATCATAATCTATTTTTGAAAAATGTGTAATTTTGTGTTGCGACTGAAATTTTCCTAGAGAAAGAGAATATGCATGATATCATCTATTTGAATTTGAGAAAATAAAAACATAACAGGAGAACATCGTAAAGAGTAAGATAAATGACAAAGAGAAAGAAAGCTAAGAAGTCATCCAAAAATTGGGAGGCCTACTCTCAACTACCAAAAAAAACACACAAGTGTTTGTTGTGTTAGGTCATTTATTCAGTCACCTAACCCTAACTATATGAAATACGTTAAAATTCATATCTAGAAAAAGGAAAGAAATAATATTAGTCAATATAATATTTTTTTTAAACAACATAAAAATAAAGAAAGAAATACTGTTAGTCAATATATAACTTGTTTTTGTTTCAATGAATATAAAATCCATCTTTCAATCAAGACCGTCCAAGTATTCACCTTTCACATAACTCTTACGTTTTGCACTAAACAAGACGAGTTTTTTATGAGCTTGTGGCTCCCACAACAATCCTCATTGATTTCTCCATATATATCACATGAGAATCCAACTCGACTTCATAACATTCATCCCAAAAGTTCCATTCTTTTTTCACAAACCCATTGTGCTGTTTTCTCCATTTGGATCAAAATGGTTTGTGTTATTGTTCTTGTTTTTGTTTCACAAAGTGTTCAAAATTCTGTTTTATTAAGCTCACTCTTCTTTTGTTTTTCAGGTTGCTGAGAACAACAACAAGAACAACAAAGAAGGTACACTCTCTGTATCAATGGACAACAACAACAACATGAAAGGGACTAACTTTCATCTTGAGGTTCATCAAAAGGAACCAGCTTTGGTCAAACCTGAATCCGAGACACGAAAGGGTCTTTACTTCTTGTCGAATCTTGACCAGAACATCGCCGTGATTGTTCGTACAATCTACTGTTTCAAATCCGAGGAGAGAGGGAACGAGGAAGCAGTCCAAGTGATCAAGAAAGCTCTGAGTCAAGTTCTTGTTCATTACTACCCTCTTGCTGGACGCCTCACCATCAGTCCTGAAGGTAACTGATTGAACTCGATTAATGATTAGTTCGGTTCGGTCTCTATCTTATTTAAACTCAGACAACAACATCATTTAATGTCTTTGATGGTGTGAATTCAGGTAAACTCACAGTTGACTGTACTGAAGAAGGAGTTGTCTTTGTGGAAGCAGAAGCAAACTGTAAAATGGATGAGATTGGTGACATTACCAAACCCGATCCCGAAACTCTAGGGAAACTTGTCTACGATGTTGTAGACGCCAAGAACATTCTTGAGATTCCTCCTGTCACTGCTCAGGTCTACTTTTCTTCCTCGTCAAGTAATCTTTTTGTTTCTTAGGGTTGTTAGTTTTTTGAAGTTGAAATCTGATTTGTTAGGGTTTTAAATTGATTTGAGTTAACAGGTGACTAAATTCAAATGTGGAGGGTTTGTTCTCGGACTCTGTATGAATCACTGTATGTTCGATGGAATTGGAGCTATGGAGTTTGTTAACTCATGGGGTCAAGTCGCTAGAGGCTTACCATTAACAACGCCTCCATTCTCAGACCGAACCATTCTCAGTGCTCGAAACCCTCCAAAGATCGAGAATCTCCACCAAGAATTCGAAGAGATCGAAGATAAATCCAACATCAACTCTCTCTACACCAAAGAGCCAACTCTCTACAGATCCTTCTGCTTTGACCCAGAGAAAATCAAGAAACTTAAGCACCAAGCAACAGAGAACAGTGAGTCTCTCCTCGGTAACTCCTGCACAAGTTTTGAGGCTTTATCTGCTTTTGTGTGGAGAGCAAGAACCAAGTCGTTGAAGATGTTGAGTGATCAGAAAACGAAGCTTCTCTTCGCCGTTGATGGTAGAGCCAAGTTTGAGCCTCAACTGCCAAAAGGGTACTTCGGAAATGGAATTGTTCTCACAAACTCCATCTGTGAAGCTGGAGAGCTTATCGAGAAACCGTTGAGTTTCGCGGTGGGATTAGTCAGAGAAGCAATTAAGATGGTCACTGATGGATACATGAGATCTGCGATTGATTACTTCGAAGTCACGAGAGCAAGACCTTCTCTTTCTTCGACTCTTCTGATCACTACATGGTCAAGATTGGGTTTCCACACCACAGATTTCGGTTGGGGAGAACCGATTTTGTCCGGTCCAGTAGCTTTGCCTGAGAAAGAAGTGACTCTGTTTTTGTCTCATGGAGAACAGAGAAGAAGCATTAATGTGCTTCTTGGACTTCCTGTTTCAGCCATGGATGTGTTTCAAGAACAGTTTTTACAGATATAACTCCGACCAAAAAAAGGACCAAAAAAAAACAAAATATCAGGCAATTATTGTCAAAACCTATTCGTTTTACTCTGTTTCTCTTGCTTCCTTTTTTCTGCTGAATTATTATTATCTTCATCTTAAACTTGTCTGTATCTTGCATCAAGTTTCAACCATAAATTTATATTATTTCAACTATATTGTAATAATATTTTTATATTATTACTTAAATTGTTTCAGAAATCTTGATGTTTTTTAACAAACTAAAACTTACATACATATAAATAAAATACACAAAGTCTAAAGATAAAGATACATAGAACAAGAAGACAGAACAGAGTGATCTTGTTCCTGTTAGAGTAGAAACAAACAAAGACTAAGATTATTGGAGTTTGTTCTCTGTTACTTGCCACACAAGTGAAGATTCTTCTGTAAGGGTCTAAAATTTAAAGCTGTAAACCCATAGACACAGAGATTAGACCTCTTGGACTTAAACACAACCTGATCCGTTGTAGTTCTAAAGCCAGGAACTTTGCAAGAATCTTTGGAGCTACCAATCAAGCTTGCCTGACAAGAAGCCATTAGAGAATCTTTCTTTGCTTCTGCGGCGCAAGCAACGCCTTCCAAAGATGTTATGTCTAGCTTGTAGAGTCCAAGCTCATTTGTGGTTCGATTTGCAGAGAACGTTATCATCTCTCTAGTTCTCGACGAAGCTGAATTGAATCTGCAGATTATTCTCACTTCCGCACCTACTTTTTTTTTTTGTTCAGTCAACCAAAAGTGAGAGACATTTTAACTTTGATCTAACAATTTTAAAAAATGTTGATAAGATTCTTTACCGGGAATGAAGTAGCTGTGTTTGGAGAAACTGTTGTTGGAGCAGATGTCGCAGTAAACAAGACCCATTACAGTGATCTTTGCATTTGGTTTAGCTGAAGAATGTTTCAGAGACAGAGTGTTTAAGGACAGAAGTTGCAGAAGTAACAGAAACATTATCAGTTTCTTTTCCATGTCCACAAGCTTCAGAACTTTTTTATCTTTGGATAAACACTTGTTTACAGATGAGGTTTCCTTTTTGTTTATGTGGTTGATGAAAGAAACAGACAAAGAATGGGCCAAGAGGTTAAAGACAAAAGAACAAACAAAGATCAAACAGTAACTCCATTCAAACAAAGATCCAAACTTGTCTTTTTTTATAAAACTCAAGACTCTTGTGGAGAAAGAGATGAGCAAAGAGAGGCAAAAAGAGATGAGGCCAATTAAAGGAAAAGTAGAGAAACTGAGAGGTTGGTTGGTTGAGTTTTACATTTATTGAGCTCTCATGCTCTCTATTTTAAGGGCTTTTGTGTATGACTCCCCCTACAAAAAAATAGCTAAAACTGGAAAATAGAAGGGAGAAGGTAAACCACTAGTGTGTATATATGTATGGACCACTGAAAGTGAAGTGTAACCATCATCAATTCATCAGCATAAACACCAAGAAAGTGGTCAGAGGATATGGCTCTTTAGATATCAATACAAGAAGCCAAAACTATGATATTTTCCCGGTTAAGTCTCGGTTTTGGCTGGATTCTGGTAGAGAATCTCAGGTTTAACCATACAAGATAAGCTCACATTATAGACTTTTGTTCTTCCCATTATAGAACAGTGCATAAGACTTTATTGCATAACAATTTCAGGTTTAACTATAGAAGATAAGCTCACATTACAAGTTTATCAGTTGGAAACAATATATGGGCTTGAGCTTAAAGAAGGCCCATTAAGCGTAAAGTTGTCTCCTTTGTTCCTTCATGCAGGATTGTTGTAGATTTTACTTTGATTTTCTGTTTTTTTTTTTTCTTTTAAAAAACTCTTGTAATGCTTCTAGGTGACTCCATCTACTTTATGGATACCATCTGTTGTTTGTCAATCATTTCTATTTTCAACTTTATTTTTCTTGAGCCAAAAAAAAAAACAGTTAGTTTACCTTTCACAGATTTATTTTAAGTTTAACATTATTTTCTCCAACATACGTAAAAAAAATTATACGAAATTGTACATAAGTTTTTCAATTTTTATAGTTGAGAAAAAAAAATAGAGACCAAAATTTTTAGATGTAAAATCGCTGTAAAACAAATGTTTAAATTTCTTTTCCGTTATCGAATCTCTTTTATGAATGACAAGGTCGAATTGTCAAGGTCGAGTGGAAAGCTTTCTCTTGAGATATGCTCTACAAGCCTCGGTTTACACAATTTGGAGAGAACGAAATGGAAGAAAGCATGGAGAGAAACCGAACTCAGCTACACGACTTATTGGTTGGATTGATAAACAAATTCGAAACAATCTCTCATCGATTAGAATCATGGGAGACCGGCGGTATGAAGAAGGACTTCAAATCTGGTTTGCTTCAAGAGTGTAAAACAATTTAGTCTCTAAAATCTCAGCTTTCTCTTTCAGCATAATTTCGAAACCGTTGCACTAGTTGTAAAAACGATATATTTTTTCTTTTGAATATAATTTAACATTAAATTAAAAAAAAAAAAGAATTGTCAAGGTAGGAAACAGACCACTAAACAAATGCCACGTCAGCTAATTTGGTTCTTCACTTTTAGCTACTAAAAAGTGTTTTAGCTGAACTAAAACGACGGTGACAGACTGACAGTAGCTGCCAACAGTCGATTTTTAAAATATTTATTTATTTATTGTACTGTGTGAAGAAAAAAGAGAAGCAACAAAAAAAAAAAAAGTAGAGTAGAGGAAGAAGAAGAAGTAGAAGAAGCCAAGAGCAAATCTAATTCTCTGACTACTCTCACTTTCATGTCGGAGACTTGCCGGAATCTAAAAAATTTCTTCAACGGAGATTAAAAGCTTTCTCTTTTTTCTTTCGTTATCTTCGTTTTAGTGTTTTCCCCTTTGCTTACATTTGAAGAAATCGAGAGCAAGCGATAGAGAGAGAGTGAGAGAGAAAGAGATGTATGTAGTGACGCCTCCTCAAAGATCCGGTTTTGGATCCGACTGTGATTTACGGGTTTACCAAACATGGAAAGGAAGCAATGTGAGTTTTATCTGAAAGCTTTAGGTTTTCGAATTTCTTGCTTCTGTGTTTATGCTTTGAGTTAGTGTCTATGGGCTCAGATTAATCTGTTCCAATCTTGTCTAGCTCAAACTTGGGACTTGGTCTTGTGTTAGAAGTGTAGCTTTCTGGGTAGTTGTAGCTTTTGTTGTAGTTGTTGGCAAAAAATTAAGAAGCTTTCAGTTTCAGGTCATGAAATCTTTACCTTTAATCAAAAACTTTGGGCATTATCTCAATATGCTTGCTACATTCATAGGATTGGCCGATTGGGACTTGTCTAGCTCAAAAATTGGGACTTGGGTTTGTGTTAGAAATTGTTGCTTTAAGGGTTATTTTTCTACAGTCCAAGCTTTTGTTGTAGTTGTTGGCAAAAATCAAGAAGTTTTTTGTTTCATGAAGAAATCTTTTTAATCAAAAACTTGGGGGATTATCTGAATATGCTGTTACATTTATAGCAAATGCTTCTTGTTACAAAGGTTATATAGTTGATACGGTATGTATATTGCTTTGCTTTCAATGTCGAAAATTCGACATAAAGATAAATTTAGTGTAGTAGTAACCTTGTGGAATGAAACATTTTGAAGTTATTCCTCGTATCTTCCAATTTCTGCAGATATTTTGTCTTCAAGGAAGGTTTATTTTCGGGCCGGATGTAAGATCACTTGGTCTGACCATAACTCTTATCGTGGTTCCTGTTACGATTTTCTGCATCTTCGTTGGTAGCAAACTAATGGAGGACTTCTCTGATAGTTGGGGAGTATCAATAGTCTTTGTTGCTGTTGTCTTCACCATTTATGTGAGTACAAAAGTTTTAACTTTGCATTGTAAAACGTTCTGTGAGTGCCTCATTCATAACAATTAATGCTTCCCTCAGGATTTAATTCTGCTGATGCTTACATCCGGAAGAGATCCAGGTATTATCCCAAGAAATTCTCATCCTCCAGAGCCTGAAGTTCTTGATGGCAACACAGGCTCGGGGACAAGCCAAACTCCAAGATTGCCTCGCGTTAAAGAAGTAGAACTTAATGGCAAAATATTTAAGGTCAAGTACTGTGATACCTGCATGCTCTATAGACCGCCTCGCTGCTCACATTGTTCGATTTGCAACAACTGTGTAGAAAGGTTTGACCATCACTGTCCTTGGGTTGGTCAATGTATTGCCCAAGTAAGTTTCTCGGTTTTTTTCGTTTTCATGTCCTTTAGTTTCTGACATCACTCTATAATTCATCTCATCCTCCTTGGGAATTTGCAGAGGAACTATCGATTCTTCTTCATGTTTGTCTTCTCCACGACTCTTCTCTGCATATATGTGTTCGCCTTTTGTTGTGTCTATATAAGGAAGATCAAAGAATCTGAAGATATAACCATCTTGAAAGCAATGCTCAAAACTCCAGCTTCCATTGCCCTGATACTCTACACATTCATATCGACGTTTTTCGTTGGAGGCTTAACATGTTTTCATCTCTATCTCATCAGCACAAATCAGGTACCTAATCCTTTGCCTCTTTTTGAAAATCCTCTCTCATTCGCTATGCGTGTTTAATCGTTTGATCATCCTTTATTCTGTAGACTACATATGAGAATTTCAGATACAGTTATGACAGGCTTAGCAACCCACATAACAAAGGAGTGGTTGATAACTTTAAAGAAATCTTTTTTTCTCCAATACCTCCTTCAAAGAACAACTTCAGGGCTATGGTACCAAGGGAAAATCCAATACCGCCGAGATCAGTTGTTGGCGGTTTTATGAGTCCAAACATGGGAAAAGCCAATGATGATATTGAAATGGGGAGGAAAGGCGTTTGGGCAATGGCTGAACATGGTGATGGCAAAAATGGCAATAACAATGAACGGTTTCATGTTAACGACAATGAGTTAAATGAGTTATCACCAGACATGAGGACCATAGTGGATGGTGATGAACAAATCGATAGGCCAAACAATCACCCGAGGAACGCAAACTGGGAAATGTCACCAGAAGTTATGGCCTTATCAGCAAGAAGAGCTTAGAAAAACAGGTAAAGAGAAAATTGAGAGGTGTTTTCAAATGTTTGATTTATTGATGTATTGTGTGTTTTCACGGTAAGCAATTGTGAATTGGTGTGATTTTTCAGATGTTATGAGTATTTTTAGTTGTTCTAGTTGTGATATAATTCAGACAGTTAAATCTTAAATCATTGTGTTAGTGTAATCTATGACTTAAACAGTAGTAATCTTTCACAGAATGAGAAAACAAAATGAATACAGAAGATTTTCATAATGTACTTTGCATATGATAAAATTGCAGAAACTGAATTTACAGACAAGTGGACCAGAAGACCAGACAACTCTTATTATAGTGTTCATTGAAGCACGGCTCTGCAATAAATGCAATAGAGCTCTAAAGGCTTCTTCTTTCTTCTTCTGAGTTCTTAATTAATTTCTTCACTGGATTTTGATTTGATAAGAAATAAGGACCATTGTAAAAATCTTTAAATCTCTTCAACCAAAATTATTGGCTTGTAATGTTTGATAAGAGAAAGGTTAGAGATTTACATTACATGCCAACATTTGTGGTCTATGAAATTTGAAGATTTGACATTGAACAAAGACAAAACACAATGAACAGAATCAACAAATTGGTCAAACTACACATTAATAGCCTTACAGTATCAGACTAAATCATTTTCACAAACATTTATGAAAACTTAACTGTTTTTAACTGAGGATGAAGGTAACTGACCAGTCAAACACCAAAAGCCAATAAAGTGAGTCAATAGCATTGTTCATAATTGTTATTTGTATGCACATGTTCTAAATTATATAAAAAGACTAACCATACTTCAATTGAGATGTCACTATTACTGTTTTAGCATCCTCTTCTACTCTTTATTTAGAACCTTACCATGTGAGTGAAGAGTTCAAAAACCTCTGCAAAAACTATCTTTTTTTTTATCTCTCTCCTCTTTAAACTTACTTTCAAACACTAAATAGCCAAAACCTTAGATACCAAATTTCTAAAGGTAGGCTTTTCTCCTTTGTCTTCTCTTAGACTTACCAAAATAGATTTGCGGTTTCTGGAGTTGACTTTGGGTTTGATTTTGGTGTATTTACAGGGAAAAAAATGTATAAGAATCAGCTTCAAGAGCTTGCACAGAGAAGCTGTTTCAATTTACCATCATATACTTGCATAAGAGAAGGACCAGATCATGCTCCAAGATTCAAAGCTTCTGTTAACTTCAATGGTGAGATATTTGAAAGTCCCACTTACTGTTCCACTCTCAGACAAGCTGAGCATGCAGCTGCAGAAGTTTCTCTTAATGTCCTTTCCTCTAGAGTCCCTTCAAAATCCTTAACTGCTAAGATTCTTGTAAGTTCTCTGTCTTTTGTTCTTGGTTTTGATCATACACAAAAACTGTAGAAAGTGTAACATCTCACTCTATATTTAAGGATGAGACAGGGATTTACAAGAACCTGCTTCAAGAGACAGCACACAGAGCTGGTCTTGATCTACCAATGTACACAAGTGTGAGATCAGGATCTTGTCACTTCCCAGGTTTCTCTTGTACTGTGGAACTTGCTGGGATGAGTTTTACAGGAGAATCAGCAAAGACAAAGAAACAAGCTGAGAAAAACGCAGCCATTGCAGCTTGGTCCTCTTTGAAGAGAAGTACATAAAACTCTATCTTCCAAGTTGTTCCATAAACCCAAAAAAAGCTTCTCACTTTTCTAATTGAATCTATCTTTTTCTCTACTGTGCAGTGTCAAGCTTGGATTCTCAAGATGAAGAGAAGGAACAAGAAGCAGTAGCAAGAGTACTCTCAAGATTTAAACCCAAAGAAGTAAGAAGAAGAGAGACAACAAACCAATGGAGAAGAAGAACAAGTCAACAAGATTCAAACAAGGATTTGTTGATTGAGATGCATCAATCTATTGACCAATCAAGCTTCTTCATCATCATCATCATCAACACAGAATCAACACAAAGAAACAAGTTTCATCTCTCTAATTCCCCCACCACCACCACCTAAATCCTCCAAAATTTTGCCATTTATCCAGCAATACAAAGACAGATCATCACAAGAAGCTAAGACAGAGACAGCGACAGAGATGATCAACAGCAAAGCCAAAGTCAATGAAACATCAAACAGATTGAGTAAGCAAATGCCCTTTTCCGACAAGAACAGATACAACTTCGTCGGAGGATGTAGCGTAAACCCTTTTAGTCTGGCTCCAGCAGTTCAAATGAGATCAGTGATTCCAGTTTTCGCAGCTCCACCATCGAAACCAAACCCTAACCCTAACCCTAACCCATCATCATTATCATCGTCAGTCAATGAATCCACCACATCCATAAACTCATGTTCTGTTCTGAATACGCCGGGATTGGGAGGCCAAGAGAAGAAGAGTCAAAGCTGTGAAATAATCAAACTTGGTTTAGAATCGAGAATTTTGAATCAAACCCATGATTAGTTAGCTAAATTTGGTTAAAGGGTTAATCCCAAATTAAATCCTTGTCAAGTGTTGTCACATAGATAAAGTATAGACCAGTATGTTTCCGTTTCTTGAATGTGTTCTTGTTTTTTGAAGTTTTTGAATTTTCTAAGTCCGACATGAACTTTGAATGCTTGCGGATTGCACAGAGAACGAAAACAGAGAGAGAGAGAGAGCATTAAATTAGGGAAGAAGAAGAGAAATGGGAGTTTGCAAGAAAACAATAAATGGGTTTTGTTTTGTCTTCCTCCATTAATGCGCCGAATGCTCTGTTCTGCTTCCCACTCTTCATCATTAATGGTTTTGCTCTGTAACGTCGGTTCCAATAATAAAAAAAAATTAAGTTAATAATTCAAAAATATAAACACTTTTGTTTTTTTTTTTTGACATCAAAAGCTCCATTTATTATTAATCTTGTTCAAAAAGGACGGCCTCGTGAGCCATCCAAAGGGGAACATGATCGCTTACATGGGAAAAAGAATAATCTCGTGACCTAGCATGTTTAGCTAAACAATCCGCACGGATGTTCGAGTGAAAAGACTTTTGTTTGAGTGAAAAGATTTTGGACCATATAAACATTATGGTTTGTGAGAATGACGTTTGTGTCATTATCCAATTTAGATCCGTATAATTTTTGTTGTTGGAATTTCGCTCAAAAATTCAAATTGGTAATATATTATGACTTTGATGAAATATATGACCACGAGACTTGATTGCGTCTCAATCATTTGGGCCGGTCCATTTATTTAGGGCCATCTAACTTTCTCGTGGGCCGTAACAAACCGAAACATAAAACCAGTGACCTTCCTAACCATATTACCAACCGGACAGGAGTTAACCAGCCACTTGGAAAATTTTTATTATATATTTCCAGTTTTTAAAAATACGTTTGACAATTTATGACGTGGATCCGAGTAGCAAGAAAGAAAGCTAACATGTTGTTGGATCTGATCTGATCCACGAACCTACCATATATCTACTTTCTCATTATCTTGACAGATATATCTTTTTTTTTTTTTTTTTTTTTCTTTTTGACAGATATATCTTGCATTATTTATACGTCAGATTTTCCTGGATACAATATTTTTAAAATGTAATCCATAGTTATATAATTTCCAAAAATGGGTTTTTCAGAAAGCACTATTTCCAAAAATGGTTAACGATTTATTAACGTATTCTTATCTTTTTTTTTTTTTTTGGTAAAAGGTGAAATAACGTATTCTTATCTTGCAAATCAAGCTTAACAAATCTTGTATAACAAGATAGTATTAAATTATAATATTTTTTACTCGGAATTTATTACAATTAACTGCTACATATTGATCTTGAAAACCACCTTTAATATCGTTACTTACCATAATCAATTTGTTTTAAATCTTTTGACTTGCAAATCACGGTTCATAAATATTGGAGAATCGAATAAATAAATTATCTGTCTTCCTATATTGCGTAATTACACACGTCAGATTTCGTGGATGAGTACTCAGTATATCTTATTTTATGTAAAAAGCTACTACTAGTCTAATTGCTTCAAATTTGACCAACTATAGTATACAGTTGTGTTGCATTACATTAATTCAAACCATTTATAAAACGTGTAAAACATATATAGATTTAAATGGTTATTTACGTATTCAGATTGTAACTGTACTTTTTTCTTATGTGAAACGAAATTTTCAAGATATTTCTTGATCAATTACATAAAAAATTAATATACTGTATATACGTCTATTTTTCGCAAATTTTCGTTCCACAATAATTTTTCTGATGGCTGTCAAAAAAAATAATAATAATAATAATAATTTTTCTGATGTTGCGGTCTGAAATTTGTATTTTTTTCTATTTAGGCAGGAATCTTTTAAATGAAACCAAGAATATTTTCACTAAGTTTGGAAAAAAACCAAAGTTTCTAATTAAACGGGACAATGACAAAAGATAAAATGATTTCCAATGACTCAATGCCACGTGTAAGATGAGAACGGTACTCTTTTGTGTCGTACCAGATCCCATAAAAGGCGGGAAGAAACCATCAAGAAACGCACCTTGCTGACGTGGAATCGAATATTCGAACACGCAGATCCAGCTCCTTTTTTTTTTTTGCTGCTCAAATCCTTTTTTTCTTATATAAATACTCTCCAAAAAAACCCACAAATCCTCACACAAAAATATTTTCGAAATCCCTAATCTACTCTTGAAAATGGCTCTTAGAACTGTGCTCGTCTCCGACGTCCCTAGCCTCCCGGAGTCTGTTTACGGATTATCCGAAGGTATTGTGTCTCTCTCTCTGTTCGCCGGCGATTGAGCTATGTCGTCGTCGTCTTCGTTGCTGTTTTCTTTTCTCATGATCTTGTCTTTGATTACAGGTTTAGAGTTGAACAAACCGACATCGTTTAGGTTACCGGGTTTTTCGGTGATTGGACACAGAGGAATCGGTATGAATGTGTTGCAATCGTCTGATCGGAGAACGAGAGGTGTTAAGGAGAACTCAATTCTTTCGTTTAATTCCGCCGCCAAGTATCCGATTGATTTCATTGAGTTCGATGTTCAGGTTGGTACTTTGATCTATAATCAACTTTAGGATTTGATGAGACAGGGGATTCTGTTTTGTTCGACTGGGGTTTATGTTTTTTTTTGTGGAAGAAGATTCTGATTTAGATATCTATTTATAGATTCATAGAAATTGAAATGAAAATAAGAACAAGAAGATTTGAAGAAAGAGAGAGATGAAGCATTCACAGGAAAAGTGAAACGACGAGCTTTTGTGTGGTTTTTCTTTTGTAGGTGACAAAAGATGATTGCCCTGTTATTTTCCATGATGATTTTATCTACTCTGAAGAAAATGTGAGTCTACATTGCTTTTTCTTAGATCTTGGATTTATATTTCTGGATCTTGGCTTTGATTGATCTGGTGTTTGTGTATTATATGGTTTAGGGTATTGTTAATGAGAGTAGAGTGACGGATCTGAGTCTGTCTGAGTTTCTCCTTTATGGACCTCAGAAGGAAACTGAGAAAATAGGAAAGACCCTGATGAGGAAATCTAAAGAAGGGAAGGTTTTGAAATGGGACGTTGATTTGGATGATTCTCTTTGTACGTTGCAAGAAGCTTTTGAACAAGTTGAACAAACTCTGGGATTCAATATCGAGTTGAAATTCGATGATCAGACCGTCTATGAACGAGAGTTTCTTGTTCATGTCCTGAGATCAGTTTTGCAGGTATGCCCAATACTAGTTCCTTACTCTTCCTACTTTTTCTTGTTGGAGTATGAATATTTATTAGGGTCCAATGGTCCATTAAAACCATTTGTTAAAGATGCTCACTTTCTGATAGTGTCACCAAATTGCACTCTTAATGGAAATTGAATGAGAAAGGTCGCAACAGTTTATTTGATCTGTTTAGCATAAACTAGAGGGTTTTGTCCATATCCCTTATAGAAAATTTAGTAATTTTTTTTTTGTGTTGATCTGTTATAATTACAGTGAAGTCGCTTTGTTTGGTATTTGTAAAGCTCTTAAGCTTATTCTGTTCTTTTTTCCCATTCTGTGCAAAACTACAGGTGGTCTCTAATTATGCTAAAGACAGACCAGTGATCTTCTCAAGTTTCCAACCAGATGCAGCAAAACTTGTTAGGGAATTGCAGAGCACTTACCCTGTATGTTCCATTTTCGCTATTTTCTTTGATAAATGACAAAAATTTAAATTATTCATCGATAAATCACCTAAGATCTTAGCCTAGAAGGAATGTTGACCTGATTTAGCAATGTTTTCTGAACTGAACCCAGGTTTTCTTTCTGACTGATGCGGGGAATGAGATTCACAATGACGAGAGAAGAAACTCACTCGAAGAAGCCATTCAAGTTTGCTTGGAAGGAGGTCTTCAAGGTATTGTTTCAGAGGTAAAAGGAGTGTTCAGAAACCCAGCAGCCATTAGCAAGATCAAAGAATCTAACCTCTCTCTTCTCACATACGGCAAACTCAAGTAAAGCTTCTTCACTTTTCTTAACAAAGTCTAAGGACCTTAAGTCTGTTTCGTTATTCCTGTTGGATCCGATCACTGATTAGATTTTAATCTTATTTCAAATGTGTTGCAGCAATGTCGGAGAGGCAGTGTACATGCAATATGTGATGGGGATTGATGGAGTGATTGTTGATTTTGTTGAGGAGATTATACAGTCCACGACACTCATGATGATAAGACCACCACCATCATCATCTTCATCACCATTACCATCACCTTCCAAGGACGATGATGTTGCCATTACAAGACCTGAGTTTTCACAGAAGGAGATATCTTTTCTTCTCAAGCTTCTCTCTCAGTTGATACAACATTGATGATCACCATCTTTGTTTTTTCTTTTTCTTTCATCCCAAGTTTCTTTTTAGGGTTTCATTTTCTTGCTGATTTTTTATTATTCTGGGTGTATTACCCAATAGTTGGAACTGTAAATAATTATATAATTTTCTTTCTTTTTACAAGATTAAATTTCTCAAAATAAAATCAACTATTAACTATGATTTATTATTCGGAAATTTCAGAAAATATATATGAGATATATCTTTTATATAAGCTTTTTAGATATAAATAGGCCACCTAAACAAGCTAGCCCAAGAAGGATCTTGACTTTAGGGCAACAAAAATGGTTTTGATGGATACCAAGAGGACAAAAGACACTCAGCATAATGACTAATGACTGGGTGATTAGTTTTAGAGATAAAAATTTCCCTTAACACATGTTTTGTTGTTGTAATATTTTAAGTCAAAATTATTCTTAATTATATCCCAATTAGAATTTGAAGTATTTGTCTTTGTTCCAACCTTTAAAAGGATGCTTGAAGTTCCAATCAAACTACAACTCATGCTCTCCCTCTTCTGCCTTAACTATGAAGAAAACAAAAGACATTCGTTTTTATTTTTCTCTTCAGTATCAAATTCAAGAATCCAATTCCAATAGCCACAACAGAAAGTCTCTTTAATATAGTAATCTAAAATAAAAACTGATTCACGTCTCTAAACTAAAATTTCTGATCAAATCAAGCGGATTAATTCAAGTAAATGTTCTTATATGAGATTTGTTACTATACATGCTTGATTTAAACGTTTTCTACTACAATTATATTTACCTCTCTAAAATCCGAATCCCAATTTGGTTATAAAACGGTCTATATCAACTATTGATTGATAGTACAATCAAATTAGAATAAAAATTCAAAATTATAATCACAAAATTAAGTTTATTTTTAATATGGAAGCTTTTAACAAAATAAAATAAATATAGATATTTTTAAAAATTTAGGAATAATTTAGGATAATTTCAAAAAAAAAATTAGATTTTGGTCTAGAAGTTTCTATTATATCAAAATTACTTATCGTTTTTGACAAATTTGTTTAACTTTAATTATTTTTTAGCTGTTATATTCCATGTTGTCAGTTCATTGTAATGTCAATTATAAAAAAAAAAAAAAGTCACGTTATGCAATAAAAATTCATCTTTGATGTAAAAAAGTCAAATATCGTAACATTAAAATGTAACTGTCCCTTATTTACTAACTCAAGCTCATGTAGACATGTCAATTAGGGCCAAAGCCCGCGGGCTGGCCCGGCCCAGCCCTGAAAAACAGCGGGCTCGGGCTTAAAAATATATGTCCAGAAAAAAATCGGGCTTTTCGGGCTAAGCACGTTGGGCTAAAGGGTTTTTAGGGCTTAGCCCGGCCGGGCTCGGGCCGGCCCGAAAAGCCCTTAAAAAGAGATTTTAACTTCCTTTTTTATAAATATTATTGTTTAATTAAGAGATTTGTTTAAAGATTTTTTTTAATAGAGTTAAAAACTCTAAACCTAGTTTTCTAATTGTGTCTTACTATAAGTGTTATGATTTTATATTTTATTTAATGTGGGTTTAAACAATTTATTTGGATTATTTATTTGATTTTAAACTTTTTTTAAAACTAGATTGACTTTAGTGGGTTATTTAAGTTTCGTTTGACTCATTTTATACATAGATTTTTTTTTTTAAGAGATATTATAAATTAGAAGGGTTTATTTTTCTCGAAAGAAAAGCCCAAAAAAGCCCGTAAAAGCCCTGTAGCCCTGTTAGGGCCGGGCCGGGCTTCAAAATCTAGGCTCGAAATTTTTACGGGCCGGGCCGGGCCGGGCTCAAACATATGCGGGTTTTGCGGGCTTCGGGCCGGGGCGGGCCGGGCTAGCCCGATTGACATGTCTAAGCTCATGCGTGGCGAACCATACTTAGGTTTACCCCTGGGGTGAACCTTTAAATTCACCCAACAGATTATATCCAATCGTTTTGCCATGTCATTATTAATACTAGAGAATTAAAAAAAAAAAAAAACACAATTAAAAAAAAAAAGAAATCACAAAATAGATTTATGGTTTAAGGTTTAGGGTTTAGGGTTTAGGGTTTAGGGTTTAGGGTTTAGATTTTACAATTAAAACGAAATTAGATGTCGGTTTGGGTTGCCAAATGAGTGGTTAGGGTTTAGATTTTATAATTAAAACTAAATTAGATATCGGTTAGGGTTTAGGGTTTAGGGTTTAGGGTTTCGGGTTTAGATTTTACAATTAAAACGAAATTAGATGTCGGTTTGGGTTGCCAAATGAGTGGTTAGGGTTTAGATTTTATAATTAAAACGAAATTAGATATCGGTTTGGGTTGACAAATGAGTGGTTAGGGTTTAAATTTTACAATTAAAACGAAATTATATATCTGTTCACCGCTGGGTTTAGGGTTTATGGTTTAGGATTTGGGTTTTGGGTTTAGAGTTTATATAACAAATATTTCACAAACCTAAACAGATATATAATTTTGTTTTAATTGTAAAATTTAAACCCTAACCACTCATTTGTCAACCCAAACCGATATCTAATTTCGTTTTAATTATAAAATCTAAACCTTAACCACTCATTTGGCAACCCAAACCGACATCTAATTTCGTTTTAATTGTAAAATCTAAACCCTAAACCCTAAACCCTAAACCCTAAACCCTAAATCTATTTTCTGATTTCCTTTTTTTTTTTAATTGTGTTTTTTTTTTAATTCTCTAGTATTAGTAATGACATGGCAAAACGATTGGCTATAATCTGTTGGGTGAATTTAAAGGTTCACCCCAGGGGTAAACCTAAGTATGGTTCATGCGTGGCGTGGTATTATCTATTCAATTTTTAAAAAGTTTTTTTTTGATAAACTTAAAAAAAAAGGTTTTCCTAGTTCGATTAGGAATGAGAATTTACTTACTTCCAAAACTATATATAAAGACTTGAATTTATCCCTACTTCTTCGTAACAACTTAATATTTTGGCAGCTTCGTCGTTTTGGTTGATCAAGAAAAGGCAGATCCTCAAAACAGTCTCAGATATCTCAATCACAAAATTCTCTTTTCTCTTTTTTGTTTTCTTTGCTGTGAGAATAATGGGCCCAACATACAGAGATATGCCATTGCCAATAGGTATGAGGTTTCGTCCTTCAGATTTGGAGATGGCTGTTTATTTTTTGAGAAACAAAGCTTTAGGACTTACCATGAAAGCTCGTACTGTACCTGAAGAGTGTCATGATATCTTCTCAATACATCCTCGTGACTTGCCTGGTGAGACTAGCTACTTTCTCCTATATATAGATAATGTTTATGTCAAATCAGTCTAGGGTTTTGTTTCTGAATTGTAACAAATCTTTTGATGTTTGTGTTTCTTGATTTAACGTTGGATACTTCTTTCTTGAGTAACAAGCTTTGTATATATGCTAATTGAATTTGTTGATCTGTTTCTGATTTTCTTGTTCTTTCAGGCTATGGAAGCGAAGAGCATTGGTACTTCTATTGCCAAAAAACCAAGAATCAAGTTACTACTACCAAATCTTATCATCTCTGGATACCAACAGGAGAAGAAACTGATGTGTTAGATCCAAAAAAGAATGGCGAATTAGTCGGTATCAAACGGTCATTTGCTTTCATTGAGAACGAAGATGAAGAAGAAGAAGAATCCGATAATAGAAACGGTTTGGCTGATGAAGAAGAAAAACCTCCACAATACAATTGGTTCTTGGATGAAATTAGCCTCCCATTGACAGTTCTAGATACTGATTGGGTTTTGTGTCATATCTTTAACGAGAAGGTTAAACCTGAATTTGTTAATTTGCTGCCTGCTATAGTCGAATCTGAATCCGAATCCGATCCATCCGAAGTAGAAGATGAAGAAGAAGATGAAACTGTTCTTCCTCCACCTCCTGCTTCACCTTAGCTTCTTCATGAAATTGTGTTTTAGCGTTGTTGTTAGAGTTTTATGATTTTTCCCCATGGCTTTTTTACTTCATGTGAAAACACTAAATAACTATTTGATGATTCAATAATTAAGGACAGAGTTTTGGTTTTATGTCGAATAATTAAAAAAGTGAAACATATATAAAGAGTTTTAGAATCAGAATGAATGCAGACAAAATCTATGAAATAATAATAGGTCTTGGTATCAACAACAGAGTATTTGATTCTCTGTTTCTCTCAATACCTATCATTTATCAAAGTCCAAATCTTTATTAACTCTAAGCAGAGTTTTGTTTAAGATGATTATTTCATTTCAATTTCGGTTCAAAGAGAGACTCACTTGCTCGCTGATACACACACACAAGTGTGCATAGAATCCTTCCTCCACTAAATGGCTCATGTTAGCAATCTCCCGCCTACCTTGCTAACTTGCGCTCTTACTCCTCCTAAGGAGTAAATTGAACTATAACTATTGATCTCTATTTCAATAATTGTTAGGAGGTCATATATAATATGGATTGATGGAAGATATTTCTATAATATGATTTGTCCAAATATTGAAATATCCAAATCCTTAATGAAAAAGATAAAGAGATGTTTGACCAGCTTAAAAACTTCTGGTCAAACACCAAAACCTTTTTTTCCGCCTTTGTCATAAATCTTTGACTTTTTGACTTTTTCCCTCTCAACATCTCTTTTTAAGATCTCGCCACGTGTCAAACCTGTAATCTGAACCGTTCATCTTACACGCGTGAGATTTATCTCATTTTCTCCTTCCTCCGTCTTTCTGATGTTTCTTCGATCTGTTTCTTTGACCAGAGAAAAAAAAAAAAAACTTTTTAGCTTCTTCTTCTTCTTCATTGAATGTCGTTGAACACATCCCACGATACTTAACAAAATCTCTCACTCTTTCGTCTCTCTGTTTCGACTCGCAAACCATCGAAGCTTCGACTATCTTAGAGGAATTTGTTGTGATTAGGGTTTTGTTTTGTTCGACGGAAATATGATGAAAGCTTCGTTTGGAAGGTTAAGAAGATTCGCATTACCCAAATCCGATGCGATTGATATAGGAGAGCTTTTTCCCACTGCGCAAATTGAAGGTCTTGCTCGAGCCGCCAAGGTAATTTTTACCTCTTTTCACTCACAAATTTTGTTTTCGGAGATTTAGGTTTTTGAGGAATCGTGGTATTTTTGATCGCTAGATTAAAACTTGGATCAAAACATTCCGATCAAAAATCACCCGAATTGGAAATTTGGGGACTTTGACATTTATAGAAGTTTGTTCATTAATTTCTACTTTTATAGACTTTCTTTATGAAGAAATTTGGAGTTGACATTTATATCAGTTAAGGTAAGAAATTGATATTGTAACTGATGCTAGTTGATTGGTTGAACTAGAGAACTGGAAGAAGCATTTTTTTTGTCATTTGATATGAATTTAGTGGTTTTTGGTGATAATGATAGCCTAAGTTATTATTCAATTGTTTTCAGGATATGCAAGACATGAGAGAGGGTTATGATAGATTACTCGAAGTAGCTGCTGCGATGGCTAATAGCGCATATGGTAAATAAGCATTCAACCTTTATGAATCTCCCACTTTTATAGTTTCTTGCATAAATTTGGATGCTTGATGTTGTCAAACATTGATGTGTACGGTTGCTTCATATGAGATGCGGTTTGTTATACCCGTGACCTTTAGTGGGTTGAGTTACTTTGTTGATGGTTTAGGGTTCTTTTAAATTTTTTGTTCAATCTGTTTCATTTAAGAACATCATTATATTGTCAGACTTCATCTTTTTTATTTCTTTTGTTCGGTATTATCAGAGTTCTCTGAATCATTGGGGGAAATGGGTTCATGCTTGGAGCAAATCGCGCCTCATAATGATCAAGAAAGTGGTAAGCTTTTGAAGATTCAGCTATCATGGGAGTTTGTTTGTCCCTGTTTCCATGATGTAACATTGTTTCTTCTGCAGGTGGAATTCTTCTAATGTTAGGTAAAGTTCAGTTTGAGCTTAAGAAACTCGTCGACACTTATGTAAGTTGTATGTTGCAACCTTGTACTTTTTATGAAGCAATATGTATAATTATGAACAAAACTGAGGAAGTTCTTGTTTCACTCTTTTTTCCATCAGCGTTCTCAAATATTCAAGACCATTACACGACCTTCAGAGTCACTTCTCAGTGACCTTAGAACTGTTGAGGTATGCCTAGCTTTGGTCTTTTACAGTCAGAGATTATATAAAGGCAGAAAAATTCACGGTTCGAGCAAGAGTTAAAGCACAACCTTAATAAAGACCGCAGATTTTCTCATATTTTATTTTCTTTCCCTCTCAGGATATGAAGCAACAATGTGAAGAAAAGAGGTCAGTGATTTTCTGCAATGTAGTTTTTTATTCTCTTGGTTTTGGTTTGATAAATTCTTGCCTTAACCTCTGAGTCTTACTTACAGAGACGTTGTTAAGCACATGATAATGGAGCATGTGAAAGACAAGGTACAAGTTAAAGGCAGTAAAGGGGAGAGACTTATTCGCCGTCAGTTAGAGACTGCTCGTGATGAGCTACAAGATGAGGCTACTTTGTGCATTTTCCGATTGAAATCTCTCAAGGAAGGACAAGCTCGAAGTCTCCTCACACAAGCAGCCCGCCACCACACTGCTCAGGTACCTTGTGAATAAAATTACTATTCTATGTAAGAAACCTTCCCGCAATTTCTCAATCAGTGTCGCTTATATTTTCTTATATATGCATAGATGCATATGTTCTTTGCTGGTCTAAAATCGCTTGAGGCAGTAGAGCAACACGTCAAAATTGCTGCAGACAGACAACACATTGACTGTGAGCTCTCTGATCACGGGAACGAAATGGATTGTAGTGAGGATAATGATGATGATGACCGACTTGTTAACAGAGATGGAGAACTTAGTTTTGACTACATAACAAGTGAGCAGAGAGTAGAAGTTATATCTACACCACATGGATCGATGAAGGTAATTTAAATTTCAAAATGAACCTGAATTGGGAGAGAAAAACTTTATTCGTTAAAAGGTAAGCTCATGTATTGCCATTTCCCTATAGATGGATGATACAGATCTCTCATTTCAACGCCCTTCACCTGCAGGATTATCAACAGTATGTTCTTTTCTTGATTTTCATGTCAGATTTTACATTTCATGTACATGAGAACTCTCAATTAGTCAACTGTATTAGAACTGCATTGGTGATTCTGTGTTGAAGTCATATTCTCTGATGCAGGTAAATGCAGATCCTAGAGAAGAGCACCCAATGTCAAACCGTGATCGCAGAACGAGCAGCCATTCAGCACCTCTGTTTCCGGATAAGAAATCTGATTTAGCAGATAGATTAATGAGGCAAATGACTCCATCTGCAAATGCTTACATATTACCAACTCCGGTCGATTCAAAGTCCTCACCAATCTTCACAAAACCTGTCACCCAAACAAACCACAGTGCAAACTTATGGCATTCATCTCCACTAGAACCGATAAAAACTGCTCATAAAGATGTGGAAAGTAACCAATATTCCCGTCTTCCCCGTCCTTCAGAACACGCATTCTCTGGACCACTCAAGCCATCCTCAACCCGTCTTCCAGTACCAGTTGCAGTTCAGGCTCAGTCATCTTCTCCAAGAATCTCTCCTACCGCTTCACCTCCGCTTGCTTCTTCTCCACGGATCAACGAACTCCATGAGCTTCCAAGACCACCGGGTCAATCTGCACCGCCACGACGCTCGAAATCTCCTGGTTTGGTTGGTCATTCGGCTCCATTAACGGCTTGGAATCAAGAAAGAAGCAATGTAGCTGTGTCAACAAACATTGTAGCATCACCACTTCCGGTTCCACCGCTTGTTGTACCGAGAAGCTACTCTATACCTTCTAGAAACCAGAGAGCCATGGCTCAACAACCGCTGCCCGAGAGGAACCAAAACAGAGTAGCCTCTCCACCACCTCTGCCGCTAACTCCAGCGTCTCTGATGAATCTCAGATCGCTGTCTCGGTCTCAAGTCGGGGAAGTAGCTCCGAGCGGACTAATTAGAGGTAACGGAAACAAAACTAACCTACTGTTTTTGTAACTTATCTTAATCATCAATGATTTTAAGACATGGTTTGTTTATATTAACGCAGGAGTAAAACTGACTGAACACTGACCTTGTAACGGTCGCGTTTGATCAAAACGTTAGTTGTAGAAATAGACCCATAAGTAAATATAGAAGTTGGTATTTTGTAATTTCCTTAGTTGTTGAATGAATCTCCTGATTTGTTATTAAGCCTCCGATATTTTTTTGCTCTTTTTTATCCTTTATCTTTGAAAGATTATTTTCTTACTTATCTCTGAGAACTACCATTAAAAATGAGAATTTAAAGGAAATGATAATTATAACTTTAAAGTCAAGAAAATAGATGGATATTTTCTTTCTAATTATAGTATTTTGCTTTACATAAGGGAAGTGAAAATGACAGTAACATGACCAGAATTTGGGTGGGGAAGGAAGACAAATACGTTTGCCCTCTCACGTGACAGACCCAAACTGGATATCACGTGATTAGCAAATGGGCCTAGTTTAGTAGGCCCACTTAGAGGACAAGTACCTAACTTCTCGCTTCTTCTTCTTTAGTTTCATTGATTTGATTTGAATTTTCGTATTTTAAAGAGCATTATTGTATTTGATTGTGTATAATTTGCATCAAATACACTAATTTTTAAGTTTTGAGATCGTGATTTGTGAGTGGCGTGAAACTGAAAAAAATCCTGAATTGATAAGAGTCGACCACATACAAAACCGTAAAGAATTAAGGGTTGGAATTAAAAAAAAAAGAGAGACGAAAATAACAAATTTTTATTTTTTGATTTTTGTAACAAATTTTTTAATTTATTATGCCGTTGGGGAAAAAACGATAATTATGCCAAATGTTTCTAACACTACAGTTTCCAAAAAATTAAAGGTAAAAAAAAAAAAGAAAAAGAAAAAAAGGAGAGCTATAGAAATGGTGATGCGATGTTGGGATTTGTTTATAAGCCAAGAGACGAAGAAGAAGAAGAAGAGGTCTCTCGATCATCTCTACATTCTTCCTTTTTCATTTTCTCTTTCGAATCTTTTCTTCTTCTTCTTCGTATATCTTCTTCTCCAATTCATACGAATTCAGATTTTTGGGGGTTTCTGTGAATAATTTTGGATTGCGTATGAAACGTTTCATCCACAGATTATGTAATTTATTGCTCCAATCGTTTTGTTTTTCTTTGATTTTGGTGTTGCTTTGATGATGAGATAATCTCTTGATATGATCACACAAATGTTCTCCTGTGCGATCTCTCGTTCCATCAGCTCGAAACTTTTTGGTTGATCTTCAATTCTAGCCGGAATTTGTAGTTTTGTGTTCGATGATTTTAAATTCACTGTGTGCTTAGTGATGTTTGCTTGAATCTCTTATACACTGAGAATCATTTTGGTTTTTTTTTTATGTCTCTTTATTGAATCACATCATCTGTTTGTTAATTTGTGAATCACATCATTTTGGTTCTTCATTGATTCTTAGCTTAAGAATGGTTCTAGTTTATATGATCATCGTTTTTCTTACTTCTACAAATTTTGTTGTAGTGATGCAGCTCAAGAATCTGCTAGCTAAGTTTTATTGGATTAAATTCGTATTTTGTGGTGGATATGTTGTTGATTCTTCTTCTCCATTTTTTTGTTTATTTCAGGAGACTATCAGCTCTTTCTTCTCTATCCTCAACATGCTCCAGAAATCTGTCACATAAATTTTATGTCTCCTCTCACCAATGGATGACTTGTGGATGCCTGTGACTTATGCTTAGTTCTATATTTTCTATATCAAATTGATTCAGTGGTAGGCTGTCTTATTGCAACGATTTGGTAGGTAATTGGCTGGAGTAGTGAATCTCGGATTAGTGTCGATAGAGAAGGTCTTTGAAGAGCTCACAGGCAGCTATATAATCCAGTAAGTGATAAGGTCCTTTGAGCATTGGCATGGGTCTGCCACACACTGCTTCAAATGAGCAAGCCCGTGAAGCTTTGTCTGCTCCAAGTTGCAGCCTTTCTCAAAGTCTGCCTGTAAATGCCACTTCTTGTGATTCAGATGGTATTAACAGAGGGGACGAAGGTAGTTTCCGCTTCTCTATTGGAGAATCTGATAGGCAAACAGCATTGGAATCTTTGGAGTTTAGAGATGACTTATGGAGATTCCATGACACTCGGGCTGTTACCTCGTTATCTGCTCACGAACCGCCTTATGCAATGGATAAGGTAAATTTGAGTCGAACTGAAGTTAGAAGGATAGTTGGTTTCGAATCAAATGAATCTAGCTCACCGAGTAATGAATATACGAGTATCACTGTTAATCGCACTGGTGGATCTAATGAGGTAGATATTATCGGTGGATCGTTAGTCAGGAAACGGGTAAGCTCTCCTCTGAATAAGCTTTTCCCTGAGAAATTTAGAGGAGACTCGCTTGATATCAGCCATAGCAACCAACAGTTGACTTCTGCTGGTATTCCTAATGGATTTCACATTCCTGTTGCACAAGATCATAAAAAGGCCAATATCTCTGGGAGATTACGCCTCTTTACCACTTCTACCTGCTCTGAATGGGGGAATGACTCGTCACACACGGGTAAACTTTCATCTACTGTTTTCACGGATGGTCCATTGCTTGACTCCAATGATCTGCAGCCCACAAAAGATGTACATTGCTTATATTTACCAGTACATGAAACATTTCAAGTACCTGCTAAGCCATCACCATGTCATAGAAACATATCTGTCTCTCCGCCACTTTCTATGTCACCTCTTGGGCCAAGATTTTCCGAGAGAATGAAAGCTCTTCAAGGGGGCCTAAATGGGAATATCTTCGAAGATGGTGTTTGTTTAAGGAATACTGGTGAAGAAGCAGAACTCAGGACTGGTCATAGATGGTATGATGATACTAATGGTATCCAGAGATCCTTTTCAATGGATAGAGCTATTGAATCAGTTCCTACATCTCCATGTAAAAGATTTAGTAGAAGCTTGAGTGGACGTCCCATTCAAAGGTCATTGGTTGGTTCGTTTGAAGAATCCCTCTTTTCAGGAAGATTATCCTCTGGGCAAGCTAATCAGGTCTCACTCACACCAAAACCCATGAAACTCACAAAACCTCGAAGCCAAAACTCTTCGTTGTTTAAAACCCAAAAACTTAAAAGACATTTAAAATTTGACTCACTTAATCACTTTTTGTTTCGTTATTTGCAGAAGATCGATGGTTTTCTTGCCATTCTAAGTATAGCTGGTGGAAACATCTCTCCAAAATCACAGAAGCTTCCATTCTCAGTAACAAGTGTTGGTGATGATTGCTTCTTACTATATTATGCCTCCATAGATCTCTCTGGAGGATCATTGCCAAACAAATTATGGGGTCAGAAACTGAAAACCAACCAAAAGTCTGATGCTCAGACCATCATTAATAAACGTCTTCGGATTCCTATGAAGGGTCGGATCCAACTGGTACCCTCTTGTCTCAATTGCCTTTTTTCTTAAGAAAATTCTATTCATAACAAATTTATGATAGGAGCTTTCCTGTTTTGCAGGTTCTGAGTAACCCTGAAAAGACACCTCTTCACACTTTCCTTTGTAACTATGACTTAACTGATATGCCACATGGTACAAAGGTAACTTCAAACCTTCCTCCCCTTGTTTCGATTGTTGCTTGTATTTGTGTTTATGTTGCTTTTACATTAGCATTTAGTGTATATTTTTTTCAAATCAACTGTTAGCCTTGAGCAAACTTGATTTTCAAAATTTATAACAAGTCAATTTTATTTAATATGTACTGATTCAATGTTTGATCGAATTCTTGTGTCACGATCAGACCTTCCTGCGCCAAAAGGTTACTCTGGCCTCCTCTGTTCCGACCAAAGCCAAAAAATCTATAGATACAATAGACCAAAATCTTGCAAATAAAGGTAGTGAAGGATCTGAGTCAGTGGATGAATTGCATTCGCCGAATGAGTGTAGGAACAAGAATTGTCGTGAGACGTACAGAGAAACAGGACAACGATGTTCAAAGTCTGGAGTCTTACGATACGCACTTCATCTTAAATTTATTTGCCCTTTACGCAAGAAAGCCTCAAAATTAGGTCAGAAGAAAAGCTTGGATGCAGCAGATGATGGAGAGAGGAGATTCTATTTATATAATGACTTGAGAGTTGTGTTTCCTCAACGCCACACAGATTCTGATGAAGGAAAGGTATGTTAGAAAAATTTATTCAAATTCATTTGGGGTATAGAGCTACTTGAACGCAAACGCAAAACGCTGATGTTGCTTTTGAAATTGCAGTTGAATGTGGAGTATCATTACCCAGAAAATCCAAGATACTTCGACGTGTAACCAATGGAGGAATCTCTGCTTCCAAAATCGTTTTTCTGTTTTAGTTATTGTTAGAAGAAAGTAAAAGAATGTTTTGTACATAAGATAAAAGAGCGTTTCGGTAATAGGGAAATTGCCCCACAACGTTCGGTAATTATCAGTTTGCCCCACAACTTCCGATCGTAGGTCTATGCTTCGTACATATTATAGCAAACCACAATGGGTTTCGAACCACAATGCTGAGAAGTTTTATGTTAATATGGTAAAAACCTTACACAAAAATATTGAATCAACGAAACAGATCTGCAGTTTAACGAAGACATTGAGTGTTGCCAATACGAAGATTGAGACAAAAATTACTAAAATGATCATAAAGGGAGGGTACTGAACCATCATCAACTACAAACCTACACACAACAAAGCCAAAGAAGAACTAAAAAAAAGATTCAAATCAAGAAAAATTGAGATTCTTTGTTCCTACATACACAAAAGATTCCGTCAAACGCAACCAAGAATCACCTAAAACCACGGAAGAGAAGAGTACTCAAGCAAACAAAGGAAACTAATTCATACCAATTTGACCGGATTTAGGTTTCCAAATGACTTGAAAACAAAGCCTTTTCAGGGTTCTCGTTCTTCTTTAAATATACAAACAAATACACTCAGTGAAAAGAAAGAGTTTCACAAAAAGACAGGCCCAGAGTAACAGGCCCATCAGATATTTTTGTCGTTAAAGGTTTTGTATTAAACCATTGTGCTAAAGGGAAGCCAAACAGTCTCATATTTTGCTTAAGGGAAGCCAAACAGTCTCAAAACAAACCATCTCCTTCTTCCTTTTTCCTCTCTTTGTCGATTCATCTTATAGATCCTTTCCCTTTCTCCATTATTTCCTCTCAGAGTTGAAATGGCTATACAGTTCTTCGGGCGCCTTCACTAAGTCAATCACTTGTTGGTTCTGTTCCTCTGTTGTGTTGGCTTTGTTTTCACTTTTTTTTTTTTTAACTAATTTGTTTGGTTGGCTTCCGACAAATCTTCTCATCTTATGGTGTTTTCTTGTGATTTTTGTTTTCAGGGTCAGAAAACCCCCAATTTTGGTAGACTGAAATAGTATCTTTGGGGGTGATATGGCGAAAATCAGTGACTTGTCTGATGACTTGCTGGTGAAAATATTGTCGTTTCTTCCAACAAAAGTTGCCGTATCCACTAGCGTTTTGTCGAAACAATGGATGTTTATTTGGATGTGGTTGCCTAAACTCGAGTTCGGCTTTAGTCGTCGTTCAAAGTATGCATGCCTGAGGGATTTTATTGACAAGAATCTGCCATTACACAAAGCTCCGATCATAGAAAGCCTGTACCTTGACTCTTTTTATGGATCACTTCAACCTGAGGATATGAAATCGTGGGTTGGAATTGCAGTTTCTCGCTACGTGCGTGAGCTAAGTATTGACTATTCCTCTTTACATGACCGATCTGTTGCATTGTTGCCGTGTAGTTTGTATAGATGCAAATCGCTTGTGACTTTGAAACTTATAGGCGAGAAGATTCTTGTGGATGTTCCTCCAACGGTTTGTCTCCCTTCTTTGAAAACTTTGCGACTGGATTATGTGACATACTCAAAAGACGAATCTCTTCGTCTGCTTCTATCCTATTGCCCTGTTCTCGAAGATCTGTTTATTGACTCAGATTACTATCCCAAGTTAGTTAATATTCCTGAAAATGTGTCGTGTAGTTTGTATTCATGGAAATCGCTCGTGACTTTGAAACTCCAAGGCGAGAAGATTCTTGTTAATGTTCCTCCAACGGTTTGTCTCCCTTCCTTGAAAACCTTGCAACTTCTATGTGTGACATATTTGAATGAAGAATCTCTTGGACTGCTTCTATCCTGTTGCGCTCTTCTGGAAGATCTGAGTATTGAACGAGACTGTAATGACAATGTGAAAGCGTTAGTAGTTGTTGTCCCGTCCTTGCAGCGTTTAACTTTAACTATAGAACAAGGATGTTCTGCTGATGGATATGTAATAGTTACCCCTTCTTTGAAGTATTTCTATCTTGTGGATAAAAGAAGTGAAAGCTCCTGTTTGATTGAGCATATGCATATGCCAGAGCTCGAAGAGGCAGATATCAGTCTAATGGAGGATATTGAGAAAGATATTGAAATGCTTTTCAAATCAATCACAACTGTCAAACGTCTATCATTATACATGTCATTCAACGGTGGAAATGAGGTAATATGTTTCCAAATGTCCACAAATTTTCACTTAGAACACTAAAAATCGGAGTTTGAATCCTTTGTTATGTCTGCAGACTGTGCATCGTGATGGTATTGTCTTCAGTCAGCTTGAAGATTTGAAGCTATATATATGCAGCGAAAATTGGTCTAAGTTACTTGTCCACTTGCTCAAACATTCTCCTAACCTGCAAATCCTCAATCTCTTGCTTAATGATCCTGTAAGTGTTTCTTCGTCAACTACTTTGCGGTAAAGGTCAGCATGGTGTATTGGTGTAATTTTAACTCTTCTTTTTCAATTTTTATTTTTTTAATTTCAGTTCAATGGAGGTTATAGCAATTATGAACCGGTTAGCTGGAGCAATAATCAGAGCTCAGTTCCTAAATGTTTCTTGAATAGTCTTGAGACTTTCAAGTTTATTGGGTACAACAGTAGGGAAGCAGAAGACAGGGATTTCTTGAGTTTTATCTTCAAACATGCTCGTTGCTTGAAATCTACCTCAATCGTGCACGTATGATTTTATGTTCTACAATTGAAACTTGAAAATGATCTAAGAGTCGTCGTATTATGGGTTTCGTATTTGTTTTGTTATCCAAGAACAAGTAGGTTTTTTATTTGAATTTGGAACTTGTTTTTGAACAAAACTTGTGCCTTATATTTGGTTAATTATTATATCGTCTGGTTATGTCATACAATTTATAGGGTTTTACCTCAACAGTCAAAACAGAGATCAACACAGTAACGACCAGGAAAATGTAGTCGTAATAAATGACTCAAAAACATGAATAGCTTTTAAGCTTGATTATTAAAGATGAAAAAGCTTCACATACACGTCATAAATTATACTAGAACTTAGCAGTTTGTTAGCATCCCATTTTTATTTATCCGGATTTGGATATTCAGTCTAACGCAACCAAGAATCACCTAAAACCACAAAAGAATCAAGCAAAGAAAATAAACTAAACTCATACCAATTTGACCGGATTTAGGTTTCCAAAACAAGCCTTTACATATTATAGCAAACCACAATGGGTGAAGAAGAGAGAGGCCATGCTGAGAAGTTTATGCTGCTGGAAGGACTAAAGAGACATACATAGTATATGAAACCTTTAGTTAAATATTATATATACCAACGATTGTTTACAATAACATACCCAAATTTAAGTGTTTAATCACACAGTTAAATAAGTTATCCTGTAAGTAGAATAAGGTATCCGGTAAATGGAGCATAAAATCTAGTTACTAAATTTATTGATTTCGGAGATCAAAGGTTGGGATTTGGGAAGAGAAACCATGAGAGAGGTAATAGAGCGACCTCGGCAAAATGTTTCTGTAAGGATCAGTTTCTCTTTTGGTCTTTAAATAGGTCATACATCTTTCTACCTCAGACTTGACCTCCAAGTAAACCTCATGAGCTTTCTCTTTATTATTTAGCTCTTTCTCTCTACCTTCTGTTTCTATTGGTTTCCCAAAGTATACGTAAAACCGTCCCGGAATCTTGGGAACTATTCCAGGCACATGCAAATCTTGTTTTCCCAATTCGCCTTCTTCATCGTTCCTAACCATATATTTTCATCACTATATTCAGAATCAGATGTTATATCAGGTTTGTGTGATTATTTCTAACAGAGTCGATAAAAGACATACCTCAAGTTAACAGAGTCTTGTGTTATCTCTTCAATAAGATTCTTCAAAAAAGGGATCTTCATTTGATCATTGTAATCTAAAACCATCTGCGAATCATTCCATTGTACAGAGGAGTTAGTTGAAACCCGATTGAAATAAAAAGAGTTTTAAGAATATATTAAACTAGAACTGAAAAGAGATTTAGCATTCTTAAACAGAATGCATTTGATCATTGTAATCCATGACCATCAATCTTCCATTGCTCAAAGGAGTTACTCAAAAACCAATTAAAACAAAAAAAGTTTTAAGAATGCAGATGTTGAAACTAGAACGGAAAGGAGATTTTTTGCTTACTTCACAGAGATCATCTTCTCCAACAGCTCCAAAAGGAATGATTTTTGCTCCAAATTTAGATGCTATCCTTACAAACTCCGAATGTTCTGGCCAAAACAACTTGTATTCTTCACCCTGTAATAAAATGTGTCTTTAGATATTAAGCCTCAAAAATTCAAATGAAGGCAAATATGAAAAATACATAATCACCTTTCTGTGCAAAGCTTCACGAACACCTCCAGGGTACAAAGCCACGTGAGCCTTTGAACGAAGTAGTTTGTAGAAATTCATTCCCGAGACAGGAACTGCGCCTATTATCTTAAATAAGTCGTACAACTGCATATCAGGGAGTTTTGAGCCACTTTTTTTGGTAAACATCAATGGATGTGCCAGTCCTCGCAACAGAATGTTCCTTTCTTTCAAGAAATGAAGTGCTATTGCATGCAACTCCATACCAAGCAACATGTGATTGCCAACATACAGAACCGGTCCCTCTGAAGGTATTCCTGCAAGTGATCTTACTACTGCACCATTGTTTAGAGTTGAGAGAAAGACTGGGGAGGTAAGAGCAGTTAGCAATCTGGACCAGAGAAATTAAAAAAAGATTACTACTTCAGTATGTGCTTATGGTAGCAGAAGCAAATCTTCTATTCTAGCTAAGTAGTACTATACAGAATATTTTCACTAGATCTAAGTCAAGAAGTTGTTTGACACAGCAATTAGAGAAGTGATAACATTTATGACACACAGATATTGATGTGAAAAGTGAGTAATTTACCTTTGTGATTCTTCATACTCTTTGAACTCAAATGGGGTAGGCAGAATGTAATCCGAAATGTAATCAAGTGACTTCCCACGACGATAATAATAGGCACGCTTGATGATAGTCACCAGATCTACTCCATCCTCCTGACATGACACAAAATGGATAAATCGAGACGTATGTTATTAAACCAAACATAATCTGAAAATTTTCTATGCCAAGTCTGATGCAAGAAGTTTTATATTGTCTATAAACTCGTGGAAACTAGATTTCCTTGTGAATCAATTAAATAGGAGTAACTGACACAAGGAAAACTTCTTGCATAGAGCTCCTTACCAAGAAGAGGAACTGTCCATTATTGTCAAGCTCACGAACTTCACATCTTGGCAATGCACCACGGAGTCTTTCAATGTCTTCCTTGTTCATTAACCATTGATCATGTCCACTGCAATAACACAGGCGTATTAAAGCTACAACTCAGCTTCCAATTAACTAAATTCAATACAAAGAAATAGATCTCTGAACTTCCACTTATATTCAGTAACGAAACAAAGAAGTTTACTAGTGTATGAACCTCAGAAGTATCAGTGTTTGGGCGTTGACTGTGTTCATCTGAGGATTAGCAGACGCTGAAGCAGACTTAAGCAATTGAAGCTTCCATAGAAGTGTGTCCTTGGGAAAGATTCTAATCAGAGTCTGTAAATAATTTGTTTTCGTGAGTTTATCTCATGACATTTATCGACTGACTAGAGAAAGTAAAATCGAATCAACAAAATGAAGAACAACCAAAAGCACATTACTAGTTAAACAATATGACCTGCAAGACAAAAACATGCATCAATCATTTGTTCTCCTAAAATAGAGTCTTACAGGCAGATTAGATGAAGTTGCAAAGAACTCTCCTAATAGCCTTCTACCCATCTGCGCGGCATCAGTTTCATTGAGCATAGTCTCGAACATTTCTGTCAATGGAGAAGCAATGTAATAAAACAGTTAGCCCTGACTTTGAAGCAAGACCTTACACTGAAACCCATCTTTGAGACAGAATTTTGAAGGCACAGTCTTTGCATCTTATTTATTTTTGCTTACACGGATAGACGTGGAAGATATACAAAGGGTTGAAACTTCACCTTGGTTAAACCCAAAATTCTCTGTTACCAAGCTGGGAACTTCGTCAGGCAAAATTTCCAGTAGGCCCAATAAAGGTTGCAACATGAAGTTGTTGAAACGTGTGACTGCATCAAACAGAGTGTATTATGAGCACAAGACAAAGATGCATATATTCCATGAGATCTACCTACACAAATCCCCCAAAGAAAAGAGTATAATGTGTGCGCAAGCCAACGAAAAATAAAACACTTTTTGCATGATTAGAACAATGCTTTACCAACAACGCTTATATCATAAAATGTGTGCTTAGCTCATGACACTTTTTCTGAGCTTGCAACATTGTGGTTTCATAAATGGCCGAAAATATCTTAGGAAACAAAGAAAAAGAACACAATAAAGGATCTCAATTCTCAATGATCCAGAAAAAAATGAGTAGTCTCCCTTTACCTGGATTAGCCAGAATCAAGACAAGATCGATGTCAGGGTTACTGGCTGCAACATCTAGAGCAAGAGAAGCTCCAATAGATTCTCCAACTATATAGATAGGTCTATTTGGGAAACGGTAGTGCTCTGACCGAACTGTCTTCTCAATGAGCTTCACAAGATCTGAAAACAACAGTAAGAGTTTCACCCACATAAGATTAGGAAACGCTAATGCGACTTCAGATAATGCAGACAAAGAAGCACCTCGAGCAGGGGTACGATCTTTCACTGGACAGTGAAGGCACCATATGTCAAATATCCTATGATCAAAAAGATAATGAGATCAGAAACAAAGACTATTCACTAGATCTCTACTTCTCTTTTGAAATTGAAATTTTAAACATTAAAGAAACAGGAGCTGTGCACAATGAAGAGCCTATCTCCAGCTCTAAGGCAATAGAGAAGATTGAATCAAACAAGACTTACTCTCCAAGCCTCTTATGCTGGCGAATGAGCCCTAATCCAGTACCATCAATTCCTGCAATTTTGGAAAACTAGTTTTCATCGATTTCAACCCAATCAGAATAACGAAAATCAATCAAAGGAACTATCGATTTCAGCCCTAGATTGAAAGAAACAAACCAGGTAAGTAGAGAAGAAGAGGAGATCCAGGAGCACGTGAGCCACATTCCAACGGTGAGAACCACCGTGGCGGACCACTATCTCCGCCGTCTGATCTGACGAAATCTCCAGCTTCCACCAAAAAATCCGTCAAACTCTTCCGTTCCTCAGGCCGTACTTCCTCCGTATACGAATACGGATTCACCGTCGCCTTCAACTTCCCACCGATTCCGAATTTCGTATTCGTAAATCTTTGGGTTGAATTCGCGTAGCAAAAATGGAGATTGTAAGCTTTTTTCGAAGCTGAGGAAGAGAAGGTGGGAGCGATTCCATCAGTGATACGAACTGTAGTAGTAGTAATCGCCATTGACGATCAGAAAAAGTTGGAAGAAGGTTTTTGTTGTTTAGCTTCTTCATCTTCTAATAGGTTGAACACGACAAGCTCGTGTACACGAGAAAAACGATTATAAAAATATGCCACGTTGGTTTTTTCAGTTTGAATATTTTCAAAATTCAAATTTTGGCTCGGTTTAGATGGAAACTTGCTTAAATTCAATTGAGCTGGTTCGGTTTGGTTCAAACCGGGTTGATTTTTTTGTTAATTAAACTTTGTATGAACCGCGTAATACCCCAACTGTGTGATTTCTGAAGGAACTGAAACTTCAAACTTGCTTTAACTCAAAATCTCCTCTTGCAAACTGGGAACTCCATCAGGCAATATTATCAGTAGACTAGATAAAGGTTGCAACATGAAGTTGTTGAAATGTGAGACTGCATCAAACAGAGTCTATTATGAGCACAAGACAAAAATGCATATATTCCATGAGATTTACTCACACCATTACACTTACCAAAAAGAAGCCATAAGCCCTTTTAATTTAACTGTTCAAAAAGATAGCTTAACCTAAAATATCATGATAAGTGATAACATTCCAAAAGCAGAAGTATTTTCCTTGTAGAGTTAAGTAGAAAATCCCTCTTTAACAAGCTTTGCATAGAAACTTTGTTTCTTGATACCCAATTGCATGTCCTCAGCAAGCAATGCCTTCCATTCATCAGTTAGCTTTTTCCTTTGTGTAGCTCCAAGGTTTTTCAAATTTTGAAGCAGCGACTTCTGTTGATAGATACCTAAACTCGGAAATGATGCCACCACCTCAAGTGCATCTTGCAGAACATTTAAATCCTCACACTTTTCTTTCTCACCATCATCAATCGCATTACTCACCCGTTTCTTCAAAACAAGTTTAGTAAATATTAAACTGAGATGGTAGATAAAAAGAAGATTGGTAGAAGAACACACACATACACAAACTCTCACCTTTGTTTGGTCCATAATCTCATATTTGGTTTTGTTATTACCCCATATGACCGTAGACAATTTAAAGACTTGTTTATCATGAGCACTAGTAAAAGAAAGTCTTTTTCCAGCATTAGATCTCGCCTGATTATCTCCAAATCTCAGCTTCAACTTGTAAACCTTATCTATTAGCTGTTTCTTAGAGAAATCTGATCCCATTGAATCTCTGATTCGATCGTAAATCGCATTCCAGTCAGATGTGTAGCTACACTTGTTTTCTTTTTCATAATCCTCAATACCCTTAATCCACAACAACAACAACAACAATGTAAAAAGTCCAAAACTTTATTAAGAAAAAGAACAGAGAAAACAGAGAGAATAAAGCTTAGAAATTGCAGACCTCGAGAATGAGAAGCTCTTCGGTTCTAGTCCAGTTCCTCTTCCAAGCACCTGAAGAAGAAGGTTCCAACAATGTCGTTGCCGTCTTCAGTTTCTTTCTCTTTCTGAGCATCGTCTCCGAACCGGAGATGTCGTCATCTTCATGTTTTCGGATTTCAAAGCAATCAGAGTTTGAGTAGTCGCTGGAATCACTTCCCTGAAGCTGTCGCTTCATCGATGAGTGATAAAAATCAAATTTTTTAGAAATTTGGGGAATTTTGTTAGAACCCTAGATTCTCTCCAGCAAGCGTTAGAGTGGACTTGACACTTGACAGGACAATGGCACTGATGACGTTGGAATATCAAGAGTCCAAAAAAACTTTAAATGACTAAAATACCCTTTTCACATTTTGGGCTTAAAATGCACAAGGAAAAAGTCTGAGGTCTTTCTTATTTACAAATCAAGAACACAGTCTCTTTCTTGTTATTGCAATATTTCACCCAACAAGAAATATTTCCCAAACTTGCATGAATATTAACACCCAACTAAAAAACATATGCAAGTTCATGATTCTGCTATTGTTATAAAATACACCTCGAACTTACCCAACTTCCACATTAAAAAAGCCACACTTTTAAAAGTTACAAAACCAACCCACACATAATTTAGTAGTCACACAAATCTAGTAACTAAGTTAAGTGAAATCGGAGATCAAAGGTTGAAATTTGTGAAGAGAATTCATGAGAGAGGTAATATATTTCGGTAAGGATCAGCTTCTCTTTTGATCTTCAAATAGGTCGCGGACGTCTTCCAAACTCAGACTTGACCTGCAAGTAAACCTCATGAGCTTTCTCCTTACCTCCTATGTACGGTTTCCTAAACTACACATAATACCGTCCCTGGATTAATCTAAATTTTGTAATCCATGACCATCTGTGAATCATTCCATTGCTCAAAGGAGTTACTCAAAAACGATTGAAACAAAAAGAGTCTTAAGAATGCAGGTGTTGAAACAAGAACAGAAAAGAGATTTTTGCTTACTTCACAAAAGTCATCTTCTCCAACAACGCCAAAAGGAAAGAAATTTTTGCTCCAAATTTAGAAGCGATTCTCAAAAACTCTGGCCAAAACAACTTGATGGCTGATATATATGATAAGTTACAAGCGAGTCATTTTACCTTGATATTCTTCAAATTCTTTGAGCTCAAATGAAGTAGGCAGAATGTAGTCAGAAACGTAATCAATCGACTTCCCACGACCATAATAATAAGTACACTTGATGATAGTCACCAGATTCACCCCATCCTCCTAACATGACATGAAGTTGATCAGTCCTCTAGCAACCTGGGAATTCTGTCAGGCAATATTATCAGTAGACCAGTAAAGGTTGCAACATGAAGTTGTTGAAATGTGTGACTGCATCAAACAGAGTCTATTATATGCACTAGACAAAAGATGCATATATTTCATGAGATTTACTCACACAAATCCCCCAAAAAGGAATATAATGTGTACAAAAGCCAACACTATTACACTTACCAAAAAGAAGCCATAAGCCTATTTAATTAACTGTTCAAAAAAGATGGCTTTAAACACAACATAGGAATTAACCTAAACATCATGATAACATTCCATAAGCAGAACTATATTCCTAGTAGAGTTAAACAGAAAATCCTTCTTTAACAAGCTTGGCATAGAAACTTTGTTTCTTGATACACAATTGCATGCTGAGTTTTAAATGGCGCAAAGCGCACCATATGGCACAAAGGGTCCTTGAATGAGCCATGCGCCATGGCGCGCCAAAGCGCGCGCTTTTCGGATCTGTGGCGCTCCATTAACAGATTCTCTGTATATATGGTTTTAGCCATCAAGGTTCGTTGTCTATGGTGTTATATTTAGGAGAATTAGGGATTTTACATCTTCAAATTGGGGTTAAATGTCGTGGGTTAAGAGTTAAAGGTCAGAACCGGTTCAATTTAAGATAAACCGAGGATTGATTTGGTTTGATAAACTAATGGTAACACATGGTTAAGATTTCAAGTCGGTTTAGGATACCAAACCACTTAAATTGAACCATGTATTAACCAGCTAAGTTTGTAAAACGGTTTATCCTATTCAATCTAGTCATCTTCTTCGTCAAAACCCTAAAATCACATAGTTCTTGCTGCTGGTTTCGAAGAGTTTTCGCCTGAACACAAGAGGCGCTCGCCTTGACCGCCTCGTGCATCGGCCATGGCTCATGTATGGCGCGCGCATCATAGATCTCGCCTCGCCTCCATGTCTTGTTGCCCTTTTCTTCGAGCCTCGGTGCGCATCGCGCCATGGCGCGCCACAGGCGCGCTTTTTAAAACTAAGATTGCATGTCCTCAGCAACCAATGCATTCCACTCATCGGTTAGCTCTTTCCTTTGTGTAGCCCCAAGGTTTTTCAAATTTCGAAGCAGCGACTTCTGTTGATAGTTACCTAACCTCAGAAATGATGCCGCCACCTCAAGTGCCTCTTGCAGAACATTCAAATCCTCACATTTTTCTTTCTCACCATCATCAATCACCCGTTCCTTCAAAACAATATATTAAACTGAGATGCTAGATATTAAGGAGATTGGTAGAAGAAAACACACACACACACACAGACAATCTCACCTTTGTTTGGTCCATAATCTCATTAGAAGCAGATTTGGTGGTTATGTTTTTACCCCATATGATCTTTGACAATTTGAACACTTGTTCATCATCGGAATTAGTAAAAGAAAGTCTTTTACCAGCAATAGATCTCGCCAGATTATCTCCAAATCTCAACTTCAAATTGAGAATCTTATTAGTCAGCTGTGCCTTAGAGAAATCTGATACCATGGAATCTCTGATACGATCGTAAACCGCATTCCAGTCAGATGGGTAGCTCAACTTCGTTTCAATTTGATAGTCCACAATACCCTTGTTCACAACAACAACAACAATGAAAAAAGGTGAAAACTTTATTAAGAAAAAAAAAAACAGAGAGAAAAAAAAAGCCTAGAAATTGCAAACCTCGAGAATGAGGAGCTCTTCGGTTTTAGTCCAGTTCTTACAAGCACCAGAAGAAGAAGGTTCCAACAATGTCGTCGTCTTCAGTTTCTTATTGTTTCTGAGCATCGCCTGAACCGACCCGGAGATGTCGTCATCTTCATGCTTCCTCGTGTGTCGGATTTTAAAGCAATCCGAGTTTGAGTAGTCGCTGGAATCACTTCCCTGAAGATGTCGCTTCATCGGTGAGTGATAAAAGATCAAACTTTTTACAAATTTGGGGAATTTTGTTAAAACCCTAGTTTCTCCTCTCCCAGATTGAGAGTAAGAGCAGCAAGCCTTTGGAGTGGACTTGACACAGGACTGACGTTGGAATTTCAAGTCCTAAAAAACCGTAATTGACTAAAATACCCTTCTCTCAGTCTCTCACATTTTGGGCTCAAAATGCACCAAGGAAAAAGTCTGAGGTCTTCTTGTAACACCCTAAACTTTCTAGTTTCTTAACTTCTACATTAACACCCATATACTTTTTGAAGTTACAATAACATATCCAAATTCCACAAAGTTAATCCAACTCGTTGCTAACGAAATTTAGTGATTTTGGAGATCAAAGGTTGTGATTTGGGAAGAGAAACCATGAGAGAGGTAACATAGCGACCTTGGTAATATGTTTCTGCAAGGATCAGTTTCTCTTTTGATCTTCAAATAAGTGGTCATACATCTTTCAACCTCAGACTTGACCTACAAGTAAACCTCACGAGCTCTCTCTTTACCATTCAGCTCTTTCTCTCTATCTTCTGTTTCTACTGGTTTCCCAAAGTATACGTAAAACCATCCGGAATCTAAGGATCCTAGTTCGCCTTAATCATTGTAGTCCAAGACCATCTGCAAAAATCATTCCATTGTTCAAAAGAGTTTCTTAATAATTGGGCTTTTGACTGTTTACATGTGAGAATTAACAGATGCTGAAGCAAACTCAAGCAGTTGAAGCTTCCATATATAGCATTATGTCTTTGGGATGTTCTAATCGGAGTATGTAAATAATTTGATTTAATGATTTTAGTGAATAACAAGAGAAAGTATAACCAAAACAACCAAATGAATAACAAAAGAGATCACATTACTAGTTAACCACGATGATCTGCTAGACAAAACAATTAACTCAAGTTGCAAACAAGTCTAAGCGGCATCAGTTGCTGAATGCAGCTTTTGCTCAGCATCTTCTTCTGCCTCTTGCCTGTTGAACAGCGGGAGCACTCCAGCTATGATACATCTTCATCATCATAGAAAGATAAGTGTTGTTTATTTTAACCCAAAATTCTCCTCCAATATTATCAACAGACCAGATAAAGAATGCAACATGAAGTTGTCGAAATCATAAAGCAGGGTATATTACGAACACAAGACAAAGATGCATATATTCCATGAGACTTACTCACAGCATTACCCTTAACAAAAAGAAGCCATAAGCTTAAACACAAGAAAAACATCAATAGGAAATAGCCTAAAACATTCCAAAAGCAGAACTTGTTGAACTAAGCAGAAAATCCGGCATTAACAAGCTTTGCATAGAAACTTTGTTTCTTGATATCCAATTGCATCTCCTCAGCAAGCAATGCCTTCCAATCGTCCTTCAGTTCTTTCCTTTGTGTAGCTCCAACGTTTCTCAAATTTTGAAGCAGCGACTTGCGTTGATTGTTACCTAAACTCTGAAATGGTGCAGCCAACACAAGTGCCTCCTGCAGAAGACGCAAATCATCCACACCATCTTCCTCACACTTGTCTTTCTCACCATCATCAATCTTCAAACTTTCCTCCTGCACCGCACAAGACACATCCTCCTTCAAAACGAGACACAAAAGATCATTACGTATTACTAGTAATATTAAAATTTAGGAGATGGGTAGGAGAAGAAGACAAACTCACACCTTTATTTGGTCCTCCTGATAAGCAAAATTTGTTTCTTTTTCAGCACCCCATAAGATCTTTGACAATTTGAACACTTGTTCATCATGAGTATTAGTAAAATAAGGTATATTTCCATCGGTAGCTCTCGCCTGATTAGCTCTAAATCTTCTATTCTTCAACCTGTCAACCTTACTCATCAGCTGTGTCTTAGAGAAATCAAATTCCATGGAATCTCTGATACGATCGTAAACGGCATCCCAATGAGATGTGTAGCTCAACTTCGTTTCTTTTTGAAAGTTCACAATACCCTTATCCACAACAACAACAACAATGAAAAAAGGTGAAAACTTTTTAAAAAGAAGAACTTTTAAAAAAAATAGAGAACAAATTTAGCTTAGAAACTAGAAACCTGGAGAATGAGGAGCTCTTGGGTTTTAGTCCAGTTTATCTTCGACGCAGCAGAAGGAGAAGAAGATACCAACCATGTCTTCCTCCGTTGCTCCCTCGTTCTGAGCATCGCTTCCGTACCGGAGATGTCGTCGTCGCTGGAATCACGTCCTTGAAGAGGTCGCTTCATCAGTGAGTGATCAAAGATCAAAACTTTTAGAGATTTGGGGACATTTTGAAAAACCCTAGATTGAGAGAGAAACAGAGCTTTTCCTTCCTCCCAAAAACCCAGAGAGTAAGAAAAGAGCAAAGCGTTGAAAGTTGAAGACTGTGGACTTGGACTGACGTTGGAATTTCGCTAAAATGACTAAAATACCCTTTCCTCATATTTTGGGTTGAAAATGCAACAAGGAAAAATTTAGTGACTTTTGGGAGAGTAAAGATTGGGATTTAGGAAGAGAAACCCTGTGAGATGTAATAATAGAGCAACTTCGGCAAAATGTTTCTGTTTAATTATCACTTTCTCTTTTGGTCTTCAAATATTTCTACCTCTGACTTGACCTGCAAGTAAACTTCATGAGCTCTTTCTCCCCTTACCTTGTGTTTTCTATCGGTTTCCCAAAGTATTCGTATAACCGTCCTGGAATCTTGGGATTTATTCCAGGCATATGGAAATGAAATCTTGATCTTCTTCTTCATCGTTCCGAACCATATACTATCATCATCAATTCTAATTTTAAATAACATTTCATGTGATTATCCCTAACAGAGAGTCAAAATGCACCAAGGAAAAAGCCTGTGGTCTTCTTATATAACACCCCGAACTTACTCAACTTCTATATTAACAGCCATATACTTTTAGAAGTTACAATAACATATCCAAATTCCACAAAGTTAATTAAGTCACAAATTTAGTATCTAAATTTATTGATTTCGGAGGTCAAACGTTGGGACTTGCGAAGACAAACCATGTGAGAGGTGATAGAGGGACCTCGCTAAAATGTTTCTATAAGGATCACCTTCTCTTTTGATCTTCAAATAATTCATACATCTTTCAACCTCAGACTTGACCTGCAAGTAAACCTCATGAGCTTTCTCTTTATCATTTAGCTCTTTTTCTCTACCTTCTGTTTCTATTGGTCTACCAAAGTATACGTAAAACCGTCCCGGGATCTTGGGAATTATTCCAGGCATATGCAAAGCTTGGTTGCCTACTTCTCCTTCTTCACCGTTCCTAACCATATATTATCATCAAGCAAATGTTATATAACATTTCATATGATTATCACTAACAGAGAGTCGAAAACAGAACAAACAAAAAAAAACTAAACACCTCAAGTAAGTAGAGTCTTGTGTTAACTCTTTTATAAGATTCTTCAGAAAAGGGATCTTCATTTGATCATTGTAATCGAAGACCACCTGAGAATCATTCCATTGTGCAAAAGAGTTTTTAAGAATCGCAGATACTGAAACTAAAACGAAGAAGAAGAGATTTTGCTTACTTCACAGAGATCATCTTCACCAACAACACCAAAAGGAATGATTTTTGTTCCAAATTTAGATGCGGTCCTTACAAACTCTGAATGTTCTGGCCAAAACAACTTGTATACTTCACCCTGCATAAATGTGTCTTTCAACGTAAAGCTTCAAAATTAATATGAAGGCTAAATATGAGATATAAAAATCATTACCTTTCTGTGCAAAGCTTCACGAACACCTCCAGGATACAAAACCACATGAGCCTTTGAACGTAGTAGTTTATAGAAATTGATATTTGAGACCGGAACTGCGCCTATCATCCTAACTGAGTCGAACATATGCATATCAGGGAGTTTTGAGCCAAACTTTTTGGCAAACATCACTGGATGTGCCAGTCCTCGCAACAGAATGTTCCTTTCTTTCAAGAAATGAATTGCTGCTGGTCGCAATTCGGTACCAAGCAACATGTGATTGCCAACATAGAGAACCGGTCCCTCTGAAGGTATTCCCGCAAGTGATCTTACTACTGTACCGTTGTCTAGAGTTGAGAGAAAGACTGGGGAGGTAATAGCAGTTAGCAATCTGGACCAGAGAAATAACAACAGTACTTCAGTATTTGCTTACAGTAGCAGAAGCAAATATTCAATTCTAGTTTTGTAATATACAAAATATTTTCACTACATCTAAGTCAAGAAAGCGTATTACACAGCAATCAGAGACATGATACATCTCTGACACAGTCACACAGCGAATATTCATTTCACCTTTGTGATTCTTCATACTCTTTGAGCTCAAATGGGGTAGGCAGAATGAAATCAGAAACATAATCAAGCGATTTTCCACGGCGATAATAATAAGTACACTTGATGATAGTCACCAGATCTACCCCATCCTCCTGACATGACATAAAATATCAATCTGAAAGTTTGCTAAGCCAAATTTTATGCAAGAGGTTTTCTACTGGTTGTAAACTGATACAAGGAAACCTTTCTTACATCAGGACAAAGAGCACCTTACCAAAAAGAGAAGCTGTCCGTAATTCTCGAACTTACGGACTTCACAATTCGGCAATGTACAATGGAGTCTTTCAATGTCTTCCTTGTTCAGTAACCATTGATCGCGTCCACTGCAATAGCCATAGTCTTATTAAAGCTACAACTCGGCTGCCAGCTAAGACATTTTTTTACGAACAACGCTGAACTTCTACTTTTATAATTTATAATGAAGCAGGGAAGTTTACAAGTTTATGAACCTCAAAAGTATTAGTGTTTGGGCTTTGACTCTGTGCATGTGAGACATAGCAGATGCTGAAGCAGACTTAAGCAGTTGAAGCTTCCATAGAAGTGTGTCCTTTGGAAAGATCCTAGCCAGAGTCTGTAAGAAATTTGTTTTCGTGAGTTAATCACATGACAACACACTTAAAATAACAAAATGAAGAACAAACAAGAGCACATTACTAGTTAAACACTAAGATCAGCGAGACAAAACAACATGCATCTATCATTTGCTTCCCTAAAACAAAGTCTTACCGGCAGGTTAACTGAAGTTGCAAAGATGTCTCCTAATAGCCCTCCACCCATCTGTGCGGCATCAGTTTCATTCAGCATAGTCTCGAACACTGCTGCAAACGGATAACCTATATAATGAAAACACAGTTAGCCCTGATTTTGAACCAAATCCTGACACTGAAACCCATCTTTGAGATAACCTACTCAGATCTAGAATTTGCATCAAATATGTCTTCGATTGGAAGATATACAAGGAGGAGTTGAAACTTCACCTTGCTCAAACCGAAAATTCTCCTCTAGGAAGCTGGGAACTCTGTCGGGCAAAATTTCCAGTAGACCCGATAAAGGTTGCAACATGAAGTTGTTGAAACGTGTGACTGCAACAAACAAAGTCTATTATGAGCACAAGATAATCCATGAGAGATGCTTTACCGACAAACGCTTAAATCATAAAGTATTCTCATGACATATATTTGAGTTCCCTTTTACCTGGATTAGCCAGAATCAAGACAAGATCGATGTCAGGGTTACTGGCTGCAACATCTAGAGCAAGAGAAGCTCCAATAGATTCTCCAACGATATAAATGGGTCTATTTGGTAAACGGAAGTACTCTGACCTAACTGTTCTCTCAATGAGCTTCACAAGATCTGAAAACAACAGAACACAACAGTAAGAATTTCATCCACATAACATTAATCCATTTGGTTTGGGAACCGTAATGAAACTACAGAGGATGCTGACAAAGAAGCACCTCGAGCAGGGGTACGATCAGTGACTGGAAAATGAAGGCACCATATGTCAAATATCCTATGATCAAAAAGATAATGAGATCATAAAAAAAAAGTATTCACTAGACTTTCTACTTCTTCTTTTGAAGTCATTTTGTACTACCTATCGATAAGTCAAAGTTTTTTAAACATTGAAACAGGAGCTGTGCACAATGAAGAGCTTATCTCAAGCTCTAAGGCAATACAGAAGATTGAATCAAGTTTGAATCAAACAAGACTTACTCTCCAAGCTTTTTATGCTGACGAATGAGCCCTAATCCAGTACCATCGATCCCTAAAATTTTGAATTCAGAGATTTGTTAACTTCATTTCCACAATTCAGTAGAGTTCCATTGTACCAATCAGATTAACGAAAATCAATCAAAAGAACTATCGATTTCAGCCCTAAATTGAAAGGAACAGACCAGGTAAGTAGAGAAGAAGAGGAGATTCTGGAGCACGTGCGCCACATTCCAAAGGAGAGAACCACCGAGGCGGACCACCATCTCCGCCGTCGGATCTGACGAAATCTTTAGCTTCCACAAAAAAATCCGTCAAACTCTTCCGCTCTTCTGGCTGCGCCGCCTCCGTGTACGTATACGGATTCACCGTCGCCGTCACCTTCCCTCCGCTCCGTAGACGTCCATCGATTCCGAATTTCGGGTTCGTAAACCGATCATGCGCGACGGAGGCCAGTCGTCGGATTGAGTTCCGGTAGAAAAAATCATTGGGGTAGATTCCATCGGCGATACACAGTGTGGGAACCGCCATCGATCAGAAAAATCCGAGATCGAGAGAAGAACGATTTCGTAGTCCAACTTCTTCATCTTCAAGAGGTGGAACGAACACAAGAAGCTCGTGCACACGAGAAAACAGCGATGAGTGCTCCGCCATTCTTTTATCGAGGTCCGCATTTCTGTTTGAATTTTGGTTTAGACTCAAATTTACCAAAATCAATTGGATTTTTCTCGGTTTAGTAGAAACTTATTTTTGATATTATTACTTTAGCAAAATCAATTGGCACATAATAAACTAAATCTATAAATGGGTTTAATATTAGCCCATTTCAGAGGCCCAGTAGTAGTAATATAGCTCACGAGGCCGTTTGTACTTCTGAGGTTTTATTTATTCTCTAAAGAAAAATCGCAGCGATTGAACCTTGTGTTTGAACCGACCGGTTATAGAAAAACCGAACCGGTCAAAAAATGGGGTAAAGGTGCTTCACGTGGGCACATTGGGTTGTCGCTCATGTGAGCACTACGTACTTGATATGCTCGTAATCATTACACATCCCTTTTCCTAATTATTTATTTTCTCACTACATCATTAGATTTCTTGGTAAAAAAGCATTTGACAAAAGGGATTATACATTAGATTCTTCGTCAGAGACACACTAATACAACAGTTTGGTTTATTTATACTTGCAATTTTAGAATCTCTTTTTTTTTTGTTAAATGCAATTTTAGAATCTCATCGAGAGAAAAATTATTGCAGATAATGAAAATAACATATTAGCGACTAAAAAGCTCTCTTTTAAGAAAAAAATTCATCAATATTAACTTATTTTTTTTGTATTCTATCATTCTATGTCTCACAAATTAAATATGTTGTATTCCGGTAGTTATGTGTAAATTTTCGTAAATTTGATTTAAAATTAATACAATAATTTAAATGTTACAAAAAATAGATGTCAAATTGAAATGTTATCAAATTCAATAAGTTTTTTCTTTTATTTTATATTTTAGTTGAGAATATATTTTTTATGAATATGTTTTTTATTTGTTATTTTTGTTATTTTTAGTTTATATGAATTGCAACTGTGTCTGTTTGGAGATTGTCTGTTTCTTTTCGAGGCTCATGTTTCTTGGTCCAGCTCCGTCGCCAACTGTTTCTCTGGGATTGTTTGAAGGTTATGTTGGTTTCGAGTTTCAGATTTAGTTCTTAGGTTCCTTTCGGGCTTGTTTTTTAGTGCTTTTGATTCTAGTTTGCTTCCCTTTTTTGGGCTTAGTTTTCCGGAGATATTTCTGTGTTCCGCCGGCTTAGTTTCCGAAAGAGTTTCGACTCTTGTCGGCCTAGTGTTCCAAAAGACCAAAACAGTATTCTACCTTGTATTCCTCTTTTGTTTAATATAATGAATCATTCAGACGGAAAAAAAAAAAAAAAATTGCAACTGTGTCCATTTTAAATATACTACCATAAATTACGCAAATGAAATATGAGATATTTTTCTAGTACCACTTTTTCCTATTCCATCTGTTTTATATTATAGGATGTATTTTTAGACATTTCATTTTGTTTTATAGTATTTATTTTTTTGCGCAAATAATCAAATTTCTATGCAAAAGTTAAATTTAAAAAATTTTGTGATATATTGTGAAGTAAATTTTATGATTTATCGTATTATCTTTAACTTAATACAAAGTTATGTTCTTTATGTAAAATCATAAAAAAAAATTAATTAGTTTTAAAAATTTTGTGCTCTAAGCGATATAGTATTATTTATGTTATTGATGATAAATTCCATATCACTATAGTAATAAAAGTCACTACTAATTTGAGAAATTTCAAAAAAAAAGAAGTCATTACGTTGTTATGATAAGGAAAAGAAATAAAATCATTTCCAACTAATCTTCTTTACTTACTGAATTTTTGATCGGTGACTTTGTAAAACTGTGAAATATTGTTTGATATAATGTGCTTGGTGAATTATTTACCAGTTACATTCTGCATGTCACGATAGAGTAGATAAGTGACATTTATATGACGTAACACATTCGTGTTATTATATGTTTACAAGAATGAAAACAAAAATATATATATATATATATATTCATTTTATTATCACATATTCACATGATCGGATTAATTGAAGCTTTACAGAGCAAAGCAAAATATCACTTTTATTGTCACATGCTGAAAGTGAGAAATGACTGAGAGAGAATTTTTTTTGTTGAATTATACGTACGTATCTTATTTCTCAAGCTATCAACCAATAATTAATAAGAAATAAGGACTAGTATCAAATCTTATATTGGGGGTTTAATGCTGACGACCTCTTAGCCACTCCATTGGCTTCTTCTGGCACAGAGATTCGAAATCGTGAAATATATATATACGTAGACTAATGAGTCCAAAAATTGGATTGGTGTATACTATCATGTTAAGAATTTTAAGATGCAACCTATTTAGAGCTAGTGACACATATTTATTTAGATATAGAATTATGGTTGGTGTGGTCGATGCGTATTGAGATTTAAAATGTCTGCAAGTTGGTGTGATCAATGCAATCAATATAAATATGATTAATTCGATTATTAGGTTTGAATGGTGCAATCAAGATGCTAAATGATTCTAGTAGAAGTAATCTAATTAATTCTTACTAACTTTTTAGCTGCTAAAGACCAATTTTTGTTGTTCTTGCATTTCTGATTATACATTCTCAAACATGCACATCCTGAAACATGAATTTTCCGAAAATGTTATTTTTTGATATATTAAAATGTTTAAAACTAAGATACCGAAAACCCACCAAAAAATTGTTAAGAGTGTATAATAATAGATTGTGTGTTTCACAAATTTGGTATAGTGTGTTTGATTGTTTGGATTAATGCTTATAGAATCTTACGACAAATTTAACATTTATGGTAACAGTTGGTGTGTCATGTCAAGTAAACTTATGTTGGTAGCTGTCAGATTAAAGCAAATAGATTAGAGATAAATATTTTACGAAGTAGTTAGGTATCTGACGCTGGGGCAGCTTCCGTGACTTCATTTATGATTTGTTTGTTGAATGAACTCTGATCTATGACATCGAATTACAGTCGATTTTTAGAATAGTCTGATACCTTAAAGAAGAGACTATAATTACTTTGGAGATATACGGTTTCGCCATAGAACTTTGCGGATGACAAAAAAAATAAAAATGGAGACGGTAACTTTGAACTTCTTACTATAAATTTAGATTATGAACTACGGACTATGAACTCAAATCTAAAACTTATATAAGAAAATATCATAAATTGTTTTTATAAAACACACACAACTTGACAAATAGATATTAGAACATAATTCTAAAGTTATAACACTGTTCCATCTAATATTCCTCCATCCTCATTCTCTAATATGTTTTGATTGATCTCCCTTTTGTCTACTACGTGTATGTATATACTCAAAACTATTTTTCACTTTTGCTTTCATTTCTTTAATTTTGTAAATTCCAAATGATATCTCTGTAAATAAAAGCAAAAAAGGATAAATACAAAAACATAACAAATAAACAAACAAATTAATTATCAAAAAATAAAATAATCAAAGAAATAAAAAGTTCTATAACTTCGTACATAAATTGTTTTTGTGTAGCAATGAGAATATTCATTTAGCATAAGTGCACCTAAAGTAGGTGACATATTCTCCTTTTTCAGTTTAAATTATAATCTTAATTTCTTAAAGATCAAAATAAGAATTTCGGAAATAAACAGACAAAATTGACCATAAAATATTTCATATTTTTCAAATTAAATCATTTTCTAAAATTAATTTCCAATAACACCACAGATCGGACACCCAAGTTTTTGGTAGTATCTCAAAAGGCCTATCTCTGAATTATTTAATTTGTTGTTATTAATTTTAGTTAATTTTGTTGTATAAGCTACCAAGAAAAATACAGCTGCTTATATACCCCACAAGTATTTGGAATTTACAACGAAGAGACAAAATAATAAATATAAGGTTTTGATGTCACACATTTTATGAAAATTCGCATGTTCCATGTCCGATCCAACCAATGATAACTTTAAAATTTAATTGCTTTTGTAAAGTAAAAATCGGACTGGCAAAAATATGCCACATAATTTTCGCAATGATCAAATTTATAATCGTGGTTAAACATAAATTTCTCTGGTAATTGTATAAATAATGATGATGATTAATCCAAAAGTTGTTAAAGTAAAATATACTAATAATTACATTGAAATTAACATTAAAGTTGACTATTTCCTTATAAGAAAATTAATGACCGTTGCCTATTTTATTGTACCATTATCGAGACCAACGACCATGCATACATTTATGTAACTGACCAAATTACCCCTACTAGCGCGAATTACGAATATGATATTCTCACAGCAGTTGGAGGGCAAAAACGACATTATAATGCTGATTGGTCACTGTCCCTTCCACCCAAAACATGTATCTTTTTTTTTTTAATAAAAAAATCATAGTATTAAAATACATAAATAAAGCTATTTTTCCACTATATGAAAAAAAAAAATTGTGGTGCGTACCGTTTCAATAGAGCGTAACATTATTATTTTAATCAATCATATAAAAGATCTTGTTTCCAAATCTGTCGGTACAATTTTTTTATACATACACTATATTATTTTAATTTCCTTTTATTGCTAAAATATGTTAAAATTCATTAGTTTTGTATAGAAAAATATAAAAATGGCTGAAATTAGAACACAAAAAATGGTCACATACTCGAAAACATGTTAAAAATTAATAAGCAATATTCTACAAAATAAATACTAATACTAGTTTTGACTTTTTGACTCTTTACATTAAAAACCTAAAACCTATGCTATTGCTTGCACTAGAAAACAGATTCGGGTACCACCAACTAGGAGTCTATGGGCCTGATTGGAAGCAGTTTTAGATGCTGTAGAAAGCCAACTTTTCTTTCTAAAGCCAAATAGCAAACCAATCATTCTTTTACTTCAAAAAAAAAAAGTTACAGCACACGAAATAAAAAAAGGAAAATATAGGCTTTGTAAATCAAATTTTCTACAGCACCTAAAAATGAGCTGTGAGATATTTTCTCTTTCTTCTCTCTACTGTTCTTTCCTTCTTTTGCTTTCTGACTTTTTTTTTTGGTTATAATATATTTCTAATATTTATTTATTTCCAAAATATTTAAGTTTTCATAATAAATACGTAAAGTTGCAACATACAACTATTATTTACCAATCACACTTTTATTTTAAAACTCACAGCTACAATTCTACAGCTACAGCAAGAAAATTCACAGTCTAAAATCTACAGCAAAAAATCTAAAGCTACAGCCGTAACCAATCAGGCCCTATGTTTCAATAAATCACAAAATTAATAAATTGATAACCTAAATTATTTTTGTTTTCCGTGAATTGATAAACCAATTTAGTGATGTTATTTGATCAACTAATTAATATTTCTTCGGTTTGGTGATACAACATTACTATATACAGTACTTATGATTTTCGATTAATTATTAATGTCATAAAGAAGTATTAACAAAAAAAAAAACGTATCGTCTCTCGCTCTCTCTTTAGATCTACTTTTCGTTTTTTTTGTCCCATTTATAAAAAAAATCAACTGGTGGGAGCTAACGCTCGCGTCTTCTTCCTCTTGACGTAATCGAGAATTCGAACTCGTTCCGATTCACTGAGCCGACTCGGAGTAGTGATAGTAGTTTGCTACTGGTGTCGTGATGTGTTCTTCTAGCTGTTTGTGATGATCAATTGCTCTACATTGGACTGAAGAAGAAGGTAGTTTTGATAAATGACTGGTTCTCAGCGACAATGCCCGGAGCTCCGGTGAGTAATTCTGTTTCTACCGCGATCAAGCACACTCGACGGTGAAGATGTTTAAGTCAGCGAGATGGCGGAGCGAGAAGAGCAACAAAATCAAAATCGTTTTCAAGTTGCAGTTTCATGCGACTCAGGTAATTTCACTCTCGGATATTTTTCCGATTCCCGGCGATTTTTTTTTCTGGCGATTTTCTCTGGAAAAATGTTGCTCAGATTTGAATTTTCCAGAAATTTGGGGAAAATATTACTCAAATCTGATATGACCAGTATAAACAGTAACTTCCATTTTCGATTTTGATTTTAGTTTACAAAAAAAAATGTCAGAATTCGGATTTTGGAATTTTTAGATCTTGGATATGTGAGATCATGTTCATCATTGTGTGATTGATTATTATTTTTTATTTTTTTTTGTCAGGTGACACAGTTGAAGGCGGAGGGATTAACGATCTCTGTAGTTCCCGGAGATGTTGGGAAATCGACGGGGAAGGCAGAGAAGGCTATGGTGCTTGACGGACATTGTCGGTGGGAATCTCCGGTGTACGAGACCGTGAAGTTTATTCAAGATGTGAAGACAGGGAAAGTTAATCAGAGAATTTATCATCTGATTATGTCAACTACGGTGAGGAAGATTAAACTTTTGAAGAGTTTTGAAGAGATTTCTGAGATTACTTTTCAGATGTTCTTAGTTTTGTTTTGCAGGGATCTACAAAATCTGGTGTTGTGGGAGAGACTTCGATTGATTTTGCTGATTATGTTGATGCAATTAAGACTTGCAATGTTTCTCTTCCTCTCCAGAATTCAAATTCAAAAGCAATGTTGCACGTTAGCTCTCTCTCTCTCTTTCTCTTTCTTTGCATTAATGTTTGTCATGAGACATTAGAGTGTTTGCATCCAAAGCAAAGCTCACATGATTCTTGCTTCTTGGTCTTTTTGAACTGTGATACTGAGATTTGAACTGTGGTTTTATCATTATCAGGTATCAATACAAAGGCAGCTAGAAAATGCAGATCCACTAAGGTATAGGAAACTGTACTCTTCTTTTATGAGTTTTCTTATTGTCAAGCTCTTGCAAGGCTTTATTCTTTTAGTGTTCTTATTGGGAGTCTCTGTTTTGTCTGTGTGCTCTACAGAGTGGTGAAAGAAAGTGATAGCTTGGTGAAAAGGTCACGCGGTCAAGATTTGAAATCCCATTTGAGCATTGAAGCAGATGAAAACCATAAAAGTGATTCACAAGAGGTACCACTTATGTTTTATAATCGCTTTTCTTCCAGATTCTTGATTTCTGAAGCCATTGGTGTGTTTAGAAGTTAGAAAATTTATTTGTGTCTGTTCTTATAGGAAGGTCCATTTGGTAAAGTTTCCCGAATTGCTGAATTGAGGCGTCGAGCATCGATTGAATCTAATAGTACATTGTCAAGTTTTGACAGTGTTTCTGAATTGGATACACTGGGAGAAGTTGGAAGCAGAGGAGATCACATTCAGCAAAACCACTCAACTATGCATCACCATTCGGTTACAAATGTATATGAAGAGCCTCATATATCAGAATCCGAGTGGTCAGGAAGTTCTGATCAAGGAATCAGCACTGATGACTCCATGAATAGTTCAAATGATACCATCCCGAGAGACACAACGAAGACTTCCTCGGGTGACGAGGTAGATAAGCTTAAAGCCGAGCTCGTTGCTTTGGCAAGGCGAACAGATCTTTCAGAACTAGAGCTACAAAGCCTGCGGAAACAAATTGTTAAAGAGACCAAAAGAAGTCAGGATCTCCTGAGGGAAGTAACTAGCCTGAAGCAGGAGAGGGATTTGCTGAAAGCAGATAATGAGAGTCTTAAAGCATCTGACAAGCGAAAGGAAGAGGCAAAAATTAGGAACAAGTTGCAGCTTGAAGGAAGAGATCCACACGTTCTTTTAGAAGAAACCCGAGAAGAACTGGATTATGAGAAGGATCTGCATTCTAATCTACGGATACAGCTTCAAAAGACACAAGAATCAAACACTGAGTTGATCCTTGCTGTGCAAGATCTAGAAGCAATGGTGGGGCAAAGAAGTAAGAAAACAGTTGATCTTCCTAGACCAAGAACCTGCGAGAGGAACATCGAAGAATCAAGGAGAATGTCCTGCCCAAGTGAGACAGATGATGATGAGGATCAAAAGGCACTAGATGAGCTTGTGAAGGGACACATGGATGCAAAAGAAGCACATGTCCTGGAGCGAAGGATCACTGACCTCTACAATGAGATAGAGATCTATAAACGTGACAAAGAGGATCTTGAGATACAGGTGGAGCAGCTTTCTCTGGATTATGAGATACTTAAGCAGGAAAATCACGATATCTCATATAAGCTAGAGCAAAGCCAAGTCCAAGAACAGTTGAAGATGCAATATGAATGTTCATCTTCTCTTGTAAACGTGAATGAGCTTGAAAATCATGTAGAGAGCCTAGAAGCTAAGCTCAAAAAGCAGTACGAGGAGTTCTCTGAGTCTCTGTACCGCATTAAAGAACTTGAAACACAGATCGAGGAAATGGAAGAAGAATTAGATAAACAAGCTCAGATCTTTGAGGGAGATATTGAAGCTGTCACACGTGCTAAAGTGGAGCAAGAGCAAAGAGCTATCGAAGCCGAAGAAGCCCTGAGGAAGACGAGGTGGAAAAATGCGAGTGTAGCCAGCAAAATACAGGACGAGTTCAAGAGAATCTCCGAGCAGATGTCTTCTACGTTAGCAGCAAATGAGAAGGTCACTATGAAAGCAATTACCGAAACCCGCGAACTGCGCATGCAGAAGCGTCAGCTAGAAGAACTTCTCATGAACGCTAACGATGAACTCCGAGCAAATAGGGTAGAGTACGAAGCAAAGCTCAACGAGCTCTCGGCAAAGACAGATCTTCAAACGAAGGAGATGGAAAGAATGTTAGCGGATCTAGAGAATCAAAAGAGGCATAAAGAAGATCTGAATGCAGATTTAACACAGGAGATCACAACGCTGAAGGATGAGATTGAAATCTTGAGACTTGAATTGGAAGAGACGAGAAAATCAAGTATGGAAACCAAGGCATCTTTGTCAGAGGAGTTGCGGCGAATCAAAGATGAAAAAGAAGCAGTCATTACCATTTTAAAATCACAAATAGAGACCGCTATAGCGCAATGTGATAATCTAAAGCATTCTGTATTCAACAATGAATCAGAGATCGATAATCACATAAAACAAGTTGTACAAGTGAGAAGCGAGCTGAAGAAGAAAGAAGAAGAGATGACAAAGCTAACGAACAGAGAAGCGGCATCTGACAACATAACAAAAACCGAGCAAAGAAGCAACAAAGATAGAATAAAACAGCTTGAGGTAGTGCGTCTAACACTATAACACTCACTATTTGGCTAATTGTTTTGAGGTTGATGCTAAATTTTGGTAATCCAGGAACAGATCAAACTAAAGGAAAATGCTTTGGAAGCATCTTCAAAGATGTTCATTGAAAAGGAAAAGGATTTGAAGAACAGAATTGAAGAGTTGCAGACTAAACTCAACGAACTAAGTCAAAATAGCCAAGAGGTAAAAAAAATTAACCTTTTACAATTTCGATATACTTTCCTACAACCTCGGACATTAGAACATAACTCTGGTTTTATGAACAGACTGGTGAAACTCTGCAAGGTCCAGAAGCGATTGCTATGCATAACAGAGAAGTATTGCGATTGAACAAGAGGTATATATATGTTCATGAAGCAATGTAAACAAAGAAAACACCGATGATATCTGATAGTTTTCTGCTTTTACAGTGACAATCTTCGAGATTTGGTAAATCAAGTAGCGTTGCTAAGAGAGCAAAATGGATTGATGGAGATGGAATTGAAGGAGATGCAAGAGAGGTATTCAGAAATAAGTCTAAGATTTGCAGAAGTTGAAGGTGAGAGACAACAACTTGTTATGACTGTACGTTATCTTAAAAATGCCAAGAAGAGGTAAAACCGATATTCTCAGAAGAATCAAATGGTGCAGTATTGTACAAATTTCTCTTATGTTCAATATATAGTTTTTTTCTCAATTATTTTTTACATATATAGTTTCTCCCTTTTATATATATTTTCTTCTGAGAGAAAAAGTGAGTTTTGGTTTTTTTTTTTATTATTTATAGTTTTTTTGGGTGTATTTACTATTTGTAATATATGTCATGGATATATAATATATAATTATTTATGTTAGTTTGCACATTATTCATCGTTTAAATAATATCAAAATCTTGACCAAAAATAATTCACTAATTCAATATTTTACTGTTTCTACAAAACTACCAAAGAGTACTCAATGAAAACAAGATTTAAATACAATCAAAGTAATGCTCACTAGTATAACTGTTACAACAGATCAATCAACTCATAAATGATCAAATGGAGAATCTAATCTACATTAAATATCACAGCTGAACAAGAAATAACTAAGCAGCTTTGTGATTGAACTTCTAAATTAAATAAGTGTTACCTCTCTCTTTAAAGCAAAGTCGGATACTTAGCGTCAAGAAACTCTCTGAGACTTTTAGCAACTTTGTGACCACCCATGAGTTCTGCTAATGTCTCCACAGGCAAAGTCGCTAGCTCAGCCAAACTCTTACATTTTTCCATAATCGATCTGTAATTCGCGTCTGAAACTCCAGGAAGCCTTCTCAGAAACTCTACTGCTGATGTGTTATAGTTCTCGGCTCTGTTTCACATCATCATGAGTCAATTTTGATATTTACCAATGCAAATAAACAAAACTGTTTGCAGTTTTAAAAAGAGAGTTTTTTTTTCTTACCTGATGTCATTTTCTATGATACCTTCTTCTGAAGGCACACCAACTCTTATTGCTCGAGTCTCATCAGGCTCGTCCTGATTGGATTTTAAGGTAGTGAAGATTTCTGCAGTTGCATGTAGACTTCGAGACCATAATATCCTTAACCGAGGAAAATGCAGAACTAGCAATGATAGTTTTGATATGATGTTATATGGAGTCACATCATCTGATATATCACTCGCTGACTGCAAAAGAAAAAAGAACTGATCAAACTCTACATGAAAATATTTTGACTGTGGAGCTTGAAATCTGAGAGGGTACCTGAAAGGAGAAACTTTTGTCTTGCGAGAACTCGATGAGAAGAACCGGTATTCTGTAATAACGGGACATCATTTCAACTTGGTGAAATAAACGACCTGATGTGAAGCTCTGGAAAAGATCTTGAATGCTCTTTCTCTCCACGCATATTGAAGGAGATAGGATATAGTCGCCGACCTCTAGTGTAACTGGTATTATCTTCATGCCTTTCTGGTGAAGAACATTTGGTAGGCTGCTCATGAACTCCCTCATGTCAACTATAACCTGGTAAAAAAACACATTTCATAAAGTAAAGTCTTTCCCAAATCTAGTTAAAATCTTGGAAAAAATATCAGTATTGAGATATGAACCTGTGTCTCTTTCTCCATTTCCTTTCTCCCGCCTGCTTTTCGGGTTAATGAGTTTTGAGTACTTGAAGCTGGAAACTCTGTAGAAGAATTGGACCCCATGCAGAGCCCATCCTAATTCCAAGTTTATAGCACAGGATGGATGAGAAGAAAGCAGGAAAAAAAAACTGGAATCCAGTGCAGACAAACAAGAAGATAACGTAAAATTCCGGTAGAGAGTTTCATCTACTTGGTCTGATTCAATATAATAATGTAAACTTCTTTTAGCAACGCTAACATTAATTGAGTTGTTCTAATGTACTTTCAAATCAAATTGTAAACTTTGATGCAGGAAAAAAAACTCACACAGGCTTCGTTTCAATTGAAATGTTAGGATTTGAGTTTCAAACCTGATCAACGGGAATCATCATCGAAGACTTCTGCCTGATCAATGATTCAAACGCTTCATTTTCTCGACGTATGCTTGCTTCAAACTTCTGCGCTTCTGTGGACTCATCATAGAAAAGAAAATACACTTTCAGCTTTCTCAAAGGGTTCTCTGCTTTGTACACCTCAATTTCTCTAACAAAACCCATGTCAGGATGGTAGACAATGATCACAGAGGGTTTCAAGATATCTAGTATAGGTTGATCACTTTCTAAGGCATAAAAATGCACATGCGGTAGCTTTTTAGCACTACTGGAGTGAACGACATTAGCTTCCCGGGGGCCTGATGTGCTAGCTTCACTGGCTTTTTCTTCATTCTCTGGGCCTGCTAAGATTTCAGGTTTACTGTTTTCCTTTTTCTTATTGCAACTTCTTATGGATCTCCGGAGACTTGTTGAATCCTTTTTAGCTTTTCCTTTGGTACATGAAGCCTTTTCAACATGAGGCTCTGGGTTGTTATTTCCAAGAGCCATATCCGTTGTCTTTCCAAGCTTGTGAATAGAAGACGCAGCAGCCATAAGAGCCTCATGCTCTTGTCTGCCAACACTGCTACCTTCCGAGTTCTGTATTGTAGTTACTGGAACAACTCCATCAAGAATCCCAAAACCCTTGGGAGTTTTTTGTTTCTTCTTTTGCGGTGTCTGCATACTGCGGAGTTCGGTTTTGCTCAGCAGGTACATTTCCCATTCTTCCCGCATTACCTGCACAAGTGTAGACAAAATGAGACCTTGGATGTTGATTTCTAAAATTATGGTAAGTAGTGACAGGGTTCATATTGGTTGTTAATGAATGATGTAAAATCTAGTAAAAAGTAGTTATCTGACTGGACCTTCTGTGGATTGTTTGTGATGCAATCTTCAAGCTGCATGCAGGACCGTTCATCTTTGCAAGCCACAAGAACTATTCCATTGTTGTCGCTGTTGTCTTCCTCAGAAAAAGCCTGCTTTTTTCTTTCTTCTTGTGTCTCTTCTAAAATCTCCTGTATTAATCACAGGCATACCACTAGATTTAATGCGCTTTCGTACGGCGAATCCAAGAAAACATGTCTGTCAATCATAGAATGTGGCGGCCAAATCAAAGAGGTCAAAAAATAAAGAACAGATACGGTCACTAGCTAAACCAACTTCCATCATTAAATCAACAATAACATAAAAACGGCATTGAAACTGAAACTCACTCAGTCACTCACACGTAAGACTTTCCATTTTGGCGCCTCTTCAAGAACTTCTTCAACAACAACGCCAGTAGCCACATTTGTTGCCGTTTCCACACCAACTGATTCATGTCCAATTATCAGGAAATTTTTTCGAAATGCTTATAACACACGGGTCACTAGATGCAAGATACAACCAATGTAGATCAAGACTTTGTTACCTGCTTCTACAGAGTCATTTTCGCCCTTCGACTTTCTCTTTTTACCACTCTTATTCTTAACAAGTTCCTTTGACTTGACATCACTTGCCTTCACGAGACGATACACTCGTTTCTTTGCAAAATCAAATATTTTATAACTGGACTCTGCAAATAACCAAACAGACCGATAGCTCTCTGATACCCTTAGTGTATCCAAGAACTTCAGAAAACTCACAGCATCATACCTAACCACAAATCCATAAACATAGCAACTTAAAAGCTTTGCATAAGAACATTACTGATGTAGAGAGAAGAGACAGAGCTATTACCTAACAAGATAATCAAGCAACTTCCTTAAAGTCTTCAAATCAGAAACAAGCTGTTTTGTCCTTTTCCCTAAAGTATGCCAAATAGGATCAAGCTGCCTCCTCACAATCTCATCAAAGGACTTAAACAAGCCACTCTCTACAGTCAAATCATCCACATCAACCTTGTTGGTCTTCTTCATCTCCTTGAGGCAAGCGTCCATGACTTCAATGATTGCTTTTTGTATTCCCACCATGTAATTCGACATCGAAACCCTAATATCCACAACCTCAGGTGGTTCTCGCTCCAATTCCTGAGACACATCCAACTGAAACCTTGGCCAAAGATGGAGCCTACGGAGGAAGAGAGCACGCATGGTGCGTTCAGTCTTGGCGAAACCGGAGACCATAGCTTGCGGTCTATCGGAAAAGGCGCGTATATAAGCGGAGCCATTTAGGGATTTAACGATTCGTACAATGAATGCTTCAGTGGAGGTTTCGGAAAGTGAATGAGCATTGAGGATGAAGATTCCGGCGAGTGAAGAAACTGGAATCCGTTGAGTCAATAGATCGACGATGAGAATCCGCGGCGTGATGAAGAAAGGAGAACCGGAGGTGTAAAGCGAGTAACGCTGATTCGCCGGAAGATCTGCGGTGATCTCCGTTGGAGTAGGAGAATCAAGAGAGGAGATGTAATGGATGATTCTGGATTTGAGGGATAGAGCGGCGGGAGAGAGGAGGAGAAGTAGAGTTCCTTGCGACGGAGAGTGAAGGATGAGGAGAGAAGCGATTAATTTAGCGAGGGAGAGACCGGAGGAGAGGATTACTAATCCGCCATTAGAGTCCTCGAGAAGGTCTGATATGATCTGTTGGTGAAATTTTAGCGCCATTGAAGAACACGGCGCAAATCGGCGAAACTGACTAATGACGACGATAAAAAAAGCTTGTTTGGGTCTAAAAAAAGTTCAAAGTTCAAAACGGTGTCGTTTAAATTCAGTTGCAAATAATTTCCACTATTAATCCCAATTTGGCTCGGTTAACTTCGGTATAGTTCGGTATAGTTCAGTTTAAATATAGAGTGAATTTGTGGAGAGGTAAAAATGGGAACACAAATTAGTGCAGAGGTATTATCAGAAGTTGTCGTCGAGGAGGTATTATCAAAAGCTATAAAAGGGTCTCCTTTAGAAGTTATTTACAAAATAACCAGGAATCATAAAACGTATGCGCGTGGGTTTGGCTTCTGACACAAAGTACAATTGAACTGACACATATTAAATGCTTGTCAAATACCTGATCCTTACGCACCCCACATGCGCATGTCCAACATAAGAGCTGCTTAGACATACACCTTTTAATATAGACGTCTACATATTTAACAACCGGAGTAAAACTCATTGAATATGTAGTTGTACATAACTAGATATACATGTATTTATAAATGTAGCTATCTATAGCTAATGAATGAACATGTATATCGTGGGAAAAGTTAAAACGTAGAGCCATAAAAGGTAAGAAGGTATAACCAACAGATTGAAACAAAAATACAGATACTACTAGTTCAGAAGATGAAAGACTGGTAGAACAATGGTTCAAAATAAAGAAGGAGGATAGAGGAATAATTCAAAAGAAAACATAGGTAGATTGTAATAAAATACACAACCCTCGTTGGGTTTCTAATGAAAGACAACGGGTGCAGCGGAGAGTTGTCCCTCGAATCATTGACCCCAACCTCTAATACCACCAACAAACATCTGACGGCTGGACTTGACACCTTCTTCAAGGCGCTTTAACAATACGTGAACACTGGGGTCACTTACCTCATCAACCCAACCGCAATCTTCCACCCCGGTGACAACATCAGCCGAAGGTATGATAGACAGAACATCGACCTATAACAGTAGTTAATAGACGTTAAAAATGGATGTAACTGTATATCTAAACAAATGACGCATGACAAAACTGAATGGATATTTATATAAACACGTAGAGGTCTAATATACCTGATCTTCTCCATCCAATTCCCACACTTTATCTAATTTCAAAGAAATTACAGGGAACATTTCTTCATCGTCGGATTCCGGTTCGGTTCTATCACAACCTACTGAAAGAACGGCCGGAATAGCCTCCACAAATACAAGGACCAAAGCGTGTATAAAACCTTGGATGGCAACAGTGGCCTGAGCCAATTGAAGTAAAGATCTAGACTTAATGCATTGCATCGTCATATCAAAACTGTACCGACCCCAGGGATATTTCAAAAACACATCCAAATCCCGAATCATCTCAACATGCTCCCTCGGAATCATCATGTGGAACGAGCGCCGACCAAGAAATCCATCTACCAGCAACAAGCATGCATACTTAACCCGCAATTCGCTGGTTAAAGCCTTAGATTTCTGCAGCTTCGACAACAACATCTCGCCGGTGAAATAATTTTCCCCACCGAAAAGGGTAAACCAGTAAGGCGTCACACCGGGAGGTGGCCTAATCAGAGACCTTTCGAGAGGGGGAAGAGGGTTGCAGTTAAGACCAGTAACTAGACCAAATTCCCGTAACGAGAATCTGATCGGTTTTCCGGCGAATACAAACCATATTTCATGGCGTTTGACCACACTCAACTGGCGGGTTAATAGAAAGTGGGCCAACTTCCCGGAGAACACCGGCTTTGAGTAAAGATCCAAGATTTTCCCAAAGCAAGGTCGAATGGTTTCGATCTCCTTGGGGGTCAGGGCCTTTAGAACGGCTTTGATGGTATTAAGCTTAAAGTACATGTTAACCCGATCACCGGCAGGTTCTTCTCTGTCTGCAAAAAGCCTAGAAGGAAGATCAATATCTGCCATTTTCCTGCAAAACAGAGGAGCCAAATTATTAGAAATATAGATCAATAAACGGAAGATGATGACATGCAATTTATGTATGAAGCTCCAAATAAAATTATGGATGTCTAACAGTGGATCTACGTCAAAGAGGTGAAGATACATGCAGATCTAAGGATGTGTATAAGGAAATTTGAGGACGAATCTAAGGAAGGTCACTATCTGCCATTCTCCTGCAACATGTAAGTGCTAATTAGGTTTAAAATATAGATCTACAAAGGATGACGATGACATGCACAGCATGTTGTAGAGCTTTATTTAAAAATATGGGTGTCTATTAGTGGATCTAAGCGAGTTATGTGAAGATACAAACAGATCTGAGGATTAGTATCAAAAAAAGTGAAGATTAATGCTTAGGAAAAAAGGAATCGAAATCTTAATGGCGGAATGGAAATAATTATTTTGCCGGAATCGGGTCCTCTCTGGCTTACCGACTGTGATCTAGTCTCGCTTCGGGTAACCAGCGAACTTGTGAAATGTCTTGGTACAGATTATCAATCTGGCCAGAGCAAACTCCGGTGTCAGAGAGGAAGAAGCCGAGAGGGCTTAGGGTTTTCAGAGAGAGAGAAAGGCGGGATGAGAAAAATGGAAAAAAGAAACCTCAAACGTCAACTGCTACATGGACGTTTTAGTATCTCGAGAGGACTTAATAAAGAGAAATCTTTTTCTCTTGTTCAATGTATCGAATTATAAAATGGGCTGCTTGGCTATCGCGCGTGAGGGTATAAGCGGCAGAAACATGGGCTGAAATTTTCTTTGTCTTGGACCGACGAGCATAATGTCGAAAATTTAATTAGGTCTGGATTCTATACTTCTCACCCAATTATCTCTTAAATATATACTCCCTCCGTATGAGATTAAGTGTCATTTTAGTCAAATTTTTTAGTTTCTAAATACATGTCGTTTTGACTTTTTTTAAGTAGCTTTTGCTTTATAATACCCAAATTACCCTTAATGAAATACAACTAACTCTAATAAAGGGAAATCAATTTTGTAATTTGTCATTTTTTTTGAGGATAGAATTGTAATTTGTCATGTTTCCTTAATTTAACTAATTACAGTTAAAACGACATCTAATTAAATACGGAGGGAGTATAACGTAAAAGTAAGTAAAGACTTCTTTCCTATAATATACTATGCTATTATTAAGTTTACATAGTATCTGTTTACAAATCTGATTAAAATAATGTGGTTCGAAACTTCAAAAGATAATGCACAAGTATAAACATTAATAACAACATTTATCTATATTTAGTTCTAAAAAAAACATTTGTCTTTATTTTATCACTGCGGATTTGGTGGAGAGTGAGTTATTGTACCAAGTGCGTTTTTAAGAAATGATGAAAAAAAAAAAAATGTTTTTGTTTTTGGCAAGTGCGTTTTTACATACAATACGTCCCGCTCTAACTTATTTGTGTGAATGGCAACTTAGTGTGTTTTCTGTTTCATAATTACAAATATGCACCTCAGTCAAGTCTCCATTCACAGCCTTTAATTTGTATCTAAACTCTATTCCTCGGTTTGGCTTTCCGAGTCATCCAATTAATATACAATGTCTGAATTTAAATTACTTCTTATTCTAAGTAAAATGATATGTAATATTTTTATACAATATGATGCGATGTATGAATGTGCGTTATATGATGCTCCTAGATTTTGTACCCGCGCACGGATTTTAATTTAAAATTTCTTTTACTAATAAAAAATTTGAGCATAAAATATAATTATTTAAATTTAAAAGATAAATATTTGAGCATATATATAATAATTTAAATTTTAACATCATTTCATATAAAAATGTAAATATACCAAATTTCATGAACATTATTTAGTGTAAAAATACATCTATAATATCATGTTGCTAGAACCGTTTTAGCAAAGCATTTTATACCCATTGAAGCATGTGCATGGTGCCATAAGAGAATTCTCGACTAAGTTATCAATGTGCCTATTTTATCAAATTTTTCATGATTACACGACCAAACGGTTAAGTCCAACTTTGAATCTAATAATCTGTTTAATAATGTGTGTGATGTATTTTTTTTCAAACTCATTCGTTTCACACAATGCATGAGATCTCAAAGAATTTGACCTTATTCATGTGCACTATATTTCTAAGTTTTAGAAATTTATTTTCAAACACTTTTAACTACCAATTCTTTCGTCATCTTCTATGATGCACTCGTTGACTCTCGACATCTACTTTATTTTCACCTTCTATTGACTCACATATTATATAGATTGGACTATGAATTGATTTTCAAGACATATCATTAACTATTTTCTCCTTAATTACTATCTTTTAATACTCAATTTTTTGGATTAAAAGCATTTGATTCAATTGATGAAATATCAATCTTGTTCTTCTTTTGATCATGTTATAAAGTTGTAGTTGCACTTGAGAATAATATGCTATACAAATTACATATCCTTTTTTTAATGGCTTATATTTTATTTTCTGTATATTTTGTGTAGAACTGATGAATAATGTGGTCATTGATTTTTTTTTTTTTTTAAAGACGGATTATAATGTTTCAAAAATTTCAAGATTTTTTTTATAATTTCACAAGATAAAGTGTGACTCTTACAATACCTCCGTCTTAAATTATAAATTTAAGTTGAGTTTAGTAATCATTTATTTTTCTTTAAGTAAAAATTTAATACTAAATAAAAATATGAAGTATATTGTTTCACTTTAAATTTTATTTTTTTATTTAAAATTTTACATATAGAATTACATAAATTTATTTTTATTCTACCATATATTTAAAATTTACTTCCATTCTAAAACTCATTAACACAATTAAAGATTTGAAGTATGATCATTTGTAATTTTTATCTATTAAAAGTGGAAGTATATTATTACTACTAATATTATTTATAGTTTTATTATTTTAACATCTCATTTATTTTACATAATTCGTTTGTTATTTATCTAAATTTTTTTATTAATTATAAGTAATATAAATATGCACTAAATGAATGTTTAGAGTGTATTTTAATGTAAAATAAATAATATTGCTTAGGTGGATGCTTATTTGGATGCTTAGGTGGATATGCTAGAAGGAGAGAAAACTCTCCCATTATCACTTTAAATTTTATTTTCTTGTTCAAAATTTTACATATAGAATTACATAAATTAATTTTTATTCTACCATGTATTTAAAATTTACTTCCATTCTAAAACTCATTAACACATTTAAAGATTTGAATTATGATCATTTGTAATTTTTATCTATTAAAAGTGGAAGTATATTATTACTACTAATAATATTTTTATAGTTTTTTTCTTATTTTAAAATCTTATTTATTTTACATAATTCGTTTTTTATTTATTTAAATTTTTTATTAATTATAAGTATCATAAATATGCACTAAATGAATGTTTAAAGTGTATTTTTAACAAATTAACAAATTATTAATCTTTTAATTTAAAATTTAAATTTTGTACAATATTTTCTCCTATTATTATTCTACATAATAATTATATGATCTTAACATTGTTCATTGAATCATTCAAAGACTCTTCCATTATATATATAGATTCTTGTTTAAAATTTTACATATAGAATTACATAAATTTATTTTTATTATACCATGTATTTAAAAGTTACTTCCATTCTAAAACTCATTAACACATTTAAAGATGTGAAGTATGATCATTTGTAATTTTTATTTATTAAAAGTGGAAGTATTTTATTACTACTAATAATTTTTTATAGTTTTTTCTTATTTTAACATATCATTTATGTTACATAATTCGTTTTTTATTTATTTAATTTAGATCATTTTTTATATATATATGGAGAGAGAACTCTTCTATTATCACTGAATCGGCCAATCGGCGTTGCGCGAATCACTGAATCGGCCAAAACTTCGATCACCCAAGCAGACAGGTACATCAAATGCTAAGCCGACACTATTATCTTTCCTTTTGATTGGCGTGACTTCAGACTCTGTTTTTATCTTTTATTTTGTAGTATGGCCATTAATTTGCCCCCCAAACTCTGGTTTGGTGAAGAGGTTTATAGGATAGGTGGTAAGATAGAGGCAAAGTGTAACTATAAGGAAAGTGTAGATACACTGAACGGGATTTTGTCAGATAGAGAACTCAATTGGTTCATCGAGCATCCCCAATTTTCGCACATTTTCCATATGAAACAAGAGGAGTTTCGTAAGCACATGGGTGTTTGGTTGTTACTTCACCGAACAGCCAAAACAATGATGCAAGACGAGTGCTGGAGTAAAAATAAAGCAAAACAAATTATTAAATCAAATTCAATTTATATAATTAGAATCGTATCTAGGTGCATATGTTGACATATATTAAAATATCAAATATGTCTAAAATATATATAAATAAATGTTCATACTTAATCTTTTAGATATATATATATAATGGGAGAGTACAATATTGATAATAAAAACAAATTATTACATATATATCATATATATCAGTTTTTTAATATACATATATATCATTTTTTTAATTTTACTTAATCATTATGGTTCATATTTGAATTGGTTTGTAAAAATAAATTGTTATTCCTAAAAATTGGCCAAATCTTTTTAGATTTAATAATTATATGAGTTTAATTTTTTTTTATATAGCGAATTCTGATTGGTTAAAATAAAAAGGAGTGAATAAAAGGATTCACCCCTAGAGGTGAACCAAGTATTACTCAAAATAAAATGGGTATCAATCTTATAGTTTTTTTCGCTAAATTACAAATTATATTATTACATATAACATATTTCGTAGGTGTATACTTCTAATATTAATGCATTTTTATTTAATTTAAATTTTTAAATCATAAATAATAATAAATATAAGTAAGTATGTATTGAATGAACATTTTACATAAATTATAGTTTATAAATTTTAATTAGAGGGACGCTTAGGTGGACGATGATGTAGATGTTGATGTGGATAGCTTAGATGGAGAGAGAACCATAATGATTATTTGATTCATATCACACGCAAGCATTTAAAATTTACTTCTATTATAAAACTCATTAACACATTTAAAGATTTGAAGTGTGATTATTTAAAAATTTTATCTATTAAAAGTAGAAGTATATTATTACTACTAATATTATTTTTATAGTTTTTTATTATTTTAACATCTCATTTATTTTATATAATTCGTTTTTTATTTATTTAAAATTTCTATTAATTATAACTAACATAAATGTTTAAAGTGTACTTTAATGTAAATTAAATAATATTGCTTAGGTGGATAGGCTAGATGGAGCCCACTATATATATAATGAGAGAGTTTTCTCTCCATCTAGAGTGTCCACATAGGCGACACATCAGCGTACACGTCATCATATTTTTTTAATAGGTATAAAATGTTATCAAAAAGATTCGAACCCCTTACCTAATACATTTAATAGGTGCATTTCAAACCAAATTGCCATTTAAATCATTTTGGTTGATATAAAAATTTAAACTATATATATTGTGTTATACAAGTGCCATACAATTTATTTATTAAAACAAGAAACATTAAAAACAAAATTAATTCACATGCTTTTATATCATCATCTTTTAATAAAAGAATTTGATTAAAAAATAGGATAAAAATACAAGTAGATAGTTCACTTTTACTCAAAATAAAAAATGATCTAACCATCATTAATACATATATATATATAATGGGAGAGTCTTCTCTCCATCTAGGCTATCCACATCATCATCCACCTAAGCATCATTTAATTAAAAATTTAAAAATATAATCTATTTAAAATATTCATTCAATACATACTTATTATTATTTATTGTTATTTATGATTATAAAATATTTAAGTTAAATACAAATGAATATATATTATAAGTACAAAACAAAGAAATATAAATTTATACATAATAATATAATTTTAATTTTAGCAAGAAAATGTTTATGATTAATCATATTTAAAATTTTATAAACATTTCAGTTTTAAAATTGATATATTAAAAATCAATATGATGGATATTTCTAAAATTGTATGAAAGTTGAAAGATCATATATTTATTAGCTTTCAAAAAACAAATAATATACACAAAAACTGAAATGATATGTAAAACATATATATCATGAACAAAATCAATCTTAATTTATGTATATTTGAATTATTATGGTTCATATAATATTTATTTATATACATATGAAAATCTCCAAATTGGTCCCGAACGTGTATAAACCTGAAACGACTCAAAAAGACACTAGAAACAACAAAAATACTCTAAAAACAATACATATATCACGGATAAAATCGGTAAAATCCGTGATATATCAATAACCTCTTCCAAGTTTTGGAAACCAGAGAAATAAAAACTCATGCTATTGGAATATATAAAACTAATTGATCAATATTAGTTTCATGAAATATATTAATATTCCATCTCAATATTAATAGCCATCTTATTAACTTAATATTTTTAAATTTTATTAATTTATCATAAAATATTTAGACTAAAAACTTTGTTGAAATATTTAAAATAATTCATATTAGTGTTAATAAATTTGTTCATTGATAAAGCCATAAAGGTCCCAATCAAAGCATAAATAAGAACACACAAACCTTTTCTTTGGCATTTTAAAAAAAACATGTAATAATTTGTTAATTTACAAATACACTTTAAACATTCATTTAGTGCATATATATCATATATATTAAATAATATTAATATATATAAATAAATGTTCACATTAATGGGTATGAATATGCCACAAAACACGATCCAATGATGATTTTTTTTTTTAAACACTTTTAATATTCTTTATTTAATGTGGGCTCCACAGAAAGGTATGACATGGCTGCTGATGTGGATAGGCTAGATGGAGAGAGGATTGTCTCATTATATATATAGATTGTTATTGACACAAACAGAAGAAACAATGTATATGTATGTTATTACTTAATTATTAGTCAATTAGATTTTGACGTATATCAAATCTTTTTATTCATCACTTAATAGGGATATTAACCAATCAACAATGAGTGTTAACTTTTAAAATAACATTATAAACTATTTAACATTAATTTAATTAGATTAAAAGTTATATTTATCATTGTATTGTAGTACTGTACAGTCCTTTATTCATAAGTAAAAATACAAAACAATTGAAGTAAATAATTAGTTACAGAATTTTAAAAAAAAATTATTACTTAATGAAAATGTTAATATATATTTTATTTAATAAATTATATATTTATATAATAAGATAAGATTTCTTCTTCCCTACACCAGAATTAGGGTTTTTTTTTTTTCTTTCTCTTTCGTCTTTATTAACCACTTTAAGTCTTCTAGTTCACAATTCACATCATAATCTCATCTTGCTTTGAAGGAGATCGATGGACCCGTACCAAGCTGTTGTTTCTGGGATCCAATTACAAGATCTGTCTGATGAGAAGAGTGAAGGTATATAAGCTTTAGCGATTACCTATATATGATGGGATCTTGGACCTGAAAAGCTCTAAAAATTATTGTTTAAAACATTGTCTTATGTTTCAGGAGATTTCGCGTCCTCTGTTTCATCGTGTAAACCTGAAGTTGGACCTGTTGAAACATCTGTAGAGGCTAAGAGAGGTTGTTTTGACGTTGGAGCTTCAACAGCTGGAACAAAGAGAGGTGATTCAACTGTCTCTTTTATGTTTCAGGGAATTATGTTTTAGAACTACTGTAATGAGCTTTGATTCTCTCTACAGAATTTAGACCTGTTGAAGTAGGTGAGCTCGATGTGAAGCAGCAACTTGAGAAGGAGTTGTCTGCTTACGGACGCAGAAAAGAAGAGTTTGAGTTTGTATGGACTCGTCTCATCAGTTTAGGGCTTGTAGCTGCTGGAAGTTCTCGGTTCAAGTTGATGGAACGGTCGCTTGATGTGGCCGATTATGAAAGAGGTTTGGTGTCTGGATCTGAATACGAAGAAGCTATGAAGAAACACGTGGATTTGGTGAAGAACGGGAGGTTGGAGATAGACAACTTAATCTTTAATTTCAAGAATGAGATTAAAAAGGCTGAGAAGAAGCTTGAGCAAGACAAGAAGAAGCTTGAGCAAGAGAAGAAGAAGCTTAAGCAAGGCAAGAAGAAGAAATGAATTTTAAGAGTTCAAGTCCATCTTGCTTTTCTCGGTTGTTCTCTTTACTTGACTTCTTTGTTTTGTGTTTTTTGGTTTTTTCTCACGAGTCTTATGTCTCTTTCAAGTTTGGTTACAAAAGACTATGAAATATTTACCCTACCAGATGACCTCGTCTTTGCAATATAATGCCTTAACAACTTGTTTACAACTTTGCAAGATGACATAGTAGATTCCGTAAAGAACACTTACATCTGGGGACTAAATAGCATATAGTACTAGTGCAACTACAGGAGTCATTCCTGGCCAACGAGGTCTGATCATCTCTGTCCTCAGATGATGATGAAACAGAGGATTGATCAAAACAAGATGACGTGGTAGATTCATTCCTCAAAAACAAACCCACATCTTTTGCTCTATCATCAGAAGATTTGTTGACAACTTGAGTTGAGAATCAAGAAGACTGTCCTTCTTGACCAGTTTCACTGTTCATATGGGAAAGAAACAAGATAGAACAAATGGAAAGATAACTGTGTTGGTAAATGCCAATGAGAGATCACATGAAGAGGATGAAGGTAACACACCTTTTGCTCCTCTAGTTTGGTGCCATCTTTATTATAATAGGAACTGCAGTTAGAAACAATAAGTTTGACACCAGTAAAGACTGTAAGGTGATTCCAGAACCGTATATTTCAATTACCGCTAGATGTTCTTTGAATTACCGTTTCAAAGCAAGAGAGGATGAAAGTTGACCCAGTGTATCAAGGAACAAGTCTCTGGAAAATTACAATGATAACTTCTAAAGACCGACCTACTGATATATTCACACATATTAGCACCTTTCTCCTCTTCAATTCCTCTGCTGGTTGCTGTTTTAACCTCTATATGAAGAAGCTTAAAATCCAACATGAATCTCTTTATAGATCCCAACGTAACTCACTGATAAAACGAATGATTCCATTCTAATTAATATGGAGCAAAAAAGCAAAGATGCTTATAATCCAACAATGAGTCTCTACAGCTGACATTAACTCACCGATGATGTCATGTACTCCAATAGCGGCCTCTGTTAGACTTCCATAGTCAGAACATACAACTGAAGCAAGGAAGCAGGACTTGCTTCTCCCCCGAGCCAATTCCCAAAGTTTTTCCTTGTGACGGTTCTAACATACACACAACAAAAATGGTTCAACATAAGATATCTCATCAAAAAGAGCATCGTATATAGAAGCTAGACCAACACTCCACAATGGCATCTAGCAATATAAGAAATTCCCTGCAGCAATCATGCGGAGGTGGTTAAGCACAAATCAACGTCACTTCAGATACTCCGCCTGACCCTGCAGTGAATGTATATACTCTGCCTCTCCTGACTCATCTGACAAGAAAGCTTTGTATTCATCTTATAGAATCTTAATATCCGATCGACTCAGGCTACATTGCATTGTCCACGAATTCAGAAATGCTTTAGTAGCAGGTGCAGAGAAGATTGAAAATAGAAATACAACTGAGAAGGTTAATCAGAGAGTTTATCATCTAATTATGTCAACTTCGGTGAGAAAAAATAAAGCTTTGATGAGATCTCTAAAATTTAGATTGTTTTTAAAGATGTTCTTAGCCTTTTTTTTTTGCAGGGATCTACAAAATCTGGTGTTGTGGGAGAGACTTCGATTGATTTTGCTGAATATGTTGATGCAATTAAAACTTGCAATGTTTCTCTTCCTCTCCAGAATTCAAATTCAAATGCAATGTTGCACGTTAGCTCTCTTTCTCTCTTTCTTTCTTTGCATTAATGTTTGTCATGAGACATTACAGTGTTTGCATCCTAAGGAAAAAGCTCACATGATTCTTCCTTGTTTGTCTTTTGAATGATATTTTTTTCTTTCTGTGATACTCTTACTGAGCTTCGAACTGGTTCATTATCAGGTATCAATACAAAGGCAGCTAGAAAATGCGGATCCGCAAAGGTCTTGCAAATCTCTTTATTCATTTAGGATTTATTAATGGGAGTCTTTGTTTTGTCTGTGTGCTCTACAGAGTGGTGAAAGAAAACGATAGCTTGGTGAAAAGGTCATGGGGTCAAGATTTGAAATCCCATTTAAGTATTGAAGCAGATGAAAGTCATAAAAGTGATTCACAAGAGGTACAGTAATTATGTTCTATAATGACTTTTTTTCTTTCCATATTCTTGATTATTGAAGCAATTGGTGTATCCACAAGTTAAATATTCTATTTGTGTATGTTCTTATAGGAAGGTCCATTTGGTAAAGCTTCCCGGATTGCTGAATTGAGGCGTCGAGCATCGATTGAATCTGATAGTACGTTGTCAAGCTTTGACAGTGTCTCTCAACTGGATACACTGAGGAGATCACATTCAGCAAAATCACTCAACTATGCATCACCATTCGGTTACAAATGTATATGAAGAGCCTCATATATCGGAATCCGAGTGGTCAGGAAGTTCTGACCAGGGAATCAGTACTGATGACTCCATGAATAGTTCAAACGATGCCAGCCTGAGAGACACAACGAAAAGTTCTTCGGATGACGAGGTAGACAAGCTCAAAGCCGAGCTCGTAGCTTTGGCAAGGCGAGCAGATCTTTCAGAACTAGAGCTACAGAGCCTGCGGAAACAAATTGTTAAAGAGACCAAAAGAAGTCAGGATCTCCTGAGAGAGGTCACTAGCCTGAAACAGGAGAGGGATTCGCTGAAGGTAGATTATGAGAGTATTAAAGCATCTGACAAGCGAAAGGAAGAGGCAAAAATTAGGAACAAGTTGCAGCTTGAAGGAAGGGATCCACACGTTCTTTTAGAAGAAACCCGAGAAGAACTGGATTATGAGAAGGATCTGAATTCTAATCTACGATTACAGCTTCAAAAGACACAAGAGTCAAACACCGAGTTGATCCTTGCTGTGCAAGATCTAGAAGCTATGGTGGGGCAAAGAAGTAAGAAAACAGTTGGTCTTCCCAGACCAAGAACCTGCGAGAGGAACACCGAAGAATCAAGGAGAAGGCCCTGCACAAGTGAGACAGATGACGATGAGGATCAAAAGGCACTGGATGAGCTTGTGAAGGGACACATGGATGCAAAAGAAGCACACGTACTGGAGCGAAGGATCACTGACCTCTACAATGAGATTGAGATTTATAAACGAGACAAAGATGATCTTGAGATACAGGTAGAGCAGCTTTCTCTGGATTATGAGATACTTAAGCAGGAAAATCACGATATCTCATATAAGCTAGAGCAAAGCCAAATTCAAGAACAGTTGAAGATGCAATATGACTGTTCATCTTCTCTTGTAAACGTGAACGAGCTTGAAAATCATGTCGAGAGCCTAGAAGCTAAGCTCAAGAAGCAGTCCGAGGATTTCTCTGAGTCCTTATGCCGCATTAAAGAACTTGAAACGCAGATCGAGGGCATGGAAGAAGAATTAGAGAAACAGGCTCAGATATTTGATGCAGATCTTGAAGCTGTCACACGTGCTAAAGTGGAGCAAGAGCACAGAGCTATCGAAGCCGAAGAAGCCCTGAGGAAGACGAGGTGGAAAAATGCTAGTGTAGCAGGCAAAATACAGGACGAGTTCAAGAGAATCTCTGAGCAGATGTCTTCTACGTTAGCAGCAAATGAGAAGGTGACTATGAAAGCAATGACCGAAACCCGCGAACTGCGCATGCAGAAGCGTCAGCTAGAAGAACTTCTCATAAGCGCTAACGATGAACTCGGAGCAAATAGGGTAGAGTATGAAGCAAAGCTCAACGAGCTCTCGGGAAAGACGGATCTTAAGACGAAAGAGATGGAGAGAAAGTTAGTGGATCTTGTGGAAAAATCCAAGGATCTAGAGAATCAAAAGAAGCAAGAAGAAGATATTAATGCAGATCTAACACAGCAGATCAAAAGGCTGAAGGATGAGATTGAAATCTTGAGACTTGAGTTGGAAGAGATGAGCAAATCAAGTATGGAGACTAAGGCATCTTTGGCGAAAGAGTTACACCGAATCAAAGATGATAAAGAAGCAGTCATTACTGGTTTAAAATCAGAACTAGAAACCGCAATAGTGCAATGTGATAATCTAAAGCATTCTTTATCCGACAATGAATCAGAGATCGAGAAGCACAGAAAGCAAGTTGTACAAGTGACAAGCGAGCTAAAGAAAAAAGAAGAAGAAATGGCAAATCTAGTGAACAGAGAAGCAGCAGCTAACAACATGACAAAAACCGAGCAAGGAATGAACGCAGAAAGAATAAAAATGCTCGAGGTAATGCGTCTAACACTAGAACATTTACTATTTGGCTAATTATTTTAATGTTGATGCCAAACTTTTGTAATCTAGGAACAAATCAAACTAAAGGAAAATGCTTTGGAAGCCTCTTCGAAGATGTTCATCGAAAAGGAAAAGGAATTGAAGGACAGAATCGAAGAATTGCAGATTAAACTCTACGAGCGAAGTCAAAATAGCCAAGAGGTAAAAAGAATTAACCTTTTTTGTAGTTTAGATAATCAAATCATCTACATTCCTACGACCTCAAACATTACAACATAACTCTGGTTTTATGAACAGGCTGGTGAAGGTCCAGAAGCAATTGCTTTGCAAAACAGAGAAGCCTTGCCATTGAATAAGAGGTATGTATGTTCATGAACCAACATAAACTGAAGAAAATACAATGATTTCTCATTGTTTGTTTTGTTTATACAGTAATGATCTTCAAGATTTGGTAAAAGAAGTAGCGTCACTAAGAGAGCAAAATGGATTGATGGAGATGGAATTGAAGGAGATGCAAGAGAGATATTCAGAGATAAGTCTAAGATTTGCAGAAGTTGAAGGTGAGAGACAACAACTTGTTATGACTGTACGTTATCTTAAAAATGCCAAGAAGCGATAAAACCGATCATCTTCTCACAAGAACCAAATGGTGCAATATTGTACAAAGTTCTCTTATTCAGTAGATTTTTTTTTTTACATCTATATATAATTTCTCATTTTTTATATATAAATATTTTTTGAGAGAAAAAAGTGAGTTTTGAGTTTTGTGTGTATTTTACTATTTGTAATAAGTGTTGTGGATATATAATTATTTATTTTAGTTTCCAAATGTAATATGATCATCATTTAAATTATATCCAAATCTTTGACCGAAAAAAACAGAAAATTCTATCTGAATTCACCATTTCAATATTTATACTGTTTCTACTAAACTAGCAAGGAGTGTACTCACTAAGTGTAATTGTTACAACAGATTAACCAACCGATACAATTATCAATTGAGAGAATTATTTTCTAATCTACAACAACTGTAACAGATGAACAAGAAAGACTATGCAGTTATCGTGATTAAGCTTCTAAATTATATAGTGTTACCTCTCTCTCTTTAAAGCAAAGTAGGATACTTAGCGTCAAGAAACTCTCTGAGACTTTTAGCAACTTTGTGACCACCCATGAGTTCTGCTAATGTCTCCACAGGCAAAGACGCGAGCTCAGCCAAACTCTTACATTTCTCCATTATCGTTCTATAGTTTGCGTCTGAAACTCCAGGAAGCCTTCTCAGAAACTCTACTGCTGATGTGTTATAGTTCTCGGCTCTGTTTCACATAATGAGTCAATTTCGATATTTTACCAACGCAAATAAACAAAACTGATTTTGCAGTTTAAGAAAGAGAGTTTTCTTTTACCTGATGTCATTTTCTATGATACCTTCTTCTGAAGGCACACCAACTCTCACTGCTCGGGTCTCATCGGGCTCATCTTGGTTGGATTTTAAGGTAGTGAAGATTTCTGCGGTTGCATGTAGACTTCGAGACCATAATATCCTTAACCGAGGAAAGTGCAGAACGAGCAATGATAGTTTTGATATGATGTTATATGGAGTCACATCATCTGATATATCACTCGCAGACTGCAAAAGAAAAAAATAACTGATCCAAACTCAATGAAGAACATGAAAATATTTTGACTGTGAAGCTTGAAATTTGAGAGGGCACCTGAAAGGAGAAACTTTTGTCTTGAGAGAACTCGATGAGAAGAACGGGTATTCTGTAATAACGGGACATCATTTCAACTTGGTGGAATAAACGACCTGATGTGAAGCTCTGGAAAAGATCTTGAATGCTCTTTCTCTCCACGCATATTGAAGGAGATAGGATATAGTCACCGACCTCTAGTGTAACTGGTATTATCTTCATGCCTTTCTGGTGAAGAACATTTGGTAGGCTGCTCATGAATTCCCTCATGTCAACTATTACCTGGTGAGAAAACCATTGAAGTTTTCAAGTAAAAGCTTTCCCAAATCGAGTTAATCTTGGAGATCAGATCAGTACTGAGATACGAACCTGTGTCTCTTTCTCCATTTCCTTTCTTCCGCCTGCTTTTCGGGTTATTGAGTTTTGAGTACTTGAAGCTGGAAACTCTGTAGATGAATTTGACCCCATGCAGAGCCCATCCTAATTCCAAGTTTATAGCACAGGATGGATGAGATGAAAGCAGGGAAAAAAACTGGAATCCAGGGTGGAAAAACAAGAGGATAACGTAAAATTTCAGTTGAGAGTTTCATCCACTTGTGATCCAAATTATTATAAACTTGTTTGAGCAACCTTTCCATTAATCAGAGTTGTTCTAATGTACGTTCATGTCAAATTGTAAATTTTGAAGCACGAAAAGAAACTCACACAGGCTTTGTTTCAAAATGTAGGGATTTGAGTTTCAAACCTGATCAACGGGAATCATCATTGAAGACTTCTGCCTGATCAATGATTCAAACGCTCCATTTTCTCGACGTATGCTTGCTTCAAACTTCTGCACTTCTGTGGACTCATCATAGAAAAGAAAATAAACTTTCAGCTTTTTCAGAGGGTTCTCTGCCTTGTACACCTCAATTTCTCTGACAAAACCCATGTCAGGATGGTAGACAATGATCACAGAGGGTTTCAAGATATCTAGTATAGGTTGATCGCTTTCTAAGGCATAAAAATGCACAGGCGGTAGCTTTCTAGCACCGCTGGAGTGAACAGCATTGGCTTCTCGGGGGGCTGATGTACTAGCTTCACTAGCTCTTTCTTCATTCTCTGGGTCTTTTATGATTTCAGCTTTACTGTTTGCCGTTTTCTTATTGCAACTTCTTATGGATCTCCGAAGACTTGGTGAATCCTTTTTAGCTTTTCCTTTGGTACATGAAGCCTTATCAACATGAGGCTCTGGGTTGTTATTCCCAGATGCCATATCTATTGTCTTTTCTAGCTTGCGAATAGAAGATGCAGCAGCCATAAGAGCCTCATGCTCTTGTCTACCAACACTGCTACCCTCCGAGTTCTGTATCGTAGTAACCGGAACTACTCCATCAAGAATCCCAAAACCCTTGGGAGTCTTTTGTTTCTTCTTTTGTGGTGTCTGCACACTACGGAGCTCAATTTTGCTCAGCAGGTACATTTCCCATTCTTCCCGCATGACCTGCACAAGTGTAGGTAAAATGAGATGATTTGTGTGGGCCAGACAAATTATGGAATTGGTTGTTGGCTTTTAAGAGAATGGTTCTTGTCTGTTGTTAATGCATGACGTAAAATCTTGCAAAACGTAGTTATCTAACTGGACCTTCTGTGGATTGTTTGTGATGCAATCCTCAAGCTGCATGCAGGACCGCTCATCTTTGCAAGCCACAAGAACTATTCCATTGTTGTCACTGCTTTCTTCCTCAGAAAGAGTCTGATTTTGTCTTTCTTCTTGTGTCTCTTCTAAAATCTCCTGTATTAATCACGCGCACACCATTAGGTATAAAAGCGATTTCATACGGCAAATCCAGGAAAACGTGTTTGTCAATCATAGAGTGTGGCGGCCAAATCAAAGAGGTCAAAAAACAAAGAACAAATGTGGTCATTAGCTGAACCAACTTCCACCATTAAATCAACAGTAACAGGGAAACGGCATTGAAACTGAAACTCACTCAGTCACTCACACGTAAGACTTTCCATTTTGGTGCCTCTTCGAGAACTTCTTCAATAACAACGCCAGTAACCACATTCGTTTCCGTTTCACCACCAACTGATTCAGGTCCAATTATCAGGAAAAAAATTAAAACATCTATAACACGCAAGTCACTAGATGCAAGATACAACCATGTAGAGCAACACTTTGTTACCTGCTTCTACAGAGTCATTTTCGCCCTTCGACTTTCTCTTTTTACCACTCTTATTCTTAACAAGTTCCTTTGACTTGACATCACTTGCCTTCACGAGACGATACACTCGTTTCTTTGCAAAATCAAATATTTTATAACTGGACTCTGCAAATAACCAAACAGACCGATAGCTCTCTGATACCCTTAGTGTATCCAAGAACTTCAGAAAACTCACAGCATCATACCTATCCACAAAATCCATAAATATAACAACTTAAAAGCTTTGCATAAGAACATTACTGATGTAGAGAGAAGAGACAGAGCTATTACCTAACAAGATAGTCAAGCAGCTTCCTTAAAGTCTTCAAATCAGAAACAAGCTGTTTGGTTCTCTTCCCGAGAGTGTGCCAAATAGGGTCAAGCTGCCTCCTCACAATCTCATCAAAGGACTTAAACAAGCCACTCTCTACAGTCAAATCATCCACATCAACCTTGTTGGTCTTCTTCATCTCCTTGAGGCAAGCGTCCATGACTTCAATGATTGCTTTTTGTATTCCCACCATGTAATTCGACATCGAAACCCTAATATCGACAACCTCAGGTGGTTCTCGCTCCAATTCCTGAGACACATCCAACTGAAACCTTGGCCATAGATGGAGCCTACGGAGGAAGAGAGCACGCATGGTGCGTTCAGTCTTGGCGAAACCGGAGACCATAGCTTGCGGTCTATCGGAAAAGGCGCGTATATAAGCGGAGCCATTTAGGGATTTAACGATTCGTACAATGAATGCTTCAGTGGAGGTTTCGGAAAGTGAATGAGCATTGAGGATGAAGATTCCGGCGAGTGAAGAAACTGGAATCCGTTGAGTCAATAGATCGACGATGAGAATCCGCGGCGTGATGAAGAAAGGAGAACCGGAGGTGTAAAGCGAGTAACGCTGATTCGCCGGAAGATCTGCGGTGATCTCCGTTGGAGTAGGAGAATCAAGAGAGGAGATGTAATGGATGATTCTGGATTTGAGGGATTGAGCGGCGGGAGAGAGGAGGAGAAGTAGAGTTCCTTGGGAGGGAGAGTGAAGGATGAGGAGTGAAGCGATTAATTTAGCGAGGGAGAGACCGGAGGAGAGGATTACTAATCCGCCATTAGAATCCTCGAGAAGGTCTGATATGATCTGTTGGTGAAATTTTAGCGCCATTGAAGAAGAACACGGCGCAAATCGGAGAAACTGACGACGATATAAAAAAGCTTGTTTGGGTCAAAAACGTTCAAACTTCAAAACGGTGTCGTTTAAATTCAGTTGCAAATAATTTCCACTATTAATCCCAATTTGGCTCGTTTTAGTTCGGTATAGTTCGGTTTAGTTCGGTTTATAGATTGACGATAGAAAAAAAAAAGTGTTCTCTTGCTTCTCCACTCAACAACGAGCTCTCACCTTTTCTACAAAAGTCTCCAAATTTGGCGTCGATCGGAATTCTCAGATGAGAGCAATAATTGAAAGAGTCCCTCATCTTCCTCCGTCACGGTTAGTTCTTGTCTTTCTTCAAAATCCCCAAATTGCCCCTTATTTTGACATTGAGAGATCGAATCATGTCTCTTGGTTTTAATCGTAATTCATGAATAATCAGATACACAGATTCTAAGGCCGATTACATGTATATTACTAATTCTTCGATTTTACAATTTTATTTATAAAGTTGTTGCAGATTTTTAAAAATAAATTTGTATATAGATAGAAGCTCTTGGTATGATCCAAGTTCCACAATGGCTAATTAACATGTGGTCGTCCAATTCCAGTTGGAGCGAGCTTTGTCAAGAGCAAACAGTGGGATGATTTGGAGGAAGAAGAAGAAGATGAAGAGAGAAAGGAGAAGGATCACAATATGCGTCTTTATCAAGGTACCAATAAAAGCCCAGCCCAAACCAGATAATTTCCTTATTGTTTCTATAAATTTATGTAGTTTAGGGTTATTGCTTGCTCTCAACGAACTCTTCCCTGAACAAATACATAAACCGTCTGTTTTCATCTTCTCCATGGCCAGTTCTAGTAATTTATTGGGTTTGTTTTTGGTGGCTCTTAGCTCTTATCTAATGTTTTATACCAATTTACTTGGCTCAAGAGGTTTTTGCTGCTCTATCTTCTTTTAGGTAAGCGAAAGCCCGAAGATGATTTCGAGACCAAACCCATTCTCAAGAAACACAAGGAAATATCCGAGGAGGAGAAGGTAACCTAAGATTATGCGGATACCGCTTCTTCTTTTCGAACAATTTTCTTTACGCTGTTTTCTAATGGCTACTCATGTATGTAACAGGAGACAACCGAAGAATTTGCTGATAGTCTCCACCAGGTCGAGTTGTTGGAGACAAAATCTGATCAGCCTAATTTAATCTCAGTGAAGGTTTAATTTTTGAATATTGTACTAGTTTATGTTCAATTAAACTACTTTTTTTTTTGTTGTTGTTATGCAATTTAAGTCCTCTTCTCCTTAGAGTCGTGCTAACACACTTGGCTGTTAAAAATTCAGGAAGCTGCCGTAAGAAAAAAGACGCTCTTTATTGAGACTCTCCCTTACGATACTATAATACCAAATATGTAAGTATCACCTTTAATTTCCACTTTGGAGCAAGTTTTCATGACTGATATTTCATCCTCTACTTTTACAGCATCGATTTCTTCAAAAAGGTTGGACAAGTTGTTCGTGTTCGACTTATTGTAAACCTCAAGGGTACGCTTGTGGGCTGTGGCTTTGTTGAGTTTGCTTCTGCTAACGAAGCAGAGGAGGTGAGAGTTGTTTATAGTAATGATGAAAAAAGTATTGAAGTAGTCATTTGAAAAGTATGAAAAATATACAACTAGTTATTTGAAAGTACGATTGTTGATTAAATCTCTTATACCGTAGGCGCTGCAAAAGAAGAACGGTGAATATATGTGCGGTCATAAGATTGTTCTTGATGTGGCTAATAAGGGAGCTAAATACCTTCCACCCAAGTAAATTGATTTATGTTATGGAGATTTGGTTCTCTAACACCGGTTGTTTTTTACTACTAGAGTTTTGATGCCATTACAGAAGACTAACGCTTTTTTTTTTGTTATTAGGTATTGCATAGATCACAAGTTTTGGTAAGGGATTTAATTATTTGCCTCTTGAGTTTGTTATCTAGAGCACCTTGGGTTAAGTTTTTGGTATACATGGAGAGATCATTAGGGTTTTTGATATTCCAGTTACGAAGATTACCTTCGACGAGAAAGCCTTCCGATAGAAGAAGATGAGACACCTCCTGGTTCTGTTGAGGTACCTGTTCTTAGTTTCTTCAAAATATGTCAAGCTCAGAAAAAATGCTTAGCGCTTAATAACAGAACTGTAGCCACAAATTCGAAAGATGATTTATTTTGGGGATGAATCTTCAGATGAGGCTACTTTTTGTTGTTATGCAATTTAAGTCATTTTCTCTTTACATTCGTGCTAACACACTTGGCTGTTAAATTCAGAAAGTACTCATTGTTGCCAATCTCTCTCCCCAAACTAAAATATCAGATATGTAAGCTAAGTAGCACCTTAAATTTCCACTTTTCTTCTCGGAGCAAGTTTTCCATCACTGATATATTATCCTCCACTTTTACAGCAAAGATTTCTGCAAAGATGTTGGAGAAGTTGTTAGTGTTCGATTTATTGTAAACCACAAGTGTAAGCATGTTGGCTATGGCTTTGTTGAGTTTGCTTCTGCTAACGCAGCAAAGAAGGTGAGAGTAGTTTTGTAGTAATGATAAAAAAAGTATTAAAAGTAATTTGAAATACAAAGTTATGGTGAAAAATATACAAGTAGTTATTTGAAAGTATGATAGCTGATTAAATCTTTTATACTGTAGGCGCTGGAAAAGAAGAATGGTGAATATTTGCACGATCATAAGATTTTGTTGATGAAACTCCCGATTTTGTTGAGGTACGTGTTCTTATAATCTTCAAAATATGTCAGGCTCAGAAGAAACGCTTAGCGTTTACTAACAGAACTGTTGCCACAAAGTCGAAAGATGACTTATTCTAGGGATGAATATGAGGCTACTTTTTCCTGTTATGCAATTTAAGTCCTTTTTTCCTTACTCCTTAGAATGGTGCTAACACACTTGGATGTTAAATTCAGGCAGTTGCCGTAAGAAAAAAGACGCTCTTTGTTACCCATCTCTCTCACCAAACTGAAATATCACATATGTAAGTAGCACCTTTAATTTCCTCTTTTGTTCTTGGAGCAAGTTTTTCATGACTGATATTTTATCCTCCATTTTTACAGCATCAGTTTCTTCAAAGATGTTGGAGAAGTTGTTCATGTTAGACTTATTGTAGATTACGCGGGCAAGCATTTGGGCGATGGCTTTGTTGAGTTTGCTTCTGCTAACGAAGCAGAGCAGGTGAGACTAGTTTATAGTAATCATGAAAAGTAGTGTGTACTTACGATGAAAAGTTATACAAGTAATTATTTGAAAGTACGATTGCTGACTAAATCTTTTATATTGTAGGCGCTGGAAAAGAAGAACGGTGAATATTTGCACGATCGCAAGATTTTACTTGATGTGGCTAAGACAGCTCCATACCCTCCACGACCCAAGTAAATTGACTTTCCATGTTATGGAGACTTGTTTACGTACCACTGGTTGTTACTTATTACTAGAGTTTTGATGTCATTACAAAAGACTAATGCTATTATTTTTGTTAATCATAGGTATTGCATAGATCACAAGGTTTGGTAAGGGATTTAACTATTAGCCCTTTTGAGTTTTGTTATCAAGAGCACATTGGGTGAATTTTTGGTATACATGGAAAGATCACAAAGGTTATTTGATATTCCAGGTATGAAGACTACATTCGACGAGAAAGCCTTCTGATAGAAGAAGATGAGGCAGTGGAAGGACATGATGAAACTCCTGATTTTGTTGAGGTACATGATGACCTATTCTAGGGATGAATCTACTTTTTTGTTATGCAATTTATTTATGTCCTTTTCTCCTTAGAGTCTGCTAACACATGGCTGTTTCAGGAAGTTGCGGTAAGAAAAAAGACGCTCTTTTTTGCAAATCTCTTTTACAGAATTAGAATATCAAATATGTAAGTAGCACCTTTAATTTCCTCTTTCGTTCTTGGAGCATGTTTTTCATGACATAGTTTATCTTCCATTCTCACAGCATCAATTTCTTCAAAGATGTTGGAGAAGTTGTTGGTGTTCGACTTATTGTAAACCACAGGGGTGAGCATGAGTGCTGTGGCTTTGTTGAGTTTTCTTCTGCTAATGAAGCAAAGAAGGTGAGAGTAATTTACAGTAATGATGAAAAAAGTATACAACTAATTTGAAAGTATACTTATGAAAGTAAAATTGCTGATTAAATCTTTTATACTCTAGGCGCTGCAAATGAAGAATGGTGAAAATTTCCTTGGTCGTTTTATTTTTCTTGACGTGGTTAAGTTAGCTCCATACCCAATCCGACCCAAGTAAATTGATTTTCCATATGGAGATTTGCTTCTCTAACTTTATTGCTATAGTTTTAATGTCATTACAGAAGATTAACGCTAGTATTTTTGTTAATAGGTACAACCTTGTAGAGAAGCTTTGGTAAGGGATTTAACTATTTGCCTTTTGAGTTTTTTTTATCAATAGCACATTTGATGAAATTTTTGGTATACATGAAAAAGATCGCTAAGGTTTTTGATATTCCAGGTACGAAGACTACCTTCGACGACAATACCTTCTGATAGAAGATAATTTGGAGACCAAACCGAATAAGAAGAAACAGAAGGCACCTACGATGAGCAGATTCTGCGGTAAGAAGATTACCTTCTCTTACGATGACTGATAGAAGAAGATGAAGCTTTTTGATGTTTTGAAACTTGTGATATTTAGGTAATCTTGATTTATAACGAATACTTAGGCATCTTGTAGCATTATTGACTTTGATTTTCAATTAAATTAACTCAATTCATGTGCACTATCCAAAGGGACCCTATACTGTTTGAAATTGAATTTATGAATCTGTGACTTACAAATTGTGGTCTACCAACTCATTAACAAGTCACATTTGCTTTCTGCACATTCTTTACAAAGAATTTTTGATCAATACAGTGTCTGAAATAAACACTAGCCATCCTTCATTTCCACAAACGAAACAACCTCACAGGTTCATGAAATCATCCTCGCTTCACAAAGACTGTGTAAACTGCTACTGCACCATCATTTTCTGTAAGTTGAAGAAGCATCATCAAAGAACCCTCAACATTATGATCAGTTCTGCTATAGTGTCACCTAATTATGAAACACATCTTCTTTCAGTTTTCTAAACAACACATGAGCTTCAAGCATTAACCCTTCCCTAAACAATCCTGATATCATTGTAGTGTATGTTACAACATTTGGCTTCACTCCTTTGGAAGGGAGGCTGCAAAATAAATTAAGAGCATCTTTCACTTTACCAGCCTTGCACATCCCTTGAATGATGATTGTATATGTAATAATACCAATATCCATATCTCTCTTTTGCATATCCTCGAATACCATCAACGCTTTCTCTAGCTTTCCATTATAGCATAGACCGTGTAACAAAACGTTGTAAGTCCTGATATTGGGAGGCACGCCATCCATTTCTCTCTTTTGCATATCCTCAAATATCATCAACGCTTTGTTTACCTTCCCGTTATAACATAGACAATGTAACAAAACATTGTAGGTCCTAATATTGGGAGGCACGCCACGAGAGACCATATGACCGAAAACTTCTTGGGCGACATTAGGTTTCCCCACTAGACCAAAACCTTGGATAAGTGTAGTGTAAGTGATTGTGTTCGCACTCAATCCTTTTTGGGACATCTCGTAGAAGATTTTCATCGCATCCTCTACCTTCTTACACTTGCAAAAACCATTTATGAGAGAAGTATAAGCCACTACGTCTGGAAAACAACCCTTGGTTTCCATCAAATAAAACATTTGTTTAGCCTCATCTACGCGACCCTCCATGCAAAGACCATTGATCAATGAAGTGTAAGTAACAATGTTAGGAGCTATAGACATTTGAATCATCTCATTGTACAATTCTTTAGCATCCAAAAGCTTTCCTTCTTTCACAAACGCATCGATTAATGCATTGAAAGTGATTACATCAGGTTTAATTTTCCTCTTCATCATATCCCTGAGCAATGGATCAGCATCTCTCCATCTACCAGAGTTACAAAGACCGTTGACGAGAGAGGTGTACATAACAACATCCGGTCTAATCCCATAGTTTTCCATTTGATTGAAAAGGCTCAACGCGTTATCTACATGCCCGTTCTTACAAAGACTATCAATGATTGTTGTATACATTACAACATCGGGTTTAATCCCCATCTCCACCATCTGATTCACCATAGACATGGCCTCCTCAATTCTATTCCCGAGACAGAACCCATTGATCAGAGAAGTAAACGTGAAAATGTCAGGCTCAAAACCAAGTTTCATCATCTTCCCAAGAAAAGATGAAGCAAGACAAGGCTGAGAAGATTGGCAGAAACAATTCATCAAAAGATTACAAGTATAGAGATCATTCGAAACTCCCAGTATCTCCAAATGCTTGCAGAGATTGATTACAACATCAAACTTCTTCATTTTGGCAATAACATTCAATAATCTAGTGAAATCGATAATAGAAGGAAGAGGACGAGACTCAACCATGTGAGTGAACAAATCGAGAGCTTCATTAAACTGAAGAGAGTGAAGACCATTTCTCAAAATCTCTCGGTAATTACAAAAAGCTCGAACCCAGAAACTAAAACCTAATAGGCGGCTAAAGGAGAGAGCTTTTCCAGAATTACCTTTTACAAGACGATGTCGATGAAGATGAAGAAATCTCATCGCCATTAACGCAATCCCAAACGAAATTGATTATGCCTTTGATTTATTTCGAAACCTAGAAATACAGTATGGATGAGATCGAAGGTCTTTGTGTATACGAACCCTAATTTTCGTTTACTTGGAAGATACGAAGAAGATGAAATTTGAGATTTGAGAAAAGAATCGGCGGAGGAAGAAGATGGCTAATATTTGTACACGTGTACTGTTTTGACTTTTTGTGAGATTGTTGACTTTTCGTATTTATGATTTGATTGATGATCCGAGCTAAATAGATCAAATGGGTAAAAAAAAAAAACCATTTCTTTGAGACGGATCCAATAGTTAAAAAGCCCAATTGTTTATAACATGTAATTTTTGGATTTTCAAGAGCTGCTGCACTATCCAAAATATGAGTTTGTAATCCTCTGTTAGGAAATTGATTTACATGACTTTCACCATATTTACATTACTTTTTTTCTGTATGTTTATACATTAATTTTTTTCTATATTAAAGATTTTATCAATCATGACGAATAAATATAACTGTATACAACACTTATAAATAACATATGAATACATATTTAAAAATAAAAATATCGAATTACAGTCTCGATGTAAAAACATTAAACATTTGATCAACCGCTAAATTAAATGGTTTCCAACTTTTAAATCTAAAATAGTAAAAAGTAACAACTAAATTTTGTGACAAATTGGTAACAAATAATCGATTGATTTGTGGTAGTATTATTGTTGTATTATAATTTGTGTTCAAACCTGCATATTACATGTTATCAAAAATAACAAAATATTTTTAATACATAGTGATATTTAAAAATAAGAAAGAAATCTAGAGTAGTTATAGTAGGGCCTTCTATATTCTAATCCTAATTTACTTTATAAACTAAATGATAAAGTTTAAGAAAAGGTGACAAAATAGTAATTAAATGATAAAAAGGAAATAAAGAAGAAAATTAGAAGAAAATCTACTTCTTGTAATTTGTGTGAACCTTTCTTATTTTTGCTGGCCAACAATAATTGTAAATGCTAATTGATTAAAAAAAAGAGGCTATGAGGAATATAACTATTTTTGAAAATCTTTTTTTCCTCTATAAGAGTTAGATTTTATTAAATAAAGTTTGAAATCGCCGACAAATAAATGAAACAAAACGTTAAATCTTTCATCAGTTGAGTTAATGTGATATAGAAACTTTTTAAAAAAGTTTAATGATCTAAAATGACATTTTAATTATTATTTATGTCGTCTATAATTCATAATATAGACGTACATAAAGTTAAAATCTTTTTTTTTGAACACAAATAAAATTGAAATCTAAATGTTAAAATCTTTTTTTTGAACACAAATAATATATTGACTTTAAATGTTTCAAAGAGATAATGCATGTTCATACATTTGTCCTTGTATACAAAATACACATAACAATTAAATAAATTTATTTATGTTTTGGCTTACAATTAGATATATTACTATGAACATGCATTAGACGGGAAAGAAATATAAAACAATTTCATTACATAAAATTGGGATCTATTACTAATTAAATGTATAATAAGCTTGATTTTAGTCAAAGTTATAGGGACAAATATTTAAATAAAAGTAATATCCTTCTTTTCTAAAGAAAAAGTTGAAAAGCAAAATTTCTTCTCCTCTCCATTTAGAAAAGAACAAAAAAAAAAAAGAACTGTCTTTGAATCCAAGTCTCTCTCTTTTGTCACCATCTCTGTTACTTACTGAGAAACTTCTTTTTTCTTTAATGGGTTTTTGCTCAATGCCCGGAATATTAATTAAAGCATTTTCCTTTTCTGCTAAATCTTGCTTTGCTCTTTAAGCTCTTGTCATTGTTCTTAATTGTCCTCTCCAGATTTTTTTTTTCTCCTGGAAATTATTTGGTCTTTGTGGTGACTATATTCAGTGAGCTAGAATTTGTAGAAATCTTTGAGCTAGGAGAAAAAAGAATGAGACTTTACTTATCTTCAGCTATGCAGCTTACTCTTGTGAGTCTTGTTTTAGGGTTCCTCTTTGTTTCTTGTGACGCTTTTGCCTCTAAAGAAGGTATTTTGATTTCTCCATTTTCTTCGATGTAATGTGTTGTTATCTCCAGTTTTTGGATGCTGAGAAAGTTTAGTTTTTTAAGCCTCTGTGAATGTCTGTTAACACTTGCTCATTGAGTTAATGTTGAAACTTTCGTTTTGTGACTGATCATAAGAAGTATTTTGATGTTTTGTTCTTCTTGTATTCAGTTGAAGCACTTAGTAGATTCAAGGAAGCTATCTATAAGGACCCATTGTTAGTTATGTCTAATTGGAATGTCCCCAATTTAAGTCCTTGTGATTGGAACGGCATTAAATGTTCTCCATCTAAGGATCATGTTATCAAGATGTAAGAAACTTTGATCTCTTTCTATCATGGATATAATATGATGATTTGATATCTGTTTCATGATGTGGATCACTTGCAGAAATATATCGGCGAAGTCGATGAGAGGATTTCTTGTGGCAGAAATTGGTCAGATAACCTACTTGCAAGAACTGTATGGTTTTGATTCTTATTGACAATACCTGAAGATATAAGTTTGATGATGGGTACTGTTTTGGAAATGTGTAGATGACTTTTTCTTTTGTGTTGAATGCTTCTTTAGGATCCTGCGTGGGAACTTTCTGATGGGGACAATACCAAAGGAGATAGGAAAGTTAAAGAAACTCAAGATCTTAGACCTGGGAAACAATCATTTGACAGGACACATTCCAGCCGAGATCGGGAAATTGTCAAGCATTAGGACAATGTAAGAAAATCATTAAGTTTTTTTTCGCGATCCATTGACGCTTGCAATGTCATCTAATCCGTTAATACGCTGAGATAACCATTTTTGTGTCTTTTTTACACCACAGAAACCTTCAGTCCAATGGTTTAACAGGAAAGTTACCTCCAGAGATTGGAAACTTGAAGCACCTTAAAGAACTTATTATTAACAGGAATAGGCTTCAAGGAAGTATTCCTATCGCCGCAAATACATCAAAAATGTGAGTTTAGCCAATAGTCAAAAGTGGCATAAGATGGAAACTTATCGTCTATGATTGAAATGTTAATCTATCTTCTTTTTGGGTTGTCTGAATCATCAGGTATGCTTCAAATTCAAGTGCAAACATCAGTGGTTTGTGCAAGTCTTCTCTATTAAAAGTGGCAGATTTCTCTTACAACTTTTTCGAGGGAAGAGTTCCGAGTTGCTTGGATTACCTTCCAAGGTATTTCTTATAAGACCCTTTTTCTAACTTTCCTTTATTTTTCTCATTTGATAATATCCCTCTGTGTCATTGATAATCATTGTAGAACGAGCTTTCAAGGAAACTGCATGAAAACCATGGATGTTAAGCAGAGACCTCTTTCAGAATGTGGTTTGTAGAATATGAGTTTCACTTTCTTGATGCTGATAATCGTTTCTTTATCTTATTTTTCATTTTTGAATTATTTCAATTGGTTAGCTCACTTAGATGCAACTGTGGCCAAGAAGAAGCATCGCTCATCACCTATATGGCTTCGGAATTTTGAGATAGTCACGGGATCATCAGTTGGTTTGCTCTTTCTAGTTATAATTTTCTCTGCATGTAGCTTGTGCAACATAAAGCGCTCTCTCATCGTTCCCTGGAAGAAATCTGCAAATGAAAAGGAGAAGTTCACGGTCTACGTTGGTTAGAAACTTTTGGAAGTTCTAAGATTTCAATACAAAAAATTGAAAGAGCTTCCAGAGATGAAAAAATTACTGAGAACTGGTTTTTTTTTACAGATTCTGAAATGCTGAAGGATGTTTCAAGATATACAAGACAAGAGCTAGAAGTGGCGTGTGAAGACTTCAGCAACATCATTGATTCTTGTGCAGATAGTCAGATTTACAAAGGAACGATCAAAGGCGGGACTGAGATCGCGGTGATCTCTCTCTGCGTTAAAGAAGAAGATTGGACTGGATATCTTGAGCTTAATTTCCAGAGAGAGGTTCTTCTGATGTTTGTTTATCACCAAGTCACTTGAAAGAAAACATCAGTATTAAGCCTGACATTTTTTGAACCCTTCATGTTTCAGGTTGCGGATTTGGCTAGATTAAACCATGAGAATGCGGGGAAATTACTGGGATACTGTAAAGAGAGTACACCGTTCACAAGAATGCTTGTGTTTGAGTATGCATCAAACGGGACACTATACGACCATCTCCACTGTAATATATAATTAAACTTCTTTAGAGCTCTGTCTTTGGTAGCTTTCAGAAGAGTAAAGATATCTGATAATAATACCAAATGATGATAAAAATTTGATGCAGATGGGGACGGGAGTTTAGCATCATGGGCGAAACGCATGAAAATCGTTATAGGCATCGGACGTGGTCTCAAGTACCTTCATACTGAACTCGATCCTCCATTTACAGTCTCTGAGTTGAGCTCAACTGCAGTGTATCTCACTGAAGATTTTACTCCCAAAGTAAATTTGGATCCTCTTTTTCTGTGTGGTTAGCTAAGCTTTGCTACTATCTTTATACTCTTATTTTGATCCTCTTTTTTCTATGCAGCTGGTTGATTTCGAATGCTGGAAGAAGATTCAGGTGAGATCAGAGAAGAACCTGAAGAATATCTGTAATGAAGGAGCTATATGTGTACTTCCCAATGCAATGGAACACCGAGATCTAGACTTACAAGGGAATATCTACTCATTTGGCATACTTTTGCTGGAAATTGTAAGCGGAAGACCTTCTTATTGCCAAGACAGAGGTTGCTTGGTTGAATGGGTAAGAATAGCTACTCTCTATAAGCTTAAAGCTGAGTAGTTATAATAAGTCTCTCTCTCTTAGCGGTTTACGTGTTTTCATGCGTTTGGAAGCCAAGAACCCTTCTCTTATACTTGCATTACCTTTTCGACCCCATTTTCAAAACTGGCGAAAGTTTCAAACTTTTGATACTCTTCAAACCAAATGGGTACAAGGTGATGGTCGACGAGGGTGAAGTATTGGTTCCGGGTTGCAAAGTGTTGACCTTTAGTCTGTACACACAAATGAGAATACTTGTGGATGCTGACATCTGATTCAACTCCTAAATTTTGCAGGTAAGGGAGAAAAACCTTGGTGTACCAGATGTGATGGCTAGCTTGGTGGATCCTGAGCTCAAGCATTTCAACCAAAAAGAACTTGAGGCAGTATGTGAAGTGGCAAGCCAATGTCTGAACTTGGACCAGAATGAAAAAGACAAGGATAAGTTTTCTTGTTCGATTCAAGCGCTTTGTGAGACACTAGAGAGTAGAATCACTGTGTCCATTTCTGCAGAATTCCAATCGTCTTCTTTGGCATGGGCCGAGCTCGCGCTAGCCTCGCCTTCTAACGAAGACGAAGATGAAAGGCGTAAATAAATTGGCAATGTAGTTATGACATTGACATTAACTTGTTCCAACATTTTGCTTCAATTTTGCCTTAAGTTTTGATAGTACCGACCTTGCCTTGGATAAGTTATCAGGTATACAGTCGGTCTATTGTTAAGACCAATAAACTGGAGGTGTAATCTTGTATACCAAGTTCTTGAAGAAATGAAATTGTGTTGAGCCAACCCAAAAATGACAGGTAGCTCGAAATTAGAGGGATTTATCTGTGAACCGAATAAAAATTATAAACTCTCACCTTTTCAAAATAGTTTTGGACTTTAAGACAACAATCAAAAAGAAAAAGTAAAAAGAAGAGACAAAATCATTGGCATCTCCTTTACTGTTGTGTTGGAGAAACAAAGATCAGTGCATAGAACGAGAGTAATGGTTGTCATTAGGGTTTCTTTTCTGGCTGAAAACCGACATAGCTTTTCTCACAGGAGGCTGCAATGGCGCCTTTCTATCGCTATGATGGTTCAAGAACACATCATCTGATACAAAGTACTCATCACCCTGGAAACAACATCATAGATTACCTTAATAATTCTTTCAATCAAAGTTACAGGTTTGAGTTTGAGATAGAAGTCACGAAAGAGACTAACCGGTTTGCTTGCTTTCTTCTTGGTCCTAGGGTGGAGAAACTTTTGAGGGAGTTGATCTTCCCGTAGAATCAGATTCTTGGTGATTGCCTCTCTTCCTCCTTTAGGCATTGGTATCGAATACTGGGCAGTAAAAAAAACAAGGGTTTCAAATTATCTGTGTATTAGGGTTACAGATTTTAAAGGAAACAAGGGTTTCTGTTTAAAAGCAGTAACAAATAACCTAAATATAACGAATTGATCATATAGATGCCGCAAAACATGGTGGTTCTGTTCAAATGCTACTTCAAATAAAGAAGAAAAGATTCTCCACTAATACAAGGAATTTTTGGTGTTTTGGTTAGCTTCTGCTTATAAAAGTACTTACTTGGGTCCCTCGAAGTATAATTCGTGGTTTACATGCAGCTATGATGGCGCCATTCTCGCCTATTGTAACCGCTACCTTGCGTAGAGTGCCACCATTACCGCACTTGGGACAGAAGATTCTTCCAATTTCAGGAGTTACTGTGTAGCAAGCATGGCATTTCAAGATCCACCTGAAGATGCAGATGCAATAAAGTGTAAGACTTGTATCTTTCTCAGCTAATGATCCTTAATAAAGAAAAGTTTCAAAATTTGAACCAAAGAAAAGGAAGATCTCCTCCATTAAGTTTACCTGTGCAGTTGGCGAATTTGCATTCCGCCCGGTGCAAGCAAACGCAAACCCATTTGAAGAATAACATTCTGCATTGCATAGTCACCAGTTATACAAGCTACACTGGACTCAGATAAGGCTCTCAACGACCAACTCTGCTCGCTGCTACCATCATCTGCAATCGATGATGCCTCAAAGGTATCCCCAGCCTCACTAGCAATCTCCAAGTTCTCTAGCGCTTGATTTGTACCATCGATACCCTCAGCTTCGACTTCAATATCATCCTCACCATTGATCAAAGTATCTTCAGCATTCGTCTCTTCGGTCCCTTCGTGGAGAGCCCTTAATGAATCTTCCTCCAACCTCATATCTTTTAGGATGGACGATAGATCCTCACCATCCTTTCCGCTATCTTTTGCATGGTTTTCATTGGGGTCTTTAGACATCTGATTTGACTGCTGATGCAGATCAGCTGTGTCCTCGATCATGTGTCGAGCTTTGTCAGCTTCTTGATCTTGCTGAATTTCTTGTTCAGCCAAGGCATTGTGATGTTCCCACGTAGCCTTCCTTCTAAGAAACCTTCTGTGAGTACTTCTACTAACTGCGGGTCTCCAATCACTGGCATCATCATCATCATCATATTGCCCTTGGGATGCATCTATTCCCTTCACTACCATCTTACCCTCAAGCTTAATCTCTGTTTTCTTGGGCGGGTATCGCCTATGCTTCTTCTCACCGTCCTGCTCATCCACTTCATGATTCTCAGTATGAGAGACAACAGAACCAACCTCAGAAACATTGTCCGAAGCGATAATATTCATGTTAAGGTCTTTCAACGGAAGGATTTTGGAGTTAGCGTTGGATATTTCCTCAGTCTCGTTTTCAAGTGCCTCCCACTCGTCCAAGTTAGACACATTGGAGCCCCAACCAGGTAAATCCTTCTCAGGTAACCTCTTTACTCTAACAGTTTGAATCGGTGGAGGAACATCTCTAAGATTTTTGGTGCCATGAACCTGAGCCTCAAGCGTGTATGACAAAGCAATCAATTTGAGATCAACATCAGACAGAGTCTGCAAATCACCAGTGGCTCTTGCAAATTTGATAACTGCAGAACAAATTAATCAACGTCAGAGTTACAATACAATACAGAGAAACATTTCACAATCGAATTCAACAACATTGAGCTCAAAAACTTCAGTTACGAGAATCGAAATCTACTCTATGTACCTTTACTGAGAGATTCAGGAGAAGGTTCCATGGTATCAATAGTGAAAGGGATGAAAGCGAGACGACGGCGAGAAGCAGGGTCACGAATCTCAGAGAGTACTTCAGGGACGGTTACGAATCTATCGGCGAAGTTTGTTAAGCTCTGGCCTCCTTCGATGACGGCGTTGGCATCAACAACTGCCATAGATATTCCCTTTGTGGATTTGCAGTTTCCGACCATACCGAGAATCGCTGCCGGAGCTCCGTCGTTAACCGGAGGCTTTGAAGGTGGATCTTTCTTCACAATAGAACTCCACATTGAGGTTGGTTTCGGATCCATGGTTCTCGCGTTGGAGTTTTCGTTATTTGCCGCTTCAATGGGGGTTTTAGCGAGAGACTCAGATAGACGAGGGAGACGAAGAGAGGAAACAAAAACCTAGGTCAGATCTGAGACGTCGTCGTTTTTGTTCAATTATTTTAATTGGTCCACATTAAGCCCAAATATTGGGTAGAATTAGTTTTTGATTATAGCTAGAATTTGAAGACTAGCGGAAAAAATATTAACCGAAAATGGGCCTCGCTAGGCCCAACATATCATGATATCTGATATCTCAACTATAAATGCTCGGTTTTGGTGATAAAGTGATTATTACACTAGTTCAAAAAAGTTAATATTACACTCCTTATTTTTCTTACAATGGCGATAACCGAGTTTATTCAACGAACCGGTGACCCCTGAACCCGGTTTTGCATAAGTTGTTACATCTTAGATTGAAGACCCGGTTTAGATACGGTTCCCATCTCTCGCTGCTTCTGAAATCCTTGTTTGGCTTTGAGAAGGATCTCATGGGTCTCATCAAAGTGTGGCATTGTTGCCTTTCTCGTATTCTCAATCCATTGTTTTACTTTCTTATGAGGGCTGAGCAATCTAAGACGATCTTTGTCATCCAAAACCTACAAAATTGCTCCAAATGTTTGATATGATTAGTTGGATTGGTATTTCGATGAATTGAAACTCACAAAACAGTGAAATTAGTGTGTACCTGGAGCTGCATAAGTTCGCATACAAGGCTCAGATCAGCTATAGATGGTTGGTTGCTACCGAGCAAGAATTTGGCATTGCCTTTAAGCCAAAAAGTCTCTAGAGTGGACAGAGACTTTGTTAGTAACTTCTCAGCTTCAGCAGCTGCTTTTGGATTCAGAGGAAGACTGAGAGCTGGAGCTAGTACACTATTCAGAACATATCCAGCTGCAACAGTAAAATAACTGTGATCAGAAACAGGAAGCTGATCATTCTATTTGACTTTACAACTTCTCAATATTGATGAATATAATGTGTAATACCTGCACCAGGACGTAAATTAGTGTGATGCCAATCCATAACAGAGTGGATCTTGGCTCTTTTGGAAAGATCATTCGGATACCTAAAAGTAAACGAATGAACATTGAAGTAAAATGATTACACTTTGCGTCAAAAACATGTGTCAAACGAAGTAGAAACTTACCAATGATCAGCTACACTTGGGAATGCCGAGGAAAGGTATATCAAGATAGCGTGACTGCGAAAAGATTCATAAACAATGGTCAATAAACCAAAGCAAGCAAGAACCCAAAAGAGAAAGAACTTTTGTGTAACCTCTCGAAGAGCTTAAGTCTGCCATCAACAATAGCTGGAACTTTCCCCAATGGGTTAATATCTGAGTAACAAGACACATTTATTAACAATATTTCCATTTTCACTACAGTTTCAAAACGAGCAAATTCTTCAGTTCTTGTGGATTAAAAATGAAGCTTCTTCCCTAACTTCACCTTCAACATTGGTTATTGTCAAGAACAGAAAACAGATTGATTCACCATTTTTTCGAAGATTTTTTCGAGCTTTTTACTAAGTATATAGCCTTATTCTACACCAATTATCTCACATACACAAAACCAGATCTACTAAAGATAAATCTACCAATATTTTCGGATTTCAAAAAAGCTAATGAACTTTGTTGATTGTTTATACGAACCTTTGAATTCAGGAGATAATTGTTGACGCTTCGCCAAGGAAATCAAAACCTCATCGAATTGGATTCCATTAACCCTTCAAAAGTTAAAATCCAAACAAAACAAATTCTCATGTATAAGAGAGAAAAAATGGCTTAATCTGGAATCAACAAAGGAAGTTCAACGAAATTACTTGCAGAATATGATAACAGCACGAGATGGCTGTGACATCCGATCTGCATACACTTTGAGCTTCATCATCTTCTATTTCTTCGTCTTCTTCTGATTTTGTGGATCACTGAACTGTGATAATCTGGAGAAGAAGAGAAATGCCTCTACAGTAGCTTGCTGTTTCTACAATAGAGAGTAAAACACCGTGCCGTTTTTTTGTATTTCCGTTCTGACCGGTTGGTTAGACTAATTGCTTCTTCTTCACCATCAAACCAAATAACCAATCCAATAGCAAATAAAAACCGGTCCTTAACCAGAACTAGTCAACTAGTTGATATACAGAAACAGAGAGATTCGATTGTCCGAGAGGCGAGAGCCAAAGTCTTGACCAAAAATCAAAATTCATGATTTTCGTGATTTTGCTGACTTGAAATTTTCTGTTCTGATTAAAGCATAACCTGTAGAATTTACTTTTGTCTTTGATAAGAAACAGACAGACGCTAGATACTAATAACATAGATAAAATACAAAAATAAACACAACGAGAACATAGAGATTAGAGCATCTCATCAATGAGCCTGTTCTTCAAAGTTTCTTCTTTTTCAGAAAGTTGATCTGTTGTTCTTCCAAGAAGACTTTTAAGGACTTCCATCCTTGTTAGTTTCTTTTGCTCTTCTACGTCTTTCTCCTTCAGTGCCCACAAGTTCTCAAGTCTTGATCGAGAATCGGCCTCCCTTTCTTCTTCAATCGTTGTTTTAGTAGCAACTTTCTTCCCTTTTTGCTTTGATGACTTCACAGCAAGAGGACGATCCATAACTTCCTCCTCTCCATCTAGAGCTATAGGCTGACTCTCCGGATTAGAGCTTGAAGAATATACACCACCTCCATTCAACTTTGTTCTCTTTGAGCTTCCACCACCCTTAGGATTTTCAGAGGTGTTTGAACTAATCCATTTTTTATTGTGTCGCAGCTCCCTCCATGCATGCTCAAGTGTGAAATTACTCTTGTAATTGTTGTAGTAGATTTGGTATGCAACTTTGAAAACTTCATCTTCAGATTGACCACTAGTTCTTTGATTCAAAGCTTGATCATAACATACAACAAATTGGCAGACGCGGTCGTTAATTTTAGCCCATCTTTGCTTGCAGTGACTCCCCTCTCGCTTTGGTAGATTTGCAAGTGAAGCGCTATTTGAAAAATATGCACCAATTCTCTTCCAAAAAGCACATCCTTTTTGATCATTATCGACAGTTGGACCCTTATCAGTATTTAACCAAGCACTAATGAGAATGACATCTTCAGGTGGTCTCCATTTGCGTCTTGTTTTTCTACGATCGGTTGTATTTTGAACGAGGTTTGGATCATCACTCTTCCCACCAATACTACTAAATTGGATACTATTATGGAATCCATGAAATTGGATGAGAAATTAAACGGAGTGTTAGAATTCATATTATAAGAAAATAACCAAGCTCTTCACACAAAAAATAAAAAAATCACAATATAATTTTTAGGAGGAGTCTCTCATATAGAGACCCGATGAAAGTGGTCAAGTTTTTTGTTCTTACATCTTAGATTGAGGACCCGGATTAGATGCGGTTTCCATCTCTCGATGCTTCTGAAATCTATCTTTGGCTCTGAAAAGGACCTCATGGACCTCATCAAAGTGAGGTATTGTCGCCTTTCTCGTATTCTCAATCCATTGTTCAACTTTCTTATGAGGGCTGAGCAATCTAAGACGATCTTTGTCATCCAAAACCTATAAAATTGCACAAATTTTACAATCAAAAGCCATAACCGAGATAAGGAAGCAACTTTTTTGCTCCACAATGTTTGATATGGTTAGTTACATTGGTATTTCGATGACTAACCTGCAGTTGTGTCAGTTCACATACAAGGCTCAGATCAGCTATAGATGGTTGGTTGCTTCCGAGCAAGAACTTGGCATTTCCCTTAAGCCAAAAACTCTCTAGAGTGGAGAGAGACTTTGTTAGTATATTCTCAGCTTCAGCAGCTGCTTTTGGATTCAGAGGAAGACCAAGAGCTGGAGCTAGAACGCTATTCAGAACATATCCAGCTGAGATAGTAAAATAACCGTAATCAGAAACACGAAGCTGATCATTCCTTATCTGAATATACAACATCGATATTGTTATGAGTACCTGCACCAGGGCGTAAATTGGTGTGATGCCAATCCAAGACTGAGTGAATCTTGGCTCTTTTGGAAAGATCATTCGGGTACCTAAAAGTAAAATGATTACACTCTTTGCATCAAGAACATCTCAAACGAAGTAGAAACTTACCAATGATCAACTACACTTGGGAATGCTGAGGAAAGATATATCAAGATAGCGTGACTGCGCAAAAGAACAAACAAAGGGTTAAAATTAGGGTTCATAAAACATTGGTTTCGATACAAAGGAAGCAAGAATCCAAAAAAAAACCTCTCAAAGAGCTTAAGTTTGCCATCAACAATAGCTGGAACTTTCCCCATTGGGTTAATATCTGAGAAACAATGAAGACACACTTTAAGATCACAAATCTCACTATAAACACCAAATTCAAAAAAAAAAACGAAACCTTTTCGTTGATTATTTATACGAACCTTTGAATTCAGGTGATAATTGCTGACTCTTCCCCAAGGAGATCAAAACCTCCTCGAATTGGATTTCATTAACCCTAAAAGATAAATTCGAAACAAAACAAATTCTCATGTATAAGAGAACAAAAACAATGGCTGAATCTGGAATTAACAAAGAAAGTTCAACGAAATTACTTGCAGAATATGATAACAGCACGAGACGGCTGTGACATCCGATCTGCATACACTTTGAGCTTCATCATCGTCTTCTTCTGATTTTGTGGATCCGAACACTGACCGGTGATAATCTGGAGAAGAAGACAAGTGCCTCTACAATAGCTTGCTGTTTCTACAGTAGAGAGTAAAACACCCTGCCGTTTTTTTGTCTCTCCGTTCTGACCAAAGACTTCTCAAAACCGGTTGGTTAGGCTAATTGCTTCTTCTTCACCATCAAACCAAATAACCAATACAATAGCAAATAAAAACCGGTCCTTAACCAGAACCAGTTGAGATCACATTTTAAAATTGTATCATAAAGTTGACGTTAATCAAAAAGAGAAGTAAATCAACATTAAAACAAAACCTATAATACCAACTTGTTGATTTTCTCAAATAAACTATCAAAAGTAATATCAAAAGCATCTCGAAATTTTTGAAACTTAGCATTAGAGTCTCTATAGACCAAACCAGGCAAAAGCTGATGAACAATGTAACTTCTCATATACTCTTTCTCTTTTAGAGTCTTTGCCATCAACTTCTTTACCACGTTTACTCTCTTTTCCTTTACATCTTCTTGGTTTATATACACTGAGTATTTTTGATGATTCTCTGGTAAATGCCAAGCGTATTGATAATAAGCTGTGTATGGATTAAATATCACTGGAATGCAACCGCAGATTAGTGAATCGAAAACCGATTTTCTCGTTGGACTATCTCCTGACGGTTGTAGACAGAACTCCGAGTCTTGGAATAGCTCTATGACATTCTCAGGCTTGTCGCAACTTCCGTAAGTACAGTTTAAGAACCTACATTGGTTAGAAAATGATGTGCATTGTTCGATTAGCGTTGACCGGATGCTATTAGGATTACCGGGTCTTGCACCTCCAGCAAAACTTATTAGATTCCTACGAGGTTTTCTTATCATCTTAACTTGCCAGCTAAGAGTATCATAGTCTGTTTTTGGGTGGAAATATGTCGGATGCGGGATTGCGATGTCATTGACTTCCCATGGATGTCTTTCGATAAGAAGTTTTGTAGGGTTTTGCATTTCTTGTAACTCAAGGAACCTTGATCCCCAAGGAAGCTTACTTCTTCTAAAATCCCAAGAAATCTTTCCGAGGACAAACACATGATCTTTTCCGTTGTTTCTCTTCCAAGATTCCTTTGTTTCAAGCCATTTCAAAATCTCGATCCCCAACATGTCCTTCACATTGTCCGAAACATTCTTGAAATGCCATCTCAAAACATCGAAACCGCCATAAAAGGGGACAGAAAAGATCTTAGCTTGGTTTTCGTTGTAAACCCTACAAGGATGCTTCAAAACCCTAGAGTGGAAGATCGGTTCAAGAGCATATTGATGTGTCCTAAACCAACCTTGACCAAGATTCTCAATTGCTTCTCCAAAACCTTCATTCTTGAAATACTTACACATGTTAGTCCAAGGGACCATATGGTCCATATCTATGCATTCTACCAATAAATCTCTATTGAATTTAGACGGTAAATCATAAACATAAACTCCTTTTCCATCACAAGATCCCGGATTTTTGCCTTTTTTTCTTAGTTAACCAAGATCTCTGTACATGAAGATACTTAATCACCGCCCTTAACGCGTAGCCTTCTCCTTCACTCCTAGGTTTAATGTATTGGTATTGTTCTTCCTCGGATTCCTTCTTACCTTTATGATCAAGAACAGAATGAAGATTCACACCGTAACGCTTTTTATCTTCACCAGGAACTATCTCTCTGGCGAATGTATCGTTCTTTTGAGAAAACATTTCTCCATCTTTATATAGAGCAACACTCGGATCGTTGAGTTTCGTCAAGAAGATGATGATGGTCGAAGATAACCAAAAATAAAGAACAAAAAATAGAGAAATCGTGAGAAATATTCGATAGAGAATGGATTTGCAGAAGAAACGAGGATCATTTGACTTCTTGGGTGTTGTTAGCTTTCTCTTTGGGACCAAGATAGCCATTTTCTGCTCGGTCTTATTTTCTTTGCTTAGCATATTACATTGAGAAATATTTTCTTTGATTTTGTGGTTTGGGAATATGTTTTTCCTTTTACCTTTAGATTTTTTTCCTTTAGGGGAAATTTATGTAAGTAGTATTAATATATTTTGATACAATAAAATCCAGGTATCTTTCTCAAAAATTGAGACTCTAAAAAAAAAAAAAAAGAAAAGAAATAAAAGCAAACATTGAAAAAAAGTGTGACAAAAAAACATCAATAAAAAGAAGTTGTAAACATCAATAACTAGCTAGGTTGACCCAAAAAAAATTATAACTTAATTTATTGATGAAAAATATATATGGAAAATGTGTAAAATAGATTACAATTCAAGATTGCTCATCCATATGATGAAACTATATATTATAGATTACAATTCAAGATCGCTCATCCATATTTCATTCCGATTTGTAAATTTTCTCAAGCAAACTATCAAAAGTAATATCAAAAGCATCTCGAAACTTTTCAAACTTAGCATTAGAGTCTCCATAGACCAAACCAGGCAACAACTGATGAATGATGTAACTTCGCATATCCTTTTTCTCCCTTAGAGTCTTTGCCTTCAATATCTCCACCACATTTACTCTCTTTTCCTTCACATCTTGTTCGCTTATATACACTGAGTATCTCTGATGATCCTCAGGAAGATGCCACGCGTACTGGTAGTAAGCCGTGTACGGAGTAAAGATCACAGGAATACAACCGGAGATTAGTGAATCGAATACCGATCTCCTTGTTGCACTATCTCCAGGCGGCTGCAGACAAAACTCCGAATCTTGAAACAAATCAAGAACATTCTTTGGATTCTTGCAGCCTCCGTTTGTACAATCCAAGAACCGACATTGGTTGGAAGATGAAGATACGCATTGCTCGATTAGCGTTGATCGGATGTTATCAGGGTTCTCGGATCTTGCACCCCCGGCGAAGCTTACTAGATGCGGGCGAGGTTTACTCATGATCTTGATCTGCCAGCTGGTGATATCGTCATCTGTTCTCGGATGGAAATAAGTCGGGTGAGGAATGGCGATGTCGTTTACCTGCCATGGCTGTCTTTCGATGAGTAGCTTGGTAGGGTTTTGCATTTCTTGTAGCTCAAGGAACCTTGAGCCCCAAGGGACCTTATCTCTCCTGAAATCCCAAGTAATTTTTCCTAGAACAAACACATGATCTTTACCGGCATTTCTCCTCCATGATTCCTTTGATTCAAGCCATTTTAAAACCTCGATCCCCAACCGGTCCTTCACATCTTCAGAAACATTCCTATAGTGCCATCTCAAAACATCATAACCGCCATAGTATGGAACATAGAAGAGCTTAGCTTGGCTTTCGTTGTAAACCCTACAAGGATGCTTCAAAACCCTAGAGTGTAAGATAGGCTCAAGAGAATACATGTGTGTTGCAAACCAACCTTTACCAAGATTCTTAATAGCTTCTCCAAAGCCTTCATTCTTGAAGTAACTACACAAGTTAACCCCTGGAAGTATATCGTTGCATCCTACCAACAAATCTCTGTTGAATTTCGACGGTAAATCATAAACATAAAGTCCTTTACCTTCACACGATCGCGATTTATTGATGTTTTCATCTCCCGGAGCTAGCCATGATCTCTGTAGGTAAAGATACTTGATGACTGCCCTTAGCGCATATCCCTCTTCTTCACTCTTCGGTTTGATGTATTTTCTGTATTCTTCCTCGGCTTTTAGGTCAATGAGTGAACTGAGATCCTCCTTGTTCTTGGGTTTGTGTTCTTGATCAGGAACTGAATCAAGATTCTTGGGTTTATCTTCTTGTTCAAGAACATCATACTCCTTTTTATCTTCACTTTGTAGAATCTTGTTGGGACCCTTAGAAACTCTATCTCCGGCGGTCTCTCCGGTGAAAGTATCATTCTTTAAAAAACCGTCTTTAACACCAAGAACGGAATCAAGATTCTTGTGTTTGTCTACTTGTTTTAGAACATCATACCCTTTTTTATCTTCATTGCGAAAAATCTTCGTGGGATCACCAGAAACTATATCTCCTGCAGTCTCTCCGGTGAAATTTTCATCTTCTTCAGAATTGATTTGAAAACCGGGTTTAGAACCAGCCGTGTTACAATAAGGATCGTTGAACTTCTGAGAGAAGATACATATGTGGAAGTTGTGGGAGATTACACTGTTGAAAGATAACCAAAGATAAAGAAGAAAGAAGAAGAGAAATGCGGTAAGAGTATAGAAAAAGGATCTGAAGAAAACAGAACATAGATGGATACAAGAATCTTCTATATTCTTTGAAGTTCTTGACTTTCTCTTTGAGACCATTTTTCTGACTTTGGTCTTACTTCTTCACTTTGGGATATCTCCTTTTGGTTTCGTATATGGGATTTATATTAGTTTATTTTAACCAAAAAATAACACTTTTTACTAAACATAGCATAGAAAATTAATGAAGATATAAATTTTAACATTAAATTTTCTAAGAAAGTAGCTGAAAATATATTATTATCTATGTAATTTTAATATTTAGGGACAAAATTATTGTTTTCAATTTAATTTTATATTTTTGTAAATGACTTTTCCTTTCTCTTCCTTTCCTCTTATGTTAAATGATTATGTGGTCTATTCAAAAGATTTAGAATGAAAATGGAAAAAATAATAATTAATCACCTAACGTTAGGCTTCAGGTCATTTCTACCAGTATATCACTTGTAGGTTGTAGCACTTGATCATTCTCTTGGAACTTAGTTAGAGAATTAATCGTAAGATGTCTAAAACAATTTCAGTTTGTTCAAACATCACAATTTTGTTTTTTTCAATGTAAGTCGATCTGTAACATCATACTTACGTAGATGATACATCTAGATAATGAACTACTTTGAGAAAATAGTTATATGTTAAGAGCCCTGAATCTGAATTTCATTTAAGGATTTGGAGTGATCCAATCTAATACGAACCAATCTATTTCGATTATATATCTATATATACATTTTTGGTGAAGATTTGGCCTCAAAAATCCTTTTACAATTTCAATATTGTACATTTAGTCCCTACAAATAAAATCTGACAAAATATATGTCTTAATGAAATTTACAAATCAATTAATAAACTCTTCTAACAATTCCTATTTTTGAAAAAACGAGATTTGAGATCCTAACATATGGAAATCAAATATTCAAATGATAATGACAATAAATAAATTAACATACAATATTCTTAAACTCAACTAATCCTTGCCAAAATTCTCGCTCATATTCAATTCTGTTTCTAAAAAAAATATCAAGTATTGCATGACATTAAACGTAATATTTACGTTTCCGATTTTGAAAAACGTAATAACCTAATATCTCATCTTTGATATATCCCTTGGTATCACGTAATGCATTTTTGGTATGTATATAGTTAATGAAATCAATTATGAATATTTAATTCTAACATAAAACCATTTAATGCTATGGAATAATACTTTACCGAAAGAATAATCTCTTATTGGTATGACTTTTAAATTAAGGAAATCAATATTTACAATTTAATGCTAATATTATACTCCCTCTGTCCCAAATTATAAGAGGTTTAAGGTTTTTTTCTTTGTTCCATTTTAATAGATTTTTTCAAGTTTCAATGCACTATTTATATTTATTTAATAGTTTTTGACTGTTTAAATTATGTAGTCTTTTTTTTAATTGGTTGAATTTTTATAAATAAGAAAACATTTATTGTTTCTTAATCCTTGTGCTTTTAGCCAAAACCTCTTATAATTTGGGACAGAGGGAGTAACATAAATAAATCGAAACAGATCTTTTATTTTCTATTTTTGTTAAGCATATTTTCGAGAAAATATAGGCAATCAGAACTACTTACTACACCTAATGGCATATTCCTTTATTCCAATTTTGTTATGATTTTAAAGATACTATGCTTGGTCATCAAGATCTTTGTGACCTAACTTAAACCACTATAAATACTCGAACTATTGACAACTTCTCACATCATCGATCCAAAATAACGTTTTCCTAAATCCATCAAAAGAAACTTTCATCTCCCAAAGGAAGCTTCATTTGCATTCCTTAAAAACCTATCTCCCTTTGTAATCTAACCCTCTGTATCGATTTGAGATATCTATCTTGGTTTTTTTTTGGTGCAGCTGAGTGTTATCATTGATGTTGCCGGAGGGGAAGCTTATCATCTCCAGCCGAGATTGTTCGGTAAGGTATATTTTATTCGACATATGAACCAAAAGTATAAGAGCTTAAACAAACTGAAGCCAAAGCGGTCTCTCATTTAATTTTATGTGTATATGCAGCGTTGTCGCAGAGACCAGTGTACCCATCTTCTAAGCCAGCAAAAGATTGGGACAAGCTGGAAGCTGAAGTGAAGAAACAGGTTCCACAAACACAATCTTCTCATCCTTAACACTAGATGCTTTCCTTTAATTTTATTCTTTCTGCTTATCACTTTTGAATTCCTCAGGAGAAGGATGAGAAGCTTGATGGAGATGCGGCTATGAACAAATTTTTCAGCGATATATACTCAAGTGTAGATGAGGACATGAGGCGAGCTATGAACAAATCATTTGTGAGCAAACCTCTCTTTGGTCTTTATTTTTTTAGTTTTATAACTTTCTCCTTTGTTTTTTTTTACTGATGATATATGCATGCTTGGGTGATTTTTGGGTTTGACAGGCTCAATCAAACGGGACGGTACTGTCGACAAATTGGAAAGAAGTTGGGACTAAGAAAGTGGAGAGCACAATGGATATGGAACTCAAGAAGTGGGAATACTGATCTTCTTAAAATCCTCTTTTCTGGTTTTTGTCAAAAATATGACAAATCTTTTGAACTTTTTATGTTTCTTTGTTTTTTGCTTGAATTTGTCTCTCCATTCTTGCGTTGTGGTCTTAAAGAACATTCTGATACTTTGATTTTGTATTAGAAAACTAAAATCACAAGTCTGTTGTTTTTGCACTCTCTTCTTTTTCAAATCAAGTCTTTTAAGTCGTCCATTTCTCTGAAAAGAGTCACCTTCAAGCATTTCTTTCTCCGACAAGAAATGGTAACTTTTGTAAGACGTCACCCAAAGCTTTGATATCTCCGACTAGGGTGTGCAATAAGTCGCAGAATCTGATCAACGGCTGCAAAGCTCAGGAGGTCATTTTTGCCATCAAGACTAGCTATGAGGCTGGTCTCTCCAATGAAGAGCAGGAAAAGTGTAGCCAAGTGTGATGATCATGAGATGGTGAGTGGATTGAAACAGCGTCCGGTTTTAATTCCTAAGAGATTCTCGATGGGGAGAATCTAATAAGAGAGAGTTTTAAATGAAAGAAGATATTCTTTTAGTTTTTGATGTGTTTGTGTATTAGTTAATCTTTCAGATGTTTGATCGTCAAGAAAAGTGTATGGGAGAAAACATTAATTTATTAACTGGAATTACTTTCGATCAAGTGTGGGTTTAATTTGAGGTATAATTGCATCGTGGTCTAAAAAGGTTAGATGTATAGACATATAGTTCTATAAATAATATCGTAGTCCATCGAATGGAAAGGAATCAAAATAATTATTAATTTATAATTTGGTTGAACTAACTTCGCTGAAATCAGTGATGTTTTTTTTTTTCCATTATCTTATTTTATTTGTTTAGATAGAACGTGTTTCTAATAAGTAACAACGTATAACAAAACAAAATCGACAGATTTAGAACATAGATTTATCCTTTTTATATATTCTTAATGGGTCTTTACTTTCTGAATGATATTTGTAAACACTATCGCCTTCTTCCCACCAAATTAATTTTATGCAATAATCAATTAAAAAAAGCAGGAAAGAAAAGGGTGTGGTTTATCTTTTCTTTTTTGGTTATTTGCACATAATCCGCGTGTTTGAATTGTTTCCAAAGTTTGTTTAATATTTCTTTTATGCAATAATCAACTAAAATATGTTAAATTAACTCACTAAACATTCCTAATTTTTTGTTTACGAGATTTGAGTTTCAAATATATGGAAATCAAATATTTAATTTTAAATGCTATTAAACATAATATCGAGAATATCTAGCAAATGGAAACTAATAAAACAAAATAATCGTGATCAAATCTAAATTACCATTTAAACTTCTTCCCATTAAGTCAAACGCGATTCAAGTCGATATCTAGATAATATCTCAACAAGTTGATTTTTTACACAAATTATTCCACATTCCATATTTAAAAATGCATGTTTAAGAAGAAATATATTACCATATTATTTAAAACGTTTTAAATATGTGTAATATTACTAAGAGATTAATAGAAGATATTATCCCCAAATATCGCTTAAATATTAACTTATCTTAATTACATTCAATTTTGTTTTACGATTTTAAAGATATGTGGTTTGTATTTATTACTATAATCTTGATTGATTAATCGAATAAGATTTAATGCTAACAATAAATATTTTGTGCAAATCATAATTGGTTAAATAATTAAAAGCATATCTTATACAGATTTGCTAAACAATATATATATTCTAAATCATTGGTATATTACAACAATATATTTTAAAGATCACAATCTTTCCAAAAACAAGATAATCATTTATTCAATCACAATATTTCGGATTTATTAGTTTCCTCGATAAAATTTGTGTATATCAAAATTTAACTTCACCACCAAGAAAATAACAATAATTTAGAAGGCCTAAACTTATATGATCTCTATATAAGAAATGTCAAGAGCAGTCATTTCATTCATCTACACACATTTCTGTTTAACAAATTTCAAAGTTTTCATACACCATACACCACCATTCAGTTTTATATACTACAAAAATCATAAATTTATGAAGATCAAAATTAAAAAGTCAAAATTATCCCACGGGTCAATATTTAAATATGTAATTGAGTTACTATATTACAAATATTTTATGGGTTAAATCTAACAATCCAAAAGTGTAATCATATAGTTTTTATACGAAATAATTTTTTTTTTGTTAAAATCCAACATTGTTATATATACAAATTCAAAATATTATATACATTTGAATTTTATTAAAATTTAAACAATATAATTTTGTAAACTTTTGAAAAGTTAAACTTTATAAAACGGTTTAAATATTTATAATATTAAAAATTTAATGAAGTTTCAAATATTATAAATATTTGAACTTTATATGAATTTATATAAAGTTTAAACATTATAAATATTTATAAAAAGATATTAATACGGGATGGTATACTTGCACATATATATAAAGTCCTTACACACTTTCAAAACTATTTAAATATACAACAAACACAATAAGATGATACGTTATTTGCACACGCCGCGGTACATGCTTACTAAATAGTAATCTCATTTTCCTTTATTATTATAAATATTCAAACATACAATATACTAATCGTACAATTAACACTATATAGATTTCTATATATATTCTAATCACACATGTAAATAGGTTATATAAAGACTTATTATATTTAAAACCTATATTGATTTTTCTCAAACAAACATATATTATTTTTTTAAATAAAAATATAGTCCCGCGGTGTACCGCGGGTCAATCCCTAGTAGGTAAAGCATAATCAGTTGGAAGTTATTCTGTTTTTGTTTTTAGCTCAACATCTCACATAAAGAACATATTGTAGTTTATATACATAATATGGTAATCATATTTATTATATGGTTAGATTGTTGTTCATAATTGGTTTTATGCTTATTTCACCTCTTTTTTTTTTCTTTTTGGTATAACAGCTTACATTTAACCATTTAACTTTTTTCCTAATCATTTTCATAATGCCCAAATTCATGTTCCTTTAGGCTCCTATATATATGCATAATAGATAAGCAAAACGACGACGTTTTATTTTTTCCCCTTCAAACGACGAAACGACGTCGTTTTAATTTTGGGGAAAAATTAAAATTAGGGTTCTTCATTTTCTCTCGAAACAGAAAAATGTTCGTCGATTTTATGAATTCACAGGCACTGTAAACGGAATCTGAAAGAAATGTAGCAATAGCAAGAAAAAGCAAAATTTGTTCCTGAATAGTTTGGTCTAGCAATTGTGTCCGTCTAAAGATTTTGTCTTTCTTCCTGCAGTGGAATCATTGTACATACATTCTATCTGGAAACTTGTCTGAAATCAATTGTGTTTATAGTCTCGTGACCTGAATCATCATCACTACAATTCACAAAAATCTCAATCTGCATAACAATTCATGAACTCTAAAGCTATGGTACCACACTGCCATTCATTAAAATTTCAACTCGACACAAATGGAGACAATACCATATTGTTTTAGAAATCATACAACCCCAAGATCCATCACATGGTAAGTAATACACAGTCGGACTATCGAATGATAGATCACCTTCGATATATAAATAGTTTTTCTCTCACGACCCAACTACAAGATTACATGAATATAGCAGCAGCTTGGGTTTTGAATTTAAATTAGTTTTGAGTTTGGGTAGAAATTGACGGGGGGTCTTAGTTTGGGTTGGAAAAACCCGCCCTCAAATAGTTGGGGTTGAAAATGGCCGTTTTCCCGCCACGTCAATGCCACGATATCGCTGACTCAGCAGCCGTTAAATCCCGAACTAACACCGTCTTCTGTCGTGTTGAAATCGGCTAATTTTCATTAGTTTAGGTTTTGAATTTGAATTAGTTTTGAGTTTGGGTAGAAATTGACGGGGGGTCTTAGTTTAGGTTGGAAAAACCCGCCCCCAAATAGTTGGGGTTGAAAATGGCCGTTTTCCCTGGTTAGATTGTTGTTCATAATTGGTTTTATGCTTATTTCACCTCTTTTTTTTTTCTTTTTGGTATAACAGCTTACATTTAACCATTTAACTTTTTTCCTAATCATTTTCATAATGCCCAAATTCATGTTCCTTTAGGCTCCTATATATATATGCATAATAGATAAGCCTATAAATTGTTGAACAAAAACATAAAGAAGATTACATATATCTTTTCACTCCAACTAGTCTCCTATACCGGTTTTTAGCAATCTTTCTTTCATCAAGAACATATTACAGATGATTTAAGAAGAACAATTAGCCTCAAATCATTCTTATATCTTCAACTAATAAAATATATCGACAAGAAATATATTATATAAAAGTTTGGTTTTCATAGTTAGTAACTCATACGACCGCGACACGTGTCAAATCTATCGATCAGATTTGAAACATGTAAAAAAGAAAATTATATAAATAAAAAGAAAATTATACAATAAATTAAAAATCCTATAAGTGAAAATATTACAATTACTTATATAGAAGGTTTTTAAAAGGTTTTAAAATGATTTACAATGATTTTAAAAGATTTACAAGAGGTTTTTAAGGAATTGCGGGAAAAAAATTTATTTTCTCATTATCTGCTCTCACGAAAATAAGAGTAATTTAGTCATTTTGTATATAAAAATGTATTTTTGAAAATGGACAACATAAAGAGGTATTATTGAAAAAATGCATAGAAAAAGGGGCATTTCATTTATTTATTTTGATTTCTACTTCAGTTTTAAATTATATAAGATTTATCATCTTGCAAATAGTTTTAAATTGCGACATGTTTCAGGATTTAATTTAAAATTTTCTATTATATATTTATATTTCAATTTGTAATTAAAAAAATGTGATGACTTAACATTATATTATTTTTGATTTTGCATTTTCAGTTAGGGTTATGTAAGATCAATATATGATTCTTTTTTTCTTCTAATATTTTTAATTTAATGGTAATATTTTAGATTGGTTATTTTAACTTTTATTTTCATCTTTGAATTATCTAAGACTCATATATCATCGTGTTTATATTTTTTTTTTATTTTTTTTGTTTTAGTTATGTCAAATTAATTTTCTTTTAACCTCTCAATTGGTCATAGACATATTGCAATCAATTAGTTTTTATTTATTTTAGTTTTCTTATATATACACCATAAATTATTGTTATGTGATATATTTTTCATTTGAATTTTTTTTTTAAGTCAATAATTTTAGTGGTTAACGAAACTATATAAAAATGAAAGTAAAGAGACATATATATATTTGGACGTAAAGAAAAACATATAGTCAGCTTAATGTATTCGTAGAAACCCAAAAACACATTTTTAGCTCTAAAGTAAATAATAGATTTATAAAAATCGATGTAAATTAGATGACGGTTTGACCAATGATTTGCATGTAAAACATTTTTTTAAAAAATTGTGGAATCATAACTTAGGCAAGATTGCAAAACTACTTTTTTGAAATTTGACAATAATAACAATAATAATGAATATTTGACAAAAGTCTTGGTGATTGATAATTTAACCCACACATCGGGCATGTCTTAATCTAGTATGGGATAAAGCTTAGCTTTATTGTTTTTTTTTCAATATCTGAGTATTATTGAAATCTGGTAAAAGTAGAATTTAAACCAAACCGAATCCAAAAAAACAAAATCAAGAAACAAAGAGAATTACTACACACAACAACACAACGATAAGGAAAAAAAAGAATCGTTAAACCAAAAAAAAGATACGAGATGTCCATTATTTCAAAATATATTATGATCTTTTATTTTAAAATTAGTATGCTTTCAGATTTTTAACAAAATAAAGAATTATCAGTTTAGAATAGTAATGTAATATTTAATAAGAAAACATTTAAAATAATAGAAAATAATAAATAAAGAATTCAAGAGTCAACTTTTATGTAAATATGGTAAAATTTATATATTTAATTCGTATGTAAATATTAAAATGATACTTATATTGAAGAAAATGTATAGTCAAACATTTAGTTTCCAACATAATTGTCAAAAACTATTAATTAATATGCTGCACAATAATGAAAATAATGTAGCCAATATAATTATTAGCATTAAAAATGACAGAACAATTAATCAAATTATTAATTTAATATATTGACTAGGACTATAAATTTGGACAGAAATTCAATTAGTTCAATTCTTGTAATAAGTAATAACACAGCCACATAACATGTTAATGGTTTAACTCGGATTTTAGTTTTGGTTTACTAGTAAGGATTAAAAAGAATAATCAATGTAAAACCAAACCAAATCTAATATACTTTGGTATAATTTTAATTTAGCTTTGAATTCAGTTCTTAAGAAAATTATACATCTTTAGTAAGTAGTAATTAATTTTACATCTAATATACATTCAATACTTTTCAGTAAGTAGTAATTAACTTTACATCTTTACGAATCATCTATCTTATCTCTTTCTTTTGACTAGTATCAATGTCCAAAATCTTATCTCTTTATTTCAACTCTATTTAAATGAATTTGCGCATTAATCTTTCTTCATATACTCAACAATATTTAAAATTTATAAAGAGAAAAACTAAAATCAAAGAGTAACCATGACAAGAAAGAAAGTAAAACTTGCATGGGTTGAGAATGCCAAGTCAAGAGCAACAAGTTTGCAAAAAATGAGGGTAGGATTACTTAAAAAGGTGAAAGAATTAACCATATTGTGTGATGTAAAGGCTCTTGCAATCATTTTCAGCCCAAATAAGGCTGAACCAATGGTTTGGCCATCTGTTGAGGCGGCTCATGATCTCCTAGGCGAATATTTTTTGCTTTACCAAAGTTGGTGCAGAAGAAAAAAGAGTCAAGTGTCGAACCCTACCTAAAGGAGAAGATACAGAAGATTCATGAACAACTGATGAAGAGTAATAAGAAGAAAAAGGATTATGTCATTGATGAGCTGATGATGCAACTACAAAACAATCGTAGAATTGCTGATCTTAACTTAACTGAGATCTATGCCTTGTTATCTTTCTCAAGGGATACTATCCTACTTTGTAGGAAGAAATTAGATTTCATGCAGTTTCCTCCTCTTCGCGATCCATTAGTGTTTCCATTTGAAATACAAGTCGGGAGTTTAAGACCATCACAAATGATATCTCTGTCGGTCAAGATAATGAGAGAGCTGGAGAGACACATGAAGCAACAAGAAGAATCAACGTTGATATTTTTAAGGTGAGCAAAAGTTATTATTTATTTGATCATTTGGTTTTTCCATCCAGACCGCCTAAACCTGAAATACACCAACAAATGGGGAACGAAAATCCAAAACCTAGAAGCTATTGTTTATATCAAGGGAGCAATAGCAACATAAATCCTCATTTGGAAATGGATTCAATTCGTTTCCAAATGATGACTTCCCATGGTTTGGTTATGCCAGTCTCTCAATCTTTACAACATCATAACATGATTACTAATCCAATGATGGCTATGAATCAACCAATGCAATATCCTTTTGATTTCATGAATCATGAGTTGGAAATTAACGAGGAAGAGAACAACATTAACAACTCACAATTTTACAGGAGCAACAACACTACAATGACTAATGATGGTCTTCGCCAAGAAACAGCTCCTAATGAAACAACCGCTGGAGAAAATAATGATGATGCGATGATGTTTAATACCAACATGGTTTGGATGGATTTTAATAATCATCATTTCTAAACTCTTGATTTGGTTTATGTTCTAAGTTCCGTATGCATTTATTTTTAAACTATGTTTCTTTGTTTGTTTATGGAGCTTTAAAATCTTTCCTTTTTATTATTTTCTAATTGTGTTTGCCTTTTTTTTTCAAAGTGTTGGTCTGTTTATTTCTTTGTTTTGGAATAATAAATCTTTTTATCCTGTATATATCAACAATAACAATACCATGCCCTATATATTTATATATCAAATATATGACTACAAAGTTCTGGACCAAGACATCAATATATGATAAGCTCATTTTCCATCAAGAACACATATATGGTTACATACATTTCTTGGTTATGTACATAACTTCTTCTCAAGACTATAGGTTTTTTTTTTTTGTCATTCAAGACTATAGGTTTCTTGTCATAATTTTTGCAATATTGCGATAAAGAAAAATAAATAATCAATAAAAATGATTGTTTCAAAAAATATGATAAAAAAATTTCGAACTCGGAATTTATACTAAAAATATATTAATGAATAATTATTTACCACCAAAAACTCTATATGAATTCTATAAAAAAAAATCTCTAACGCATGCTTTATTTTCAATCTTATATATTAATATTATGTTAAAACTAGCCATTTTTTGTTAATACGTATTATACTTTTAAACATATAAATATATTGTACAAAAACTAAGGGGTTATACTTTTAAAATGCAAAATACAATGATATTTATGATATGTATGCCCATAAATATATATACTTTTAGTCTAGCTACAGTTTTTTGAATACTTAAAATAAATATCTTCTCAGGTATTCATATTCAAAGTTATATATTTGTGGGTAATTCCAAAAATTATTAATTTGCTATTAGCAAATATGAGTTGTTTCTTTAGAATTTTTTGACACACTGTTGAGTTGACTTGGATACTCTCTGCTTTGCTGTTTTCATTTTGGATATTAAAAATCATAACTTTTAATTATTTTTGGAACAAAAAAAAAAGAATTATCTGGCAAAGTTTTTTTTTTTCTTCTGCTTTTAGTTTCCGAGAAAGTTGAAGCAGAGAAGAAGCAGAGAAGAAGCAGAAAGTTTCAGAATTCTCTTTTCTCTTTTAGCTCAAAGCTCACACACACGAACACTCGATTCCTCGTTTAACCTTTGTGTTTGTCAATTTTCGTTTCCTCTTTTGACGATTCATTTCTCGATTCGATCTCGATTTGTGTTTTGTTTAGTGTTTAAAGATCGATTCCAATCTTTTACTTCTGGAATTCTGATGAAGTTTTGTTAGGATTTGATCTGTTTAAGTTTCGATTAAGAAGATAGTTGTTTAGGGTTTATGATTTTGTAATTGAATTTTTTTATTATCTGGAATGGGTTGTGAGGTTTCAAAGCTATCAGCACTTTGTTGCGTTTCAGAATCTGGAAGATCGAATCCTGATGTTACAGGCTTAGGTAAGTAATACCCATTGATGAGTTTATCTAACAATTTTGTTAGGGTTTTTGATGATTGAGATTGTTAATTTTGGGTTTACTCAGATGAAGAAGGGAGAGGTGAGTCGAATGATTTGCCTCAGTTTCGTGAATTCTCTATAGAGACTATAAGGAACGCTACTTCAGGATTTGCAGCAGAGAATATAGTTTCAGAGCATGGTGAGAGAGCTCCAAATGTTGTTTATAAAGGGAAGCTTGAGAATCAAAGACGTATTGCTGTCAAAAGGTTTAACAGGAAATCTTGGCCTGATTCTCGTCAATTCTTGGTAACCCATTATTTCTCTTTTGGTTCCATACTTAGAGCTATTTCTGTGCTTTTCCATTTGGCCTGATACTCTAGCTTCTGTGTTGGTCTAGTGTGTTGGTTAAGTGGTTATACTCATAATTGCTACTGACTTTTTAGCTAGTACTAATGGGACATTGTAGTTTGTAGACTCTATTCAAGTGTAAGTAGTGAAAAGGGTTAACTTGTATGGTGCTCCTATATATTATCTTCTTGTTCATAGGTTGTTATCTAGATGCGAGCAGATTATATTCTGGATTACTTATTTTCTTTTCATACCTATTTGTGTTTGCACAAAGCTAAACAATTGTTGTTAATCTGTGAGATTAGGAAGAAGCCAAAGCTGTTGGTCAATTACGGAATCATAGGATGGCAAATTTGCTTGGATGTTGCTATGAAGGTGAAGAGAGACTACTTATTGCAGAGTTTATGCCTAATGAAACTTTGGCAAAACATCTTTTCCACTGTAAGTTCCTAACATAATGTTTCTTCATATATATAATTGATACTCGAGTCAGTATTTTTCTCTTATTTGGTTATGCTTCTAACAACAAGTACTTGAAAGTTTGAATGGATGCTGAACAAAAAAAGGATTATTTATGTGTATCAGGGGAGTCACAACCAATGAAGTGGGCGATGCGACTGAGAGTAGCTTTGCATATTGCTCAGGCGCTAGAGTATTGTACTAGCAAAGGACGTGCACTTTACCATGACCTAAATGCTTATAGAGTTCTCTTTGATGATGTAAGTTTGATACAAATTTTTGTTTACCTTTAGTTCCTGTCTAGTGCATATGAAAATAATTTTTGTTTTTGTTTCTTAGGATGCAAATCCAAGACTTTCATGTTTTGGTTTGATGAAAAACAGTAGAGATGGAAAGAGTTACAGCACTAACCTGGCATTCACTCCTCCCGAGTATCTGAGGACAGGTATATTTTTGACAAAACACTGCAAATACCTCATCGAGTCTGACACTACCTAAATTGTTTCCTGGGATTCTCAAAATTTTCTGGCAGTTTATATTTTTCCAGCTGACTGCTAAGGTTTCAGGAAAACATGAATGCTTTATTTGGATTGTGGCTGCTTTTTTTTATCGGGTTGTGTGTTTATTTCTACAGGTCGCGTGACACCCGAAAGTGTGATATACAGCTTTGGAACTCTGTTACTTGACCTTCTGAGTGGAAAGCACATACCTCCAAGCCATGTAAGGTTTCCATATATCCTTTTGAATTGGTGATGTTTCTTAGTGTCTGTTACTGAATCTGACTAGGAAGCATTCTCCCTGAGCTTGAGAGAAGCATGTTATAACTTTGTATTCTTGAATAATATAGTAGTATTTTGCTAATCCAGTACCTTGTATGGTGTATTCTAGGCGCTGGACCTCATACGGGACAGGAACATTCAGATGCTGATGGATTCAGGTTTGGAGGGTCAATTTTCAAGTGACGACGGGACTGAACTAATAAGGTTAGCTTCAAGATGCTTGCAGTATGAACCCCGAGAGCGGCCTAACCCAAAATCTTTAGTCTCTGCAATGATTCCTCTTCAGAAAGATCTTGAGGTGCTTTTTACTATCATTAACTAGTTCCGTGTTGCTTATACTTAGCAAGCGCTTTTAGTATTAATGATGATTACTTAATCACAGAGGCTTATATCTTTCTGTTACCATTTTTACTGTTACCTTACCCGGAAAGAGTTGCAGTGTTGCACACAACTAGAAAGATAAGCTTGATGCTTCTTTCATTTCAAAAGATTATTTCGTACTGTAACAAGATCATGTTAATCATGTAGATTGCTTCTCATCAATTGTTGGGCGTACCTAACAGTGCCACAACAACCGCTCTTTCACCACTTGGCGAAGCATGCCTAAGACCAGATCTAACTGCTATACATGAGATCATTGAAAAGCTTGGATATAAGGATGACGAGGGTGCAACCACAGAGGTTATTTTCGTAGTTTCAACCTTGCGTTTTACTATTGTGGTCTTCTAATGTTTGATTCTAATTTCGATATTTGTAATTCTTTGGCAATAATGCATGTGGTATTTTTGACTCTGGCTATCTTGTTCCTTATATTCAAATCTAATACATTTTTGCCTGTTTCTTCGTTTTTGCCACAGCTTTCTTTCCAGATGTGGACCGACCAGATGCAGGACACATTGGTCTTCAAGAAAAAGGGGGATTCTGCATTCCGACATAAAGACTTTGCAAAGGCCACCGAATGCTTTTCTCAGGTTAAACCTTTTTATGCTGTAGTAAGTTTTAGTTCCTGACAACGATCTATATAGTTCAGTACTGGTGGTTTTCACGTAAAGGGTAGTGATCAAGATTTTCAATTAGCCTCACATATTTACTTTATGCTTATGACCGAAGGATTTGTTTGCAGTTCATCGAGGTAGGTACAATGGTTTCCCCAACTGTTTATGCAAGACGTAGTCTATGTTACCTAATGAATGAGATGCCTAAAGAAGCACTAAATGATGCAATGCAAGCCCAAGTCATATCTCCTGCTTGGCACATCGCATCCTATCTCCAAGCTGTAGCTTTGTCAGCTCTAGGACAAGAGAACGAAGCACACGCTGCTCTAAAAGACGGTGCAATGCTTGAAAGCAAAAGAAATACTTTGTGATCATAAGTAAAACGAAGAGGAGAAACTGGAGTAGGAGAGAAACATAATCCTTTACGCTAACCCATACACCCGAAGAACCACTGTCTCAACATTGTATGTATGATATGCCTGAAGATTTGAGATCAAAGCATTACAAGTCTACATCAATTGTTCCTTTCCAAAGCCTTGATCATCACATCACATCACTGGTTAGTCTGGTTTTTATTTCAGTTTAGTGCCCGTTTTGCAAGATCCGCGTTTCAAGCCACTGCGATTCTTCGATTACAGCAAGTGGACTGTGTTTTTTTTGTTGTTGTTGTTGTTTTGGTTCAATGGTACAGACGTGTTTTGTATCATAGAGAAGAAAAGAAGTGTCCATGGAGATATATGATAACAAAACTGAAAAATGTGTGATTGTGTATTATTTGCTTTAATGTAATTCAAATGTTTGTATAGAAGGAAATATTTGAATTACATTTGAATTAATGTAATCCTTTTTTTTTTCTTGAATCTTGCAAATGTTGAAACGCTTAAAGATCTTAAATTTTAAGAGAAACATATAAATCATTCAACAAAAAAAAATTAAAAAAAAAAAAGATTAAAGAAGGGCTCAACCGGGTTCGAACCGGTGACCTCTCGATCTGCAGTCGAATGCTCTACCACTGAGCTATGGGCCCAACTGGTTATTCTTTAATATTTATATTATCTATATAAATAATATAAAACCTGATTGGTTATTGTCTCTCTCCGTCTCCGACTTCTTAAAATCCTCCGTTCGTTTAACAAAAGAAAAAATAATCACACTGCTCTTCCTCTCTCCGCCGCCGCCGCAACGTTGAATCTTCCCGGTCAGAAGATTTCCTAGAGTGGCTCAAAGAGATGGGGAAACGTGGAGCTAAGAATCTTACAAACACTCAAGGAGGACCTAATCTCAAATCTGTACTAAGACATGAGCACTTGAAGAATCTCGCTCTCTGGTCTTCCACCGGAGATACTCCGATACCGTCTCTTGCATCATTACTCGGTCGACGTCTCGCTTCCGACACTGAAACCACGGGAATCGCTACTGATCCCGATCTCGTCTCTTGTCAGAGGTATTTTGCCTCTTCCCTCCACCTATTGTTAGGGTTTCTGATTATGATTCTTTCTCTGTGTTTTGATTCCTTAATGTTCACAAAGAGAGGATCGTTTTGCATTTTAATGTCGTTAGGGTTTATCTTAAATAGGATTATGTAATGATTCAAAGTTTAATCTGTAGGTGTGAGACAATTCTTAAGCCTGGATTCAATTGCAATGTTAGAATTGAGAAGGTTTCTGCTAATAAGAAGAAACGCAATAGATGCAAGAAGTCTAACATCTGTTTGCCTCAGAACAATGTTGTTTACAATTGCAATTTCTGTTCTCACCGGAACCTTAAGAGAGGTACTGCGAAAGGTCAGATGAAAGAGATTTACCCGTTCAAGCCGAAAACCCCTCGTTCTTCGCGTCCTAAGATCAAGAAAGAGATGACGATGACAATGCCTCGAGAAATCCAAAGTAGCATGCTTTCTTCACCGGAGAGAAGTGTGAAAGATCAGGTGGAGGAGAGTAGTGTTGTGAAGAATACACCGAAGCCAATGATGCTTACCTTGGAGAGGGATAGGAGAATACGGAAATCCAAAAGTAAGAAACCGATCGATCCCGGAAGCAGCGTTCCTGAGAAAACTGTTGGTGGGTCAAATAAGAGGAAGAGAAAATCATGGACAAGTATGAAGGAGATAGCTGAGACAAACAAGAGTTCTAAACCTGGAAACTTAAAGACACCTTTTCTCTTGTAATCTTTTGTTATATGTCACCAAGAAAAGCAGTTTTGGGTGAAAAGCAGAGTAAATATATCTCTTTGTTGAAGTTTCAGTACAATGATGCTTCTTGATATTCTTGTTCCTTTCTATTATCCGGTCATTCCGATGACGGACGTCACCGGAAAATTCACCGGAAAGTTGGCCGGAGCCACTTATGTAAAATTGAGTTCCAACATTTACATTGTTTACAGCATATGTACATCGTAATTCTTAAATTGAAAACCAATACAAATTTTTGACCAAAAAAAAAGAAAACCAATAACAAATTTACATGAATATTATTTAAATTTAATTTTAATTTATAATCTAATGCTCAACAATTTATCTAACACAAGTGTTCATCGTGCGTAATAAATTTTCTAAATTTTCACATGTCCGCACAACCAAGTCACCTCGTTCCATTTATACTATATGATGACATTTATATATATTCATAGGTCTCACTAATTACATCGTATTGGTTTTAAACATTTATAGATTCATAGGTCTTACTAATTACATTACGTATATATTAGTTTTAAGGTCATTTCATAATTCATACCATATATATTTTCACATTGTTATATCGGTTTCACATCTCTTCATTAATTTCTCCCTTTTATTAATCCCCACTTGAAATATATATTCTCAATTTCTCACCCATTAGTCAACTCTTTTGGGAGAATCCAATAAAAAACAAAGACTCAAAAAAATAAAACTTTATCAAAGACCAATCTGAAATATAATACAGACCAATAAACTTGTTAAATCAAAGACTTTCTCTCTCTAATATCTATATATAATACTTCTTCTTCTTCTCTTTTATTTCATAACCTCTAAAAAAATAAAAAAAACATGGAAACAACAAAGAAACTCTCTGCTCTTCTCTGTCTCTTCTTCACCATGAACCAAGCTATCTCCCAATCCGATTCCGATTCCGACCACATGGCGACTTTCTGCAACGAATCATCCGGAAACTTCACTAGCAACACAACTTACAACAAGAATCTCAACACTCTTCTCTCCACTCTTAGCAACCAATCATCCCTCGCTAACTACTACAATCTCACGACCGGTCTAGCTTCAGACACAGTCCATGGAATGTTCTTATGCATAGGAGATGTCAACAGAACAACATGCAACGCCTGCGTCAAGAACGCAACAATTGAGATTGCTAAAAACTGTACTAACCATCGTGAAGCAATCATTTACTACTTCTCTTGTATGGTTCGATACTCAGATAAGTTCTTCCTCTCCACCTTAGAGACAAAGCCTAATACCTTTTGGTCGTCTGATGATCCAATACCCAAATCATATGATAAATTTGGACAGAGACTGTCTGACACAATGGGAGAAGTTATCGTTAGATCATCTTTGTTATCTTCTTCGTTTACGCCATATTATCTTAGGGATACGACTATGTTCGATAACTTGTATGATCTTGAGTCTATTGTTCAGTGTAGTCCTCATTTGGATCCAAGAAACTGCACCAAATGCCTGAAACTTGCGTTGCAAGAACTCACTGAGTGCTGTGGTGATCAGGTTTGGGCTTTCATCTTCACTCCCAAATGTTTAGTGAGTTTTGAAACCTCAACTTCGTCATTGCCACCGCTTCCACCGCCAAGTCGCAGCGGTTCCTTCTCCATTAGAGGTAAGCATATATATGAAAAAATGATGGGTTATATATACTCTTATTTATATAAAGTAGATGATATGTAGGACTGGACAAAATATCCGTTAGATTTATTTCGATCCGTTATTCGATTCGAACAATCCGGGTATCCGTTATTTTACAAAGCAAATCAAATAATAAAAATTGATATTCTTCAAAAGCGGAGCAAATAAAAAATACTATAATTTAAATAGGCGGATATTCGTTCCGCTCCGGTATATATATAGATATGTATATAGATAATTATATATATAAATTATAATTTTACTAATTTATATGTGTTTTATAAATTTCTGATCATCAAACTAATTATTTAGCTTCTAGTTTTTTATCAACTAAAGAAGAAATAACTATTTTCAATAAATTATTATTATTTATGGATTAAATTTAATTTTTTTCTATTTTTTTAATTAGTTTTAAATATATATTGAGCGGATCAAATATCCGACAAATAGTCCGGATTTTAACGGAGCGAATACGTATCATAAAACTAATTGTTTGGACGGAGCGGAGGGGATCATGGATACCACCAAATCAAAATTAATTAGAATATATATTGTAGTAATAGTTAAAATTTTCAAAATCTATTAGTATATATATTGTAGTAAATTTAGTGAGTATATAGAACTTATGTTTCAATGTACTATTAGAGTTTTTTTTCAAATAAATTTAGAAATAAAATGTATTTAAGACAATAAAGAACAAAATAACTTTAACATTAATTCTCTCTTGTCTAAAGTATGTTTTTAGCATTATGGTCTAAAGTTTGGATTTTTGTTTCGTTTTACAGGAAATAACAAATTACTTGGGGGAATGGTTCTTGCTGTGGCCGCTTCTGTGTTTGCACTTTTAAGTTTATGATCAGGTTTACATGTATTAAGAAAAACGTTGGGTTTGAGTTTCGATTTGGAATTGTGCTCAGTGCAAAACAAATATCATTGTTTCCGTTAATTATGCTTCATGCGTATGTTTTATTGTCCTTTTCTATTGTGGTTATACATTCAATTGTTGTAAGGATTGTCCCATTTTTATAATGATTTTGTGTTTTCAATTCATCTGATTCATATGCATGGGGAAAAACATTGTAAAGTTTTATCAAATGGATAACAGCTTAGTATGAAGATATATCCTCAATTTAAGATCGAATACAGGGAATTGTTAATGAGTAAAGCTTTCCAAAGAAAAGTGTCCTATAAATTCACTTTGTGAAAAAACTGAAAATATTTATCACAATTCTTTCGTTTTATCGTTCTTTGATTTGTATTTATTTGTAATTACTTGTATATTAATGACCCAGTATAACTCTTCTAATTTATACGTTGAGAAAATTCCAAAAAAAAAAAAAAAAATGATTGAGCTCACTAGTTTAAAAATTCAAAAGTGTCACTAGTTACATTTCATTTTTCACATAACTATCGGTTTCACATCTCAGAGTTAATTTGTACCCTTTATTAATCCCCACTTGATATGTATATTAATCTCCCCATTAGTCAACTCTTTTTGGGAGATTCCAAGGAAAATAACAAAGTTATAAGAAATACATATCTTAGAGAAATATCAAAAACTAAAACTTAACAAAGACCAATTTACAAACTTGCTAAATCAACGACCTTATCACTCATTAACCATACAAGAAATTTAGACATGTTAAAATCAATGAAGCTCTCTGCTCTCTTCTCCTTCTCTTCACATTAATTGATTAATTTGTCCCTTTAATTAATTCCCACTTACCCATTGTCAACTCTTTTTGGGAGAATCGAAGTAAAAAACAAAGACCAAACAAAAAGATAAAAAAATAAAGACCAATTAATCTGGAAAAATAACAAAGACCAATGAACTGTTTAAATCAACGACCTTCTTCTTCTTTTTTTATCTCATAACCTCAGAAATAAAAACTAAAAAAAAACATGGAAACAACAAAGAAACTCTCTGCTCTCTTTTGCTTCACTTCTCTCTTCTGTCTCTACTTCACCATTAACCAGACCATGTCCGAATCCGACCACATGGACACTTTCTGCATCAAATCATCTAGAAATATCACTCACAACACAATTTACAACACAAACCTCAACACCATGCTCTCTACTTTTCGCAACAAATCATCCATCGTCAACTATTACAATCTCACAACTGGTCTAACTTCCGACACAGTCTATGGAATGTTCTTATGCACAGGAGACGTCAACATAACAACTTGCAACGCCTGCGTCAAGAACGCAACAATCGAGATTGTCAAAAACTGTACTAACCATCGAGAAGCAATCATTTACTACATGGATTGTATGGTTCGTTACTCAGATAAGTTCTTCCTATCGACTTTAGAGACAAAGCCTAATAGCATTTGGAGCGCTGATGATCCAATACCGAAAACACTAGGTCCATTCAGAAAGAGATTGTTGAAGAAAATGGGAGAGGTTATCGTAAGATCATCTATGTTGTCTTCAGCTCTCACGCCGTATTATTACTTGGATGTGACTCGATTTGATGGCTCCTACGATCTTGACTCTCTTGTTCAGTGTAGTCCACATTTGAATCCTGAAAACTGTACCATATGTCTGGAATATGCGTTGCAAGAAATTATCGACTGTTGTAGTGACAAATTTTGGGCTATGATCTTCACTCCTAACTGTTTTGTGAATTATTATATCACAACTCCACCATTGCCGCCGCTTCCATCACCGTATCACCATAGCGGTTCTTTCTCCATCAGAGGTGAGCATATATACATTTTTGTGTAACAATTGTTTCTTTGCGTTATTTTTGATTTATTATCAGTATTATATCTGTTGTGTAATGTTTGGATTATTTTATTTTTCAGGAAATGATGAAATATTTTGGGGAATGACTCTGGCAGCTTTGGTGTTTACATTTTAGGTCTATGATAAAACTGCGGGCGGGTTTAAGGACAAACTAAAAATTCAGATTTGTTGGTGTAATGTTTCATGTTTAATTGCTTGTGTCTGTCCCTGATAATGTGGTTATTCAATCGTTTATTGTAAGATTATTTTTAAGTTGTCATAGTGTCGAGTTATTACCCGAAATGTTCAACCATAAGTACACAAAAAGTGGTACGTGGGGGATTGTTCAAAAAAGAAGAAGTTATAGGCAGAAACACTAAACGGTTAAGGATAAGAAAAATCAAAGAATGATACAAAGCGCATGAATTAGGCAATATTAAGTTAGGGGTACGATCCGAGGTATTACTATTCGACTATTCCCCCAGAATTTCACACTATGTTTTGTTCTCCTCTCTTTATGGACATTGTGGACTTTGTTTTCTCACAAGGTTTAATACTTAATGGATTTATGATTTATGAAGACAACAAACAAAAGATGAAATATGATACTGTGGATTATCATAATCCCTATATTTTATTTTTCTTTTAATTTGAAAAACAGGATAAGTATGCACGTAAATATACTTAATGACCGTTATAATTGCATTATTAGTTAATAATATCACTGGAATTAATCTATAAATAGTTCGTATCGAACAATTTCAATTATTTACATAATTTAGTACTCTTCATATAATCTATTTAGAAGAAAATGCTCTGATAAAAGAAAAAGTCAAAAGCTTCTGGGAACATACACAATGGGAAATCTGGTTCAGAATGGATGGATGGTAACATTAGATTCTGCTTCTAAGAACATCAAACACATCATCATAAGTATTTTCCAATGATAAATTGATCAAACTGGACTTACTTACTTTCTATTTTCGCGTAAACAAAACAAGGTTAGTTGATGTGTAGAAGAAAAAAAGCTTTTGGTTGTAGATTTTAATCTACAATGAATAACGTTATCTAAAAAAAATAATTCTTTATCTCTTACTGTTAAGAGGTTTTACTGAAGATGAAAATCCAGTGATTGGTCTTTTAGAACCTGAGATCAAAAGAGAAACACATTATGATCTTGTAAGAATCAAGCTCCTAATAATATTAGACAAAATTCTATCTAATCTATGTTTACTTTACAAATAGACAAGGAGCTTTGGTTTTAAGGAAAAATACTTAAAGCGTTGATAGTGAGGTTACTTGTGAAAGCCTTAGCTGAAGTGTTAGAAATCGACAGACGAGAAGGTCTGGTTTTGTCTGCTTTTGGTGTATGCTTCAGTGGCTTTGATGTTCCAACATTAGCTCTGCAGTTAGTAGATAAACAATGAACTCTAAACACAATGTAACTCTTATTTAAAAATAGGATTTAAAAGTGGAAGTAATTAGGAACTATACTCACTTATCATTTTGTTCAAACATTTCAGGAGGATTTGAGGTTTCAGGGAAGAGTGTCAACTCCATTGCACCGCTACTAATCGAGCCATCAGTTTCTGTTCCCATTGAAAGACAACTATCAGAGATATCACTCAATCTTTCCTCATTATCTGAATCTTCAAGGCCTAAAAGTTCAATATCCTCAAATATATTATTGTCTTTAGCCCCACCAGTAAACTTAGACGATGATCGAGATTCATTTTGATGTCGATGTTCATCTGTTGAATCTGAAGTTGTTCTTCCAAGTAAACCAGACCCTTGTCTTCTTCTTGGAGAATTTGTTAAAGCTCCTCCTAAAGAATGTCTTCTAGGAGGAGAAACAATTCTTAGTTTGCTTAATCCACGTTTTTGGATAACGTTTATGTTCTGAAACTTTTGAAGTTCTTCGTCTTTCTTGGCAATCATATCTTTCAAGTTTGATACCTGCATGCAATATCAAGATTTTCAAGGATTATCAAAATACAAATACATATCCATAAGTTATAAAACTTTGACATGAAGAATAATAATGTAAACACCTGTTCCATGAGTTGTCTAACATCTCGTCCCTCCTTATAGCTTCTAGCTGCACCTAACTCGACACCAGAAACTCTTTCCGCGAATTTCAAAGTACTTACAGTCTCAGCATATGAATCTTCATCAGGATTAATTTGAACAAACATAAGAGTTTTCGCTTGTCCTCCTAAAAAAATAAATCATCAGAGAATTGAAGCAAAAAAAAACAATGTCAAATAATAATAAATTTATGAAAGTGTTCACATATATAGTACCTAAAGAATTCTGGAGGACTTGTGTTAGCTTGCTGTTTCTATAAGGTACATGAGGATTCTTATGTGCTAGAGCAAATATAACATCTCCGAGAGCAGACAAAGATTTGTTTATATATTGAGCTTCTTTGAGTCTCTCTCCGGTTACTTCAGAGCGACCAACTCTCTCACTTCCAGCAAGATCAACCAAATGCAAACTACCACGCAAGACGGATTCGGTTTTGACATCAACACCGCGTACATGAACAGAAACAACACTGCAAAAAGAAAACAAATGTCTTATAGCTAAATGTAGAAGAAACATGTTAAACCGCAAAAACTTTATTCAGACCTGTGTGATCTACTGCTCTTTTCATTAAGGGTTGTGGCACCAACAGTTCTATTCATCAACCCAATGTTCATCAATTCAAGAACATCTTCAGTTGATTTTACAGAATGCATGCTTGCATCAGGAACTGCGAGGCCATTTGGTAAAGCAGTATTCCAAATCCCAAGTGTATGCAAGTTAAGGATATTTAATATTTGTAACAAAAAAAATAATATCACAAAAATTAGATTAGAGAAGGATATCTTTTATTAGGACCATCCTCAGAAAGTAGGTCACGAACTTGCTCATTGTAAATCTCAACCATTTGAACACCAACTTCATATACCACTGAGTGTTGTCTACTTTGAGTTAAGTGGAACAAGTCATTCAAAGCTCGATAGTTAACACCCCAATCTTCTTCTGAATTTATGCTTGGTCCACTCTGTTTTAACAAATTGAAAATACTAATCTTTCATATCAAATATTAGGAATTCCACATCTTAAATAAGATGTGACCTAAAGTAGAAAAAAAGAGATATGAGTCAATTCACTAATTGTCAACTTATCCACTACAAGAAACCATGTTGAATTTCTAACAATGTTCTGACCAAGAAAATGATCAAAAACATTTACCTAAAAACTAGACATGTTGCTTACCATTGTATAAGTCTTTCCAGAGCCTGTCTGGCCGTAAGCAAATATACATACATTGTAGCCATCAAGAATGGATCGAATCAACGGTCGCGTATCTAAGAAAACTTCCTCTGCATATAAGAAAAATTCAGACAAGTCCTAAACGATACTTTTTTATAGATAAAGTATTTGGCATTTTTGTGATATCCTTCTCTACTAATAAAGAATTAATGGTCCTAATAAAAGATATCATAAAATAAATGATATCACAAAAATGTCAAATAAATGGAAGAGGCTTAAACCTTGAGTTGATGCAGGGCCGAAGACTTTGTTGAATTTGAATAACCGATACGTATCTTTGCCTTGCTTTAAGGGATTTGCAACCACCAGTTCACCATTCTCACCTGTGTACTCTATTGATGTTTGTTTCTTGTTTTGTCCTTGAAGGAATGGTCTTATCCGGCAATACACTCTAATATTTCCTTTTTACAAGCAACAGAACATACAAAAGTTAAAAATGGCAAGAATCAAACCTTACCGTCTAAAAAGGCTCAAACAAACGAAGAAGAGTTAGGGCTGTATTTTAAACTGGTTTTGTTTGCTAATATATTTTCAACGTGAGGAAGTTGTGAATTTAAGATTCAACAATTTTTGCGCCAAATCCAAGTTTCGATATCCTGGCACCAAAACTTTATTTCGATATCTTGGCGCCAAAACACATTTCACAAATTATACCTTTTAATTCTTGCACTTCATTGTAAAGTCGTCGATTCTCTTCAATGATTATCTGGTAATTTTTTGCTGCATGAGCCACTCCTCTGAGCTTTATACCTAAGAGGTGAATTAAAATTACAAATCAAAAACATGAAAGCAAAATTCAATTACAAATATATACAAAAGCATAAAGCCAAAAAAAAAAAAAACGGATTACAACAATCAATCTTACCATAGTAATTTAGATCCTGAAAGTAGTTCTCTCCTATCGTTAAGACATCATGTTTTAAAGACATAGAAGTAGCTTTCAACTCCTGCAGAATTCACACAACTCGATGATATATAGTTAAAGAATTACCATAGCTTATCATCATATTTACAAAACTATCAATCAATAACGTCAAATCACCTGCAAAGCCTCGGTCTGGTGGTTTATAAAGCTCTTATATGTTTGCTCTTTCTTCTCCCATCTTTTAGTTTTTGTTTCACATAACTTTTCGAGTTCTTTTGCTTCTACCACACGTAACTCTGATTCCTTTAATTGCTTCTCCAACTCAACTTTAGCTTTTTGAGCATTTGATTTTAGTTCCAAAAACTGTTTTTCATGTGTCTCTTTCAAAATTTCAAGTTCTTGCTTCAACTTAGAAAGTTCAGCATCACTACGCTCTTTTTCCTTTTCTATTTGAAGCACATCTTTTTCTTCTGACCTTAGCTAGAGCACAACATATTATAGTAAAACAATTGAAATTTTTGAACAAAAGTGGTAACTAAATGAAAAGACATCTGCAATTAGAGACATAAATTGAGAATTAGTACCTCTTTCTCATCTGTTGTTCCAGATGCCAAAGTTTCTAATACATTTATTCTTGATCTATATTTTTCTTCACGAACCCTAAAGAGTATATTTTGCTGCACAAAAGCATATTTATTATTTAATTTTTTTTTTGTTGTCTAAAGAAGTATGATATTGTCCATGGAAAAATAGAAAAATTTTTGAGTAAATCATACGTTTTTTAGGTTCTCAGCTTGATTTGAGATCCGTTGCTCCACAACTTGTACAATGCCTCTTAAGATAGATACAAAAACCTGAAGAATAGAGAGCAAGGAAAGAAAAATGAAGACATGAGAAATAATTTTCATGAATTAACACTGCAAAATCCTTTCCTTACATGAGACACATTCATCTTCTGTGGGCTCTCATCAAGAAGCCTATCGAGCATGTCAAACAACGATCGTGTAGAAGTATTCTACCAAGAGAGAAAGGAAAATAAATTTTGAATTAGAATTTGAAGGTTTGTGGCTTGGCTTCAAGGAAATAAGACATGGATCATCAAAGTTGAAACAAGATTGACTAAAATGATGTTAGAAAGTTTTACTTGTAAACTATTTGATTTTAGTAAGTCCAAAATTTGAGCATGAGATGTATTGATCTCAGATGCTTCCTTAAACTGTGATCCTCCATCATTAAAGTTGCTATCAACTCCCTTTGAATAATGGTCCTCAGGCAAACTCCATCTTCTTCTTGCACAAAGTTTATTCTTATCATATCCATCATCAGAGAAACTAGCTTTAAGTGCCTTAAGAGACTGTATAACTGGAATCATATCCCCCTGCATCGATATCCGAATTTGGATTAGTATAGTGTTTATTAATGTATAGAAGATTTTACTATAATGCTACATTATATTGAACTTATCCATGTGATTGAATTCAATCAATTTACTAAATCAAATGTGGCAATCCAAAACCACTCTAGCAATTATTTTCTTTTGATACATTATATTTTTTTAAATTATATTAATAAATAGAGAAACCTGTTCTAAGTCTGAAACCTCAAATCTCGGCAATGCCATTTCATCCATAGCTGCCAAAAACCGCTCAATATTTACACAACCGGGCTCAAAGCTACCTCCCTACATGTTTAGTCCAAAGAGAGTAAATCAAAGTAAAAACAAATCACAGAACTAGAAGGTTCACATATATATATATATATAGAAAACAATATAATTAAAAGAAAAAAATTACGTATAAAAAAACAATAGGTTTACACAAAATCAAGTACCATTCGCATCGAACCGGGACTAAGCTGATTCAAGAGATTGCACAAGACAGTTCCATCCACCAAACATGCTCTCAATTCTTCCTCTGAAGCCTCCCATGTTAACTTCAAATAAGGAAGCGTCTCATTTAACCACTCTACTAAACTTTGATGACCTAGAAGCCAAGTAATGGTTAAGAACAAATAGAAGACGAATAAAACATATATCTCAAAACAACCATTATGTTGCAAAAGAAAAGATAGAACATCAAAGAAGACAGTAAAAGAACATTTACCTTGCTTAGTGTCATCTATACTTTCACGACTTTCGGATCCATTAAAACTCAGAATGCTGCTTGATCCATCTGATCTTCCATATACACCAATCATGCTGGATCCTTCTTTGATTCGATTTTTCATAACTGGACATGTAAAAGCAAGTACATCATTTCATGAGCATTAGTTATCAAACTTTCCTACGATAAATTTTCAAGAATAGCTGCTGCATGACGAAAACCATACAAATTGAGCTGTTATAGACAAGTTAACTAAACGATATAAATTTGTTGTATTGTATAACCATACATATAGTTGTTCATTTATTTATTTTTGAAAATTACACTATTATAACTAAACGATGATTATTTTATACAGGTTTGTTTGAAAATATAAAGAAACTTGCCTAGAAATCCAATAACATAAATTTTAAATAAGAAAGCAAAAAGCCTAAAACATTGCTTTTTTTGGTGAAAACGGAAGCAACAAGTTTTGAAATGAATCTACTTTACAGGAAACATATAAAATACGAACAAATCAACAGGAAAAAATCAGCTCAAATTCACAAATATGATACCAAAATTTTGTATGAGACGCGATGAGATACCTCGAGAGAGACTTCTTGAAAGGCCAAGGATGTTGAATGGTCTTGCAGAAATTCAACAGAGAAATTGAGACGGTTGATCCTTAGCTCGAAAAGAATTCAAAATTTCCAGTTTTTGTTTTTCCTCTCTCTTGGTTGTCCAGAAAAAATACAAGAAAAAGGAGATGAAAAAAAAAGCTAATTACGGGGAAAGTTTTAGGATCCTTTTATTTTTTATTTTTTATATTTAGTAAAAACAAAAGTTTACTAGGAACTAATAAATATATGGAAAATTTACGCAAATTCTACAAAGACTTTCCCGCTTTGTTTTTGTGGCATTTGATTTGAGTGTCATTAATAAAAAAATAATCGAAGCAAAAAAAAACGTAAAAAAAGAAAAGAGTATCATGGAGAATAAATGGGCCAAAATATTATTGGACGGCAAATAAAATACACAATTTTACGGGCTAAAGGCCCAAGTTCCATTGACTTCTTTTTTCTTTTTTGACTATTTTGACTAACTGGCTTCTGTCTTCCGAGAGGCAAGAGTTCATAAAACAACTAATGAGAGTTGTATTACGGTTCGGTAATACTCTTTTTCTCTGTGTTAGTGATTCTGTTTGATCTCTTTTATATTGTTTGTAACACAACTGATCCTTTTATATTGAATTATTGAGACGAAAAAAAAAAGTTAGTGGACTAACTTTTTTCTTAGATAATGACTTTTTGGCAATACTTGAAAATATGTAAAATATCATTTTCAATATAATCTTTCATCAACCAAATGAATTATCAGCACTTTATACACACAACAAAAACAAGAATTGTTATACTGAGCAGAACCTGGAATCTATTTGCAGTGTAGTTGATTCAAATCAAGATTAAGTTTATACAGAGAACTGCAATTGTATTATCATTATGACACAACCAACAGCTTTAAAAAGTTTTACTTTAATTATTCCTTGGTTATTGACTGAATAGCTAAAGAATATTTACTTTTATCATGTAGGTAAACAGAAATAGTAAAATGTTTACATATTACGTTCAGAAACTGTTAGTATTACAGTGATGTCATTTAATATTTGATCTAAATTCAGAGATATTGTTAGTTGTATTTCAGTGAATCCGTTAGTATTTATGAACACGTAAAAATTTATTTATTTTTAATTAGTTTTGTTTGTTCATGCGTGGCGCCACGCAGATCATCCATAGATCGTGGAAAAGAGTGGTGGAGTAAAATAGTTGTATAAATATGATTAATATTAAATGATGAAAAAGTAAGAGAATGTGCTTTCGCATTAATTACATATTATAATAAGAAGACATAATTCAGAATTCTTTTATTACCAAGCACGTGGCGTATACTGAAACGCAAATGATCAATTTGTCAAAACAAAAAGTTGTCTTATTCATCTAAACTAAACTGATGGTGTTTTTTTATGGAAGATAATCCCTCAAATTAAAGAAGGTAATCACTAATAATTACGAGTTTGCTAGAGTAGAGCAGTATCTTTATTCCTTAAGACGTTAATATATTAAGGCTAGATCTCATCGTTAGTTATGTAATTTTCTTTTTCGTTATCTTTGGATCGCTCAGATCCGATCAATATGCAGTCTTTACTACATACGGTAACGCAATTTAGTAGAATCGAATTTTGATGGAAAATATAGAGTCAAATAGATTTTAACCACTAGACTAAAAACACATCCTCATAGTTATGTAAATTTACAGAACAAAATTTAATTATAGTTTACTGGAAAAAAAATGAATAAAAAATCACAGTTTAAAATTTCTTATCAACTGTGAGTGAGAAATAACATAATTAAAATGTTTGATAAGTTATATCATAAAAATTAAAAAAATGTATACTACTACAAGAAAGAATAACCAAAAATAATTTGTACCATGGATTTTAATTTATTTCTAATGAGAAAAATAAACTGAAAGGCGAGTCACGAGACTCATGACCACCTAACTCACACATGTGTATATAGACGCAATTTGATCTACGCGTAAGAGTGCTCGAGGACGTATACATGAGGGACAAAGCAAATTAAATGAGACAATGACATGTTATCTCCATGCACACATACATATACGTGTGAAATACGTATATACATAATGCACGAGGTTTTTTGTTTATGATAACCACACGAGGTTACAAGAGACAACTATTTTTTTCATTAAAAGAGACAATTAATTTAGATTTATAGAAATAAAGTTTAAATGAATATAACGAAATTTCTAATAGCCCATAATGAAGTTTTATAGACACAAATAGCATCCAAAACTCAAACTTCCGCATATAGCAATTTTAAAGCCTTATTTTAAAATTTTAAAATTAATAATTAAGAAAATACAAAAATACACAAATTCATCCCCAAAAAAAACTGTTAATATTTTCCTGCCAAAAAAAGTTTCCGTCAAAATTATAACTTGTAAGAAATCAAGGGTGAATTTTAATGAAATTTAAAGTTAATATTTTTTTTCCTCATTTAAAGTTAATATATTTGACAAATAATTCAAATATCTGAACACTAATTTGACATATGTTTTTGAAGAATAAAATTACCTAAATTATTGAAATATTTTGAAATAAGAATTTCTATAAATTGTCCAAAATTGTTCATAGTTACATGAAATACCCAAACACGAATATGGTCTTTATCCATTCATGTAGTGATTTTATATATCCAAATTATCTGTACCATATCCATATTATCTTACCCATTATTTATAGTTACATATCACAAATAATTTTTAATATTCTAAATATCTTTATCTGATTCGTACCACTATTATCCATAATAAAATCATGATACAAATTTTTTAAACATTTTCCACATACAGCACCTTACACGAAGTACTTGTACGTATCATCAATGGACAATCTTTTGATGTTTCAATCGAAGGAATTTGCAAAGATATATACTCTCATAGACTGCCCGGTTTCGAGACGTATATTTTGTTTTTACTAGACATCAGAATAATATGGTTGCACATCTTTTGGCAAAAATGGTTGTAACTCAGATTATTATTCTACTGTTTCCAATCTTCTAATATGGTTGAATCAACAATTATACAAGGATATTTCTTCTCATTAATATAAAAAATTAATTTTTCGATGAAAATAAAAGCATATGCCAAAAAGAAACTAAAAAGAATAGAGTTATGTTTAATCTAACCTTGTAAGGACATTATGTTTTTGCATTTCTTTATAGGTTTACACTTTATACATCGAATGTACGTTTTTAAAGTAATAACTAATGCTATTTGATGAACAAAATAATTGAGATTGGCTCGACCTGACACAGTTGTTAATGCTAATTAAATTAGTGGACCATGAAAACAGTGGACTGTTCCATTCAATTTATTGATTGGCGAGTCTCTATGAGTAATAAGAGTCTAGTTTTAATATGTTCAGCTCTCGATATTAGTCCCTTTTTATACTTCTCTATCATATCAATTTGAGTTAATTGGTTTCATAGCAATAGAAACCATGAAATTTAGACAAATGCATGTCATTGCGTACTAAAAAGTTGAGGAACATTAATAAACAACAAAAAACAAAAAAAAAAAATAAAAAAAAAAAACAAAAAAAAATTGAGGAACATAGAGTTTCTTTTGGGTCCAACTTACCCTTCTCATAGAAAAATAGAAAACTGACAAATGGTTAGTTGTTAGGTTCAGATTGTTTATAACTATAGTTTCTTTAATTTGTATCAAAATAAAACATGTTTAAGATTTTTCCACACCAATTAAGAAATTATTATTATTTTTATTTTTTTTGTCAAAAACTGAATTGATTCAAAGAGCTTCAAAGGGAAAGTTAGCACAAGCCAAAATTGGCCAAAAAAATAATCAGAACGTTTAAGATGTTCAGTTAATTAACCACTGATTTGTTTGCTTTGAATTGTAGCAGCATATATATATGGTTTCGTTCACAATCAAAAATCAGTACTTGTTAGCTAATGTTCACAATGTTTTATCTGCAATAATACAGTTAATAAAAAAACGAACTCAATACATATAGAAATTTGTTATCTGCAAAAAAAAATTGGAGCTGAAGTATTAAACCACTACAAATTGTTATCTGCCAAAAATGGCGCGGATCAATTTTTCCCCATATGTTGCCTATATTTAAAAAGATTATCTTACATGATTGCTAAGAAAATAAAGAAAAGAAAACGATACAGCTGAGAGAAGATACTTATACGAAGATTGTATAAACTTAAATAGGTTCAAATGGTAGATAAAAATAGGTATCCAAAATTTAGTTTAATACTAGAGTCTAAGTAAAATAATGCTATAAAAAGCAGGATAAAACAAAAGAGGATACGGGCTTACTGATATAATTAAATAAACAAGGTCTAATGTTCATTATGATTCTCATGGAGACGCAACAAGTAATAATGACAATTTTGGGAAATGAGAAATATTTTATACTATAGTTGATGGCTTAATTAACATAGCCAGTGACAATAATGACTCTTGGTTCTTCTTTATTAATTGTCTCATTAAGTTAATACAGATTATAATTAAGTTATGTTTTTTTGAATTCCCATCCAAATTCATGTGATTCTATACCTCTTAATATCCACCATGATCTTTGAATCAAATCAAAAATCCTTTATTTACATTGTTGACTTCCATTGACTTTAGCGGAACTATCTTTTAGTATATAATTATGAACTGAAGCATCTAGCTTTTTTTTCTGAACCTTGAGATGCATATAAGATGATAATATGCCTTATGAGGTGGAAAGTGGAACCACTTATGTTTCCTTGTTAAACCAATTTAGTATATCCAAACTAAAATACCATGTTCTCAGCTATATGCATACGTCATTTAGTATATGGGAAAATCAAACATGTTTATAACATAGAAGAGAGGATGCAAACCAGTTAATAGAAAACTATTGTCATGCTTCCATTGTCAGATACATATAGCATTGAATCTCTCATCTTCTCATACATGCCCGCAATTTTATGATTTTAATGGCCGTACGGGTTTACAACATTATTTCAAATGTGCCGTCTATGTCAAGGAAAACATAATATAGTATATACTAAATATATTTTCCAAATTACGTTTTGTAATAGTAAGTTTGGATCAGACCAAATTTATATCGCTGCATGTATACATATATTCACAAAAGGTAAAACTATAAGCAATAATTTGATATGAGTTCTTAAAAATTGTTAGAAATTCATGAAATATATATGAAGCTTTGTGATAATCTACTGGTAACTTAATATGAAGTTAACATATTAACATTTATATCTTCACCTGTTTACCAAAAAAAAAAAAAAAAAAACATTTACTATCATTAATCATAATCTGCCAATTTTTTTTTTGGGTGCCATCTCATTCCTATTAATAATCAACCAAATAGAATTTATTAATTAGATTATTTTCAAATTTTAAAGTGAGATATTCCTAAACAATTACCCTCAAACATCATCACATCCGATTAATTTACCTAAACCTCCGATCAACACCAAACTACGAATGTTTAAAGACTTTTGATCTTGTAGGGGACCGTTAAAAAAAAAAAACGTGTACGTATTATTTTAATGTTTTTTGACGTCAACGTCTCTCTCTTTTCTAGATGTCAGAAAAGGAAACTAATAAAGTACTAATGGTCCATTTAGCAGGGGTTTTATTTAAAAATTATATTTTAAATAGTTGCATAAATATTTCGTAAATTTTGGTTTTAATATAAGAGAAGTTTAAAAAATAATAATATTATAAGTATAGGACAATAGGGAGAATCAACGTCGAAAATGTCCTTACATTTTTTTATTATAAAGATGTGATTGCAAAAATTAAGATTGTTTGTCTACACGTATCGGGGGAACTCCTCGAGGCCAAACATTAATTTCGTGTTTTTCTTTGTGTTTCCCAATTTTAGTAAAGACTGTCCTTTTATTTTATTTTTTCTCCTCAAATTTTCTATTATTGTGACTACAAATGTAGGTTTTTATTTTGGTAAGGAACCCTAAAATGTAGATTCGTACTAGCAATTAGCTTTTGTTTTTGACACCGAGTAAAAAGCTGTTGATTTGACTAGTACATATTGTTTTTTTTGCTAATCATATGCTCAGATTTGAGACATGATACTTGCGGTCGTTTTGTGTACTTTTGGAAAATTCATAACACGATGTTACTCACCGACAATAACAAACTACATATGCATTTAGTAACTAAGACAAAAAAGGAAAAGAAAAAAAGAAGAAGAGTATATTTCGATCACTCAAATAGTAAAAACCTGAACTAGAATATACGGAAGAAAGAAATCATACGATGCTAGTTAGATTGGACTTGGATAATGACACTATTTATATTTCCATCGTAATGTAATGGTATATATATATTTCCATCACTCAAATAGGGGGAGTCGTTGTGTCTTCTTCACTAGAGGTTTCTCGGCCTTCAAATAAAGAGATGGATACGGAGAAGGTTTCTGGTATGGAAGTTGTGGCTCCGGTTGTTGAGCAAGTGAGTGATAATGCGGATGTTTCTAAGGAATCTAATCAATGGGTTTATGCTAGTAAGAAGCTGGCTAAACGTGAAGAGAAGAAGTTGTTCTCCAAGAAGCAGGGCAAAGGTAATTACGTGATTAAAGGCCCAGTCTATGAGAAACCTCTCAAGTCCAAAGTCTCTAAAAGTTTGCAGTCTACTCGGGGGGAGGCCTCGGGTAGCACTGTTAACCTCTGAAAGCATAGCTTTCGCCTTCACCTTTTGCTGTAATTATGAAGGTTTTTTGTTGGAATGTTAGAGGACTTAATAGTCAATCTCGACAGAGATTTATCAGAAGCTGGATTACTAAAAATAAGCCCCTAATGGGTAGCATTTTGGAGTCTCATGTGTCTGCAGAGAACGCAGATTTTGTTATGCAGGCTACCTTTCCTGGTTGGAGGAAGTCTGATAATTATGAGCTCGCAGAGAATGGAAGAATTTGGGTAGTATGGGACCCCTCTGTATCTGTTATTGTCTTCCACAAGACAGCTCAGCTAATGGTGTGTGGTGTTCTGGTCCCTGCAACAGGCGAGAGCTTCTCTGCTATTTTTGTTTATGGGTACAACACAGTGGTTCTGAGGAGATCATTGTGGGATGAGATGACGTCTATTGTTCTTAATTCTCCGGCGCGGTTCAGACCACTTTTGGTTCTTGGGGACTTTAATCAGATTGCCTCATCTTCTGAGCACTTCTCTATTCTTCCTCATCCACTCCCACTGGCTGGTATGGCTGAGTTAAATAGCTGCTTGGAGAATAATGAATTATTTGATCTTCCAAGCAGAGGTGCTTTTTTCACTTGGTCGAATGAAAGAAAGGAGGATCCAGTAATCAGGAAGCTTGATAGAGTGGTTGTTAATGAGCAATGGAGTGCCTGCTTTCCTGATTCCTTGGCTATTTTTGACCCTCCTGGGGATTCTGATCATTCGCCCTCTTTGGTATCTACGGATTTGCAGATTGAAAGAAGTAGAAAGAGCTTCAAATACTTTTCTTTTCTCTCCACTCATCCTAAGTATAAGGAAGTTATTAGTGAGGCTTGGCTGAAAGATGTGTGTGTGGGATCAAAGTTATTTACCATTGGGCAGAAAATGAAGAACATAAAGATTGCTTGTAGACAGCTCAACAGAGAGGGGTTTGGTAATATTCAGCAGAGAACTAAAGAATCACTGGCTCATTTGGAGGATATTCAGGCTTCATTACTTAGTTCCCCATCTCAAAGGCTGTTCAGAGAAGAATTTGTGGCAAGGCAGAAGTGGAATTTCTTTGCTAAGGCTCAGGAAATCTTTTATAGGCAAAAATCAAGGATTAGGTGGATGAATGAGGGAGATGCCAATACTTCTTTCTTCCATAAATCAGTTATTGCTCATCAGGGAACAAACGCAATTAAGGTGTTAAGAGGTTTGGATGATGAAAGAGTCGAAAATTCAGATCAGATTAAGGACATGTTGGTGTCATATTTTCAGAATCTGCTGGGTACTGAAAGTTCTGGTGTCACTCCTCTATCTGTTGATGACGTTAGAGAGGTGATTTCTTTTAGATGCTTGCCTGACCTAGCTTCTCAGCTTCTACAGATTCCTTCAAGGTTAGAGATTCAGGAAACAATCTCTAGAATGCCAAAAAATAAGGCTCCTGGGCCTGATGGCTTTCCGGTTGAGTTCCTCTTGGAGAGTTGGGAGATCATTGGTGAGGACATTATTAATGCAGTTCAGGAGTTCTTTATCACTGGTTACCTGCCAAGAAAATGGAATGCAACAGCAATTACTCTAATTCCCAAAGTCACAGGAGCTGATAAGCTAACTCAATTTAGGCCGGTGTCCTGCTGCACCACAATTTACAAGATAATTGCTCGGCTCTTGAAGAATAAATTAAAGTTGTTTATCTCTGATGCTGTTCAAGGAAATCAAGTTGGGTTTGTCCAGGGAAGACTCCTTTGTGAGAATGTTTTACTTGCTTCAGAATTAGTGGAAAGCTTCCACTGTCCAGGTGAGATTTCTAGGGGCTGTCTTCAGGTGGATCTTGCTAAGGCCTATGATAACTTGAGTTGGGAGTTTTTGATGAATGTTCTTGATGCGATTGACTTGCCTAGGCAGTTTGTGGGATGGCTGAAGGAGTGTGTTACCACTACCAGTTTCAGTATTGCCTTTAATGGGGAATTAATTGGATTTTTTCAAGGAAAGAAGGGTTTAAGGCAAGGAGATCCGATCTCATCTCTGCTTTTTGTTTTGGCCATGGATGTTCTCTCAAAGAAGTTGGACAGAGGTGTCATTAATCAGTCATTTGGACTTCATCCAAAGTGTCATGCTCCCATGGTAACTCACCTCAGCTTTGCGGATGATATACTGATTTTCTTTGATGGTAGGGAGGATTCTATTCAGGGTATTTTAAACATACTTGAAGACTTCAAAGCTGCTTCTGGTCTTGGAATCAATCGTGACAAAACTGCTTTATTCCTTGATGGAGGAGACATCCAGGTCAATCAAGAGATTTCTTCAAGATTTGGTCTCCAGCAGGGTTCCTTTCCAGTTAGATACCTCGGTGTTCCTCTCACGTCTAAGAAGCTGAGGGCACAAGACTATCAACCACTCTTGGACAGAATTATGAGCAGATTCAACGCTTGGACTGTGAAGCATTTGTCTTATGCTGGAAGACTTCAGCTTATTAAATCTGTCATCTTTTCCATCATTACTTTTTGGGCATCTATCTTCTTGCTGCCTAATAAGTGCCTCGAGGATATTGAACGTATGTGTAATGCTTTCCTTTGGAAAGGAGCTCCAAACTCTGCAAGAGGGGCTAAGGTTTGTTGGGATTCAGTTTGTTCTCCCAAGGAGAGTGGCGGTCTTGGTTTGAGAAGACTTGTGCCTTGGAATAAAGTTTTGGGGTTGAAATTGATTTGGCTCATCTTTGCAGCTGGTGGCTCACTATGGGTGTCTTGGGTGCGCAGAAACTTAATTGGCCATAGGTGTTTTTGGGATATGGAGTACACGAACTCGGGAAGTTGGATATGGAAGAGTCTTTGTAAGCTGCGGCCTCTTGCAAGACCCTTTCTCGTGTGTAAAGTTGGCTCGGGGATCTCTTGTAGGTTCTGGACTGATAACTGGACCGGTTTAGGTCCTCTCTTGGATATCACTGGGGATTTGGGCCCAAGAGTCACTGGTCTTTCCCGAAATGCTGTTGTTATGGATGCTCTTAGGGATGGTGAGTGGTGGATTTCTAGGAGCAGAAGTCGTAACAACATTATCAGGCTCTTATTGGACTGTCTCCCTAATCCGAACATTGTTAATAGTGAAGAAGATGTAGAAGATGATTGTTACCTTTGGAAGGTGGGTTCCAGTCAAGCCTCAAATGTGTTCTCTGCTTCTCTTACTTGGGAGCATTTAAACCCGGCTGGTCCTAGTGTGGATTGGTCCAAGGCTATTTGGTTCTCTGGAAGAATTCCTAAGCATGCTTTCATTGCGTGGCTTGCTATTAGAAACAGGCTCCATACAAGGGACAGATTAGTGCGTTGGGGACTTATGATTCCGACTACTTGTCTCCTTTGTAACTCTCATGATGAATCTCGTCAACATCTCTTCTTTGATTGTTCATATGCTGCTGAGGTATGGACTTCATTCACCTCAAGAGCCCATCTTTCTCCTCCTAGTTTGTTTGAGGATGGAGTTAGATGGTTGAAGAATCCTTGCCGTGACAAAAACATTGCTTTGATTCTTAAACTAGCTTTTCAGGCTTCGTTGTACCTCATTTGGAAGGAGAGAAATTCAAGAGTTCATACCAATGCTTCAAGACCTGCGAGTGCTCTGATTCAGGAAATTAACAACATCATTCGTTGCCGCCTTGACCCGCTTTCAAGATCGCAACGGAATGCTCAGCCTGGAACTTCCCTCTTTGTTACTTGGTTTGGTGTTTTTCAGCCTTAAATTGTTTGTTGTTCTTGTGATTGTAGATGTTACTCTCTCGGAGGCATCTTGTATTTGCGTCCTGCTGCTTTGGCAGGTTTGTTGAATGGAATGGTAAGTTTAAAAAAAAAAAAAAAAAAAAAAAAAAAAAAAAAAAAAAAAAAAAAAAAAAAAAAAAAAAAAAAAAAAAAAATGGTATATATATGCTCTGATCACATGCTGATGGTATTCTAGTCAATATTGCTACAAAGATTTCAAAGTCAAGGGAAACATTTTCCTTCAAGAAAAAATGGGTTTGAAGTTCAGTCTTGACGTGCTAAGACCATCTTCATCCACATGTTTTAAGAAAAGTTCTGACTAATTAAAAAATAAAAAGTAATACTAAAATAGGAGAGAGAGTGAGAATCGTTTCTCAATAAACTATAAGAAACGTATCTTGACATATGTTCTGTTGTAATTGGATAAATGCTTTTTTATAAAAAAAAATTAAAATAAATGATAATATTATACCAAAATTATTAAAATAATATTTTTTGAGAAGCTGATAATGTTTCTACTGATAAAAATGCTCTAACATTTTAACTTTATAATCAGTATTGGAAGAGACACACGATAATTCCATATCCCAAAAAAAAGATCTCTAGAACCACAAAGAGACTGAAAAAAGGGTTTAGGGAAGAGAAAAATTATTGAAGATATCACCACAAGTCCACAACAATGGACATCGTAGTTTACTCGACAGCTAAAAAACCCCCAACAATGGACATTGTAATTGTAGTTTAATGTCTTAACAAAAAGTTGTTCTTCACAAACACAAATGAGAAACTAATCAATCAACTTCAAGATAAAAAGAGAGGTACAATCAATCAACTTCAGATACTCACCGTTTTGCTTTTTTCCTCTACTTTTGTTTCCTATTTTTTTCTCTTAAATCATTAATTAAAAAATTATACATTTTGTATTCGTCATAAATGTCTTGTGTTTTGTTCTGTACACAACTAAGATGATATCGTCATACCGATATTAAAAGAAAAAAAAGGATTCGTAGACAGTTCTTCTAGTCTTTCGAGTTCAAGCTCAAACAACAACAAAATTAATATTCAAAACAACATTAAAGAAAAAAAAGTATGGAGTGACCAAAGAGAAAAAAAAACCTCAAACATTTCTCTGTTTGTTCCGGCCAAAGCGGAAACCATTTCATCAAATGACGAACACAAGAACCTTAACATCTAATTTGTTTCCTCTCTGATACTTCAAAAGAAAAAATGTAAAGAGTTACAAGTTTCTCATTTTTTCTTTTTTGGGCTATAAATTTAACATAGTATCCTATTTCTTTCTAAATCAGGACAAAAAGTCTGATTTCTTTTTTTTTTGTTTTCTTTTTCCCTGTGGTTTCATGGGGATCTATAGGGATGAAGAAACAATGGCTACCGGACAAAACAGAACAACTTTGCCAGAGAATCTGAAGAAACACCTCGCGGTTTCAGTTCGAAACATTCAATGGAGTTATGGTATATTTTGGTCTATCTCTGCTTCTCAGTCTGGGTAAGTTTCATAATCATACTCCTTAGGAAAATAGATGTTTGAAAGATATATTGATGAGATAGCTATTGATTTTAATCTTATGAATTCACTTCAAAACTATATTTTTCTTCTTTCTTCTTCTTCTTCTAAGTTTCACTAGTCAAGTTCTTCACCTCAAGACAAGGTTCTCTAGGTTTTACTTGATTCGATTGATTTTTATTTTTGAGCGGTCTTAAACTCATCATACAAGGTTTCTTGGTCTTCTTTAAAAGTTAGATTTTATTTTTTCTTCTTCTTGAAGTTCTTGATTAGTTCAAGAAAATGTTCTGTTTGTATTCTTGATTCGATTTTTGAATTTTGTTTTTGTTTTTTAAATTAAAAGAGTATTAGAATGGGGAGATGGATATTATAATGGAGATATCAAAACGAGGAAGACGATTCAAGCTTCGGAGATCAAAGCTGATCAGCTTGGTCTACGGAGGAGCGAGCAACTTAGCGAGCTTTACGAGTCCCTTTCTGTCGCTGAATCTTCTTCCTCCGGCGCAGCCGCCGGATCTCAAGTAACTAGACGAGCTTCCGCCGCCGCACTTTCACCGGAAGATCTAGCCGACACCGAGTGGTACTATTTGGTTTGTATGTCTTTCGTCTTCAACATTGGTGAAGGGTAATTCCGTCTTTTCCTATTTCAGCATTGACATTTATTATGTGTCTGATGGTATTGATCTTTGCCAGTTTTAAACAAAATGACAAAATATACTTTTAATACAAGTAGGTCCAAGGATTTCGACTTTTATGGTTCAGTTTAGGTTTGTTAGATTTCAGGGTTTGGCAGAAAAAAAGTGTGAGCTAGAACCAATTTTTTAGTTTCAGTTTGGTTTTCAAATTTAATGTTCGGATTTGGTCGGTTTCAGATTAAAAAAAGAAAAAGTTAAAAACATAATTAATTTTAAATAAGATCTAATCAAATTTTGATTCATTGGGTTTGGTTGTTTAGTTCGGTTTATCATAATACAAAGTTTGTTTCTGTCTGGATTAATAATATAAACTTGGTTTCATTTTGGTCTTTATGCACACACCTAACTTTAGACAATTATTATGAAAATGTTAGGAAGAAAAATGTAGGAAAAGATTAGAATGCATTGGTGCTTTCTAAATATTAACCTGTTGTTTTGGCAGAATGCCTGGACGGACGTTTGCGAACGGTGAACCGATATGGTTGTGCAACGCTCATACGGCGGATAGTAAAGTCTTTAGCCGCTCTCTTCTAGCAAAAGTAAGTTGTATTAATGTAGTTACTATTCAACATTTTTTTTTGCAATTCGAAACGCTAAAATCGTTTGCGTTTTGTGATGGTTTAGAGTGCTTCGGTTAAGACAGTGGTTTGCTTCCCGTTTCTTGGAGGAGTCGTTGAGATTGGTACCACCGAACATGTAAGCCAATATTTATGTTTTCTGTCTCGAATGTTTAGAACATTCAAGGTATTATTGTTTAAGGCTTTTCTTGGTGTGTTTCGTCTCGTAGATTACAGAAGACATGAACGTAATACAATGCGTGAAGACATCATTCCTTGAAGCCCCTGATCCTTACGCTACAATATTACCAACAAGATCCGATTATCACATGGACAACGTTCTCGATCCGCAACAGATTCTAGGCGACGAGATTTACGCGCCTATGTTCAGTTCGGAGCCTTTTCCAACAGCTTCTCCGAGCAGGACTACCAACGGTTTTGATCCGGAACATGAACAAGTAGCAGAAGATCATGATTCGTTCATGACCGAAAGAATCACTGGAGGAGCTTCTCAGGTGCAAAGCTGGCAGCTTATGGACGACGAGCTTAGTAACTGCGTTCACCAGTCGCTTAATTCCAGCGATTGCGTCTCTCAAACGTTTGTTGAAGGGGCGGGTGGACGGGTTTCTTACGGTGCAAGAAAGAGTAGGGTTCAAAGACTAGGGCAAATTCAAGAGCAGCAAAGAAATGTGAAGACGTTGTCATTTGATCCAAAAAACGACGACGTTCATTACCAAAGTGTGATCTCCACGATTTTTAAGACCAACCATCAGTTAATTCTCGGACCGCAGTTTCGAAACTGCGATAAGCAGTCAAGCTTCACGAGGTGGAAGAAATCATCGTCATCATCATCAGGAACCGCCACGGTCACTGCACCATCTCAAGGAATGTTAAAGAAAATTATTTTCGAAGTTCCGCGAGTGCACCAGAAAGAGAAGTTAATGTTGGACTCACCAGAGGCCAGAGATGAAACCGGGAACCACGCGGTTTTAGAGAAGAAACGGCGCGAGAAATTGAACGAACGGTTCATGATTTTGAGATCAATCATTCCTTCAATCAACAAGGTATATATATATAACCGATTCTTCAAAATTTCAACTCCATATATATTGCGAGGAAACTAATCTTAGGTATAACATTTTCGATAGATCGATAAAGTATCGATTCTTGACGATACGATAGAGTATCTTCAAGAACTCGAGAGACGGGTTCAAGAACTAGAATCTTGCAGAGAATCAACCGATACAGAAACCCGTGGGACGATGACGATGAAGAGGAAGAAACCATGCGATGCAGGAGAAAGAACATCAGCTAATTGCACAAACAATGAAACCGGAAATGGGAAGAAAGTTTCGGTTAACAATGTTGGTGAAGCCGAGCCAGCAGATACCGGTTTTACCGGTTTAACCGATAATTTAAGGATTGGTTCGTTCGGTAATGAGGTGGTTATTGAGCTTAGATGTGCTTGGAGAGAAGGAGTATTGCTTGAGATAATGGATGTGATTAGTGATCTCAACTTGGATTCTCATTCGGTTCAATCCTCGACCGGAGACGGTTTGCTCTGCTTAACCGTCAATTGCAAGGTATACTCTCTAACTTAATTTTTGCTTAACCGGGATTTGGTTATCCTAGATTGACATGAAATGTGTTGGTTTCAGCACAAGGGGTCAAAAATAGCGACACCAGGAATGATCAAAGAGGCACTTCAAAGGGTTGCATGGATCTGTTGAAGACTACTTAGTTAAAATTGACAGAAAAGGAAAAGAAATCCCGGTTTGGTTCCTATTCTTTGGTATTCTTCTAACCGGGTTTTAGGTATTCATGTAAAATCAAAACCTTATATTTTGTCTTGGTTTTTTAGTTGCTTAACGTAGGTGAAGAGGAACAAAAACTACGAGTATTTTGTTTGAGGTAGATTATTTTAAGGGTAATAGCAATAGCTAATTTAGATGATTTTGTGTTCTTAATCACTTTTTTAATATTCTTTTGTTTTTTTAAGCACAAGATTAATGTGAAACTATGAAAGAAAAAAAAACATGAACGTGAAAATGAAAATTAGTGGTCAAAAAGCTTCACACGAAACGGGAGAAGATTCTACATTTTGGCATTTTCAAGGAAAAAAAAGAGAGAGGTAAAAGTTTATGATAAGAAATCCAGATTAATTTCCTAACTGGCTCATAAGAGCATCTCCAATGGGGAGTTGTCTCCATGGAGCTCTCTCAATTTTTTAATAATAAATTTGTTGAAAATTTGAGATGAGAACTTTTGTTTTTTTTTTTAATTTTTCATACTCCAATGGTAGGTTCTCTAGTGAGGTTCTCTTAGGAAAAAAAAAATTATTAAAAATATTATTTCATAAAACTTAATAATTATTACAATTTATAAAAATATTAAACATACATTATTTCAAACATTTTTAAAAAGATATGCAAAAAAAAAAATTGGAATAACGATTAGTTTTACTCTCGATTGTTGCGAAAGTTTCGCCAGATATGCTCAACCAAGTCAGCTTTCAATTGTTGATGCATATCACGATCACGAACTTGATTTCGTCTGCCCATTATATTCGCGAGATTTGTAGGCATCGCTGTAGAATACGATAAATCGACTTGAGAAGTTTGGTTTGCTTCATCTTGTGTGAATTCCCGAAACTATGAACCCTAACTCTAACCCTTGTTCTAAAAATCGGTCGCCTAGCCGCCTAGGCGGCCGCCTAGGCGGCCGCCTAGGCGCTGATCGGAGGAGCACCGCGGCGATTTTGTCCAAATCGGTGAGAAAAATCGGAGATCCGATTTTTTGTCCGCCTGGACCGCCTAGGCGGCCGCCTAGCCCGCCTAGACGGCGCCTAGCCCAATTTTTTTTTTTTTTTTTTTTTTTTTTTTTTTACTTTTTTTTTTCATCTAAAATTCAAAACGTCCTACTTATGTTCGTAATTTGTATAAAAATCATAAATTTGAAATTAAAATCTTGTTTTCATGTGTTTAATACAATTTTAAAAACAATATTATATAAATTTCTTAATTATAATGGATTAATATGTTTTTAAAATATTAAATAGTCCTAAAACTAATCCCCGATTAATCCCCGTGTAATCCCCGATTTTCTTCCTAGGCGCTAGGCGCACCCTCACCGCCCGACTAGCGCCTAGCGATTTTTTGAACACGGACTCTAACAATCTATGACAAATTCGTCAACAATCATGGTTATTTACAACACAAAAAGCTTCCAAATTGCTTAATAAACAACAAATTGTCGCTAAAAACGAAGAACCCTAACTTACAAATCGAAACCCTAATTTTCTTCAAACACTAATTTCGATCGGGAACCACAAAATAAAACGAATCAAGTCACGATACACAGAGGAAAGGGTCTAGATTCATACCTGGAACAAGATATTGGACCATCCTTCAACGAATCTTTCTTCTCCATCGCCAATCTTCGATTCGGTTTGACTCCATTCGCCGATGGTCTTAACCGTCTATCCAGCTCATGATTCCGGCGGCAGGTAAGTCTCACATACCACGAAATCGGCTTCTATTCATCGGAAACTCACGGAAACGGTGTCGATTCGTCGGAAGATTTGATCGCCATCGAGAGAGATACTTCTGCGTTTTTTTGTTGTGTCGTGAGAGAGAAAAGAACAAAAAACGCGTGAGAGTTTTTTTTTTCCTTTTGGTAAAATGCTTCCTCCATTCAAGAAGCGACACGTGTCCGCCTCTCTGAAAATCTCAAATTCCTCTTAAGAGAAGCGATTCTCTTTGGTTTAATCAGTTTTGAATTATTTTTGATCAAAATAATCAAGAGAACTCATCTAAAAATTTGAGACAACCTCCCTTTGGAGGTGCTCTAAATGATTTCATTGAATAACATGGTGAAAATCAACAAAAATAAATGCTGTAATATCTTATTTTTACAAATTTAGAGGTGTTGACCAAATTACTTTCTAATTTGTTTTATTTAATTTTACCTATCTAGTCATGTCTTATTATGTTTTAGTTACCAGCTCATGTTATTCTTTTTGTTTTATATCAAGGATATTTCAAACCCAAACTCAAAATAATCTTCATAAATTAATAGAAAATCCGAGTACTCTTAGCATTTAAAATATTTTTATTAACAAAAATATTAAAACCATAGTATATAAAAACTTGAATCTTATTCCTTTAAATTCTAAGGTGAATTCTATACTATTTACTTTATAATTTGTGTAATAATATTAAATTTAGAAAAATGGGTAAACTTGATTATCAAGAAAAAAAACTCCAATTGGAAAGTTAAAATATTATTATTTAGAAGGTAGAACCAAAATTAATGACTAAAAATATTTTTTCATTGAATAAAATATACCTCATATGGAAAATATTTTTTCAGACAAAAACATAACTTCTTTCCTTTTTAACAGCAAAACCGAAAACATAAATTTGAAAGATATATGTCTGTATATAGAGTGTACATAGAATGATACAAACTGTGAGATCAGCCAAAACTCAAGAGAGAGAGAGAGATAGAGAATGGTGAAGATGGCCTGAAAATTCTTCTCTCCGGTAAGAACTTGCATTTATACGTTTTAATATATTTTTGACATCTTATTCTTAGATCTATGTCTATACTCTTTTTTGGATAATCGGAAAATCTTTAGCTGAAACTTAGACTAATTCCCATAGTGGCCGAACCTATGGAATAGTCGGATATTTTCCCCATCTATGTCTATACTTCTTAGTTCCTGAAAATGTAGTTTACAATAGTTTCTCTTTTGAATTAAGTCGAGATAATCGCAATACTAGTAGTCGGGTTTGGCTAATGCATTCTCTATTTACCTGTGTGACAGATAAATGTTTAATCTTATATTTATGGATATGTATATAAAGCTTAATATATATGATCCGTAATCTATTTCGATCCATCACAATAGACTTGTGTTGTTTATAATTATCCCTGTTGTGTTTTTCTTTTCTTGCAGCTGTATGAAAAATCTTTGAAAGAAAGCTGCAATCTGTAAGAACAGAGTGAAAAAAAAGACCGAATGGGAGATGAGCCAAGATTCAGTGAGAAATGGGATTTCAGAAGGAAAGAGAACGACTTTGAAGATTCTTCAAGCGATGATCCAGATTCAAACTCGACCCAGGATCCTATCATTCATAACCCAAATCTTGAGTCGAAACAGATGGATACGGGAACAAAAACTGTGACTATAGAACAACCTGTAAAAACACGGAAGAGGAGGAGCAAGAAAGATGAGACTAAGCCTGAGAAAGTTAAGCAAGTAAGGAGAAGGAAACCGAAAACTGTTTGTGTAGAGGAGAATAAGAAGAAAGAGGAAAAAACGGTAATGGGGATGGACGGTGTTGGAATGTTTATGGAGACGTTGCTTGATGATCTTACGGCTTCTAGAGAGCGTTTAATGGATTGGATGAAGACTGAATTGTGTGGAGCACCCCATGAAAATGTTGCGTCTCGTCCACCTCTGAAGAAGAGAGGGGTTGCTGCGGTAGCAACGCAGAGATCAGTGAAGAAGAGGATGACAAAGAAGAAGAAGGAAGATGTTGAGAAGATGAAGAAGAAGGAAGAAGAGGAGAAGAAGGAGAGTGAAAAACAGAGCAAACCGGGTGAGAGTGGTCTAGAGATATATATACCTGAAGAGAAAAGTTCAGAGATTGCTCACAACGGTCGAGATCTTGATTGTACTGCTGGACCGTTGGATATGTTTCTAGAAAGCGGTCAAGAGATGAATACACCTAAAGAGAAAAGTCCAGAGATTGCACAAAACGGTGGAGGTTTTGATTGTAATGGTGGACCGTTGGATAGGTTTCTTCAGAGCGGTCAAGGTGGTTTAGGCAGAAACTACTTTCAGCAACAACAAGTGGGTCAAGGAGCGCTTGTTGCGCAAACTGAGATGGATTATTCGAAGAACGAGACCGTGAAGAGCCAGAAAAGTATTGTTTTGGCCATTCAAGCTCCAAATCTGAGTAAGAAACTAAAGAAGACAAGCGAAGCTAATACCAACAAGAACAGATCATCAATGGTGGAGAGTACAGGACCTGAAATGCAGAAAGATCATAACTTTGTGACACCCTTTGCGTCACAACTGTCTTCATCATCATCGTTGCAGAGTTTTCCGGTACCTTCTTCGTTGTTTCCAAAAATGTCTTCACCATCACTGTTGCAGAGTTTTCCTGTACCTCCTCCGTTGTTTGCTTCTTCAAGCCAAGGGATTACTCCTTTAGCAAGTAACACCAACTTTCAAATGAGACAACCAGTAGCTCAGACTCCTGATCTTTCTGAATTTCAGACAGGAGTCACAGGAGGACAAGGATTTGAGAATTCTATGTTTCACAACAATGGTTACTTTTCTGGTTTTACGGCAGCTTTTCAGCCTAATCTGATGGCAGGTGGTTATAATTTTCCAGTACAACTGAATTCTGCGGCTTCTTCACAGCAGAGAGACGACAACAATATGTTCGGAGGTTTGATGATGGCAGGTGGAGCCATAAGATTTTCCGGTAACAGATTTCCCGAAGCCGAAGTCAGCAACTGTAATAACGGCCTCTCCGATTACAGAACTAGCTCTGGTAGATAAAGGCCTGTTCCATAGACAACAGCAACAGTGAATGATCTATTTGTTCCTTAATTAGATCGAAATATTTGACCGGATTTTTCTTCTAATAAAATACAAATGTCTTTATCCTCGCTAATTTTAGTGGAATTATAGATGTGTCTTTGTAACTCACCGTTTGAATCCGAATGGTGTTTCTGCAATTTGACATTTCCCCAAGCATGGTCATTTGCTTCTCTCTGCAGGTAATTGTATAAGGTCATGTCGCTAGAATACAAATATCAGCCTCGGTGTGACGACCCATGTAAGTCTTTACTATAAGATTATCAGAAATAAGAAATTCATGATTGGGGCAGCTTCATCAAGTATTGGGATTAAGATTCATTCATTCATTTTTTTTAAGACAATGTAAGTCGCTAACTAGTTTAGTTGGATTCGATTTTAACCAACTCGTGATTACCTCGAACCAACGTTTAATACTTGCTCATTAGATCGATATTCCACGACTAGGACTTTGCCAAACCTCAACAGACTGCTGATCCTTTCGGGTCACAAACATTCTATTTCCTCCAACGCCAAACCGGTTATCTTGTTTTCTCCGGAATCCGCTAATTTCCCAAACGAATTCTTCCTAAAAACCCTCTCTTCCGATACATCCCGGCTTGCATTCCCCACCAAACCCGTGATCACTTCAGACCAAAGCTCTATCCCACTTCCTTTACTACTGCAAAACACATGATTCCCATAGCTCTCTATCTTACACCCAACTCCTCTTCTCTCATTCAAGCTTCTCTTCTTCTCTTCCCCAAGACAAACCCATGGATCCTTAGTTCCTAATCTCCTCAAATCGGCATAGGAAACTTCCCCCGAAGTCACACCGACCTTAAACACCGCCGAGAGATTATCAGAGACAGTAACATCAGAGAAACAATCTTGTGTCTCCTTAATCTCCCAAACCATATTCCTTGACCTAACATCCCAAAACCTAATGTGACCATTGACACCAGAAGGACTAGTATGAGAACCAGAAACCATCAACAAATTACAACTCTGAATCCATCTCAACTTAGTTGATGGAATCGCAGAATCAATATCAGCACCATAGATCTCACAATGGTCAATCTCAGACACAGGTAACAAGCTCGATAGATCATACACCATAATCGAATTCGAGTTCCTTCTACTAGATTCAAAGCTAGCAAACAGAAACTCAGGAGAAGAACCTATGGCTTGTACCGTTGAGCTAGACCTAGCTACTTTTTCCCAATTCAGAGTCGTACGAACAAATCCGCCATTTTCGATATCGATGATTTGCAAACCTGGGAAATCGGTAGCTCCGGCAGCTAAAACTCCCGGAGAAATCTCTAGAAGAGAATCCACGGCGGAGAAATTCGTCAACACCGTCGATTTTTGCCTCAACGACCAATCAAACGAAGTGATTTTGCTACCGTGCGCCACGTGTAGTCCTCCGCCGATTAACGTCGGTGAGATAGCCGACGGAGAATCTCGACCGTTCAATTGAAGAATCCTAGATCTACGGAGATCGAACGGCTCGAATTGCGACGAATTCGAGAGTGAATCGATTAAGAAAGACTCGATTCCATAGTATCTAGATTCATCAATCAGATCTCGAACATCGAAGGCGCGTGATCTCGCAGGTAAGTTTCCGGTACGGAGGATATAAAGAAGAACAGAGAACAAATCGGGATCTCGATCGACGAAACGAGTTGACTCAGTGACGACGAGTTGAGATAGAAGAGAATCGGTTCCGGCTAGGGTTAAGGTTTGTTTCGTTGTTTGAAAGATTCGGCCTCCGACGTTGATGGAAACAACGTTCGATTCATGAGGGATCGTCGGAAAATTCATACGAGCAAATCAGAAGACCTTCTTCGCTTTGTTTTTTTTTTTTTTTTGTTGCAGAAGATAAAATGAAAAAACAGAGAAGAGTTTTAATACGACCAAGATGATATTTTGACCGTTAGCTCTCTCCTTGATAGGATATTTGGTGCCACGTGAGCTTTTGCTTTGAAATATGAATTTCTAAAACTAAAATCACACAAAAGTTTGATCTCCAAATTGCTTCAACTATATTAACTCCAAATTTTGATCTCTCTGGTAGAAAAGTATTATTAATTAAGACGATGGTGTCATGGTGAATCCTCCGTCCTGGCTGGAAGAGTATGTAGTGGCTTTTCCATTGGTCATTTTTGTACTCATCTTCATCGTAGGTTTCATCATACAACTCTGCAACAATATATTCAAGTGTATTCCACCACCACCTCCTACGGAATCAGCTCTTAATACTCACCAAAACCCACTTCCTTCTCTGCCTCAACAAGACATTGAGTCCGGACATCTAACGCCACCTCAGTCTCAACAAGACATCAAAACCGGATATATGAGTCGGATCAAGGAAATGGAGTTTAAAGATATCATCAAAGAAGAAGGATTTGGTGATGAGATTTGTTGTTCAATTTGTCTTGAAGAGTTTGAAGATGGCCATGCCATTGTCCGTATAAACAAGTGTAGACATGTTTTTCATCGTTTTTGTATTGTTTCTTGGCTGAAACAGAAACGAACCTGCCCGAATTGTCGATGTTTTTGAATAGGGTTTATTTTTATATGATTTAATCCCATTAGTTGTATTTATGTCACAACTGTTTTAGTTTCCGAATTTAATTTTAGCAATATAGGGAACTATGATTTTGATTTATTTGGATGCTTTCAAATCTTACTAGATCCAATTAAACATGATTTTGGTATATTATTGTCTTAGGGTGAATGTTCAAGGTTATCTTTGAGAATTAAAAATCAAATAATGTTGAAAATTTTGGCTATTGAGACGGATTTGTATTTTTTTTGGTATGCAGAGGGGAGACAAATGCCTCCCCCAATTTATTAAATAAAAGCTAAAAAATAAAACTACAACCGAACATTACGCGGGAACGAAAGCCCATTAGTATCCTCAAATCGAATCGAGTCCAAAACAGGCGGACAAGAATCAAAACTATGAAATCCTAAAGGCAAAGAAAAAACATGGTTAGCTAACCCAACGGCAAGACGGTTACCTCCCTGTAAACGTGAGAAATCCGGACTATGATTCAAATTGTAAAAAGTAAAAGATGTTAGAGAGAAAAAGAAAAGCCTTCATGAAAAGAAATTACCGAATCAATAACCGGTTTAAACCGGTAAGACCCACTTATTTGAAATCGGAAAGACTAACAATTCGGTTCGGTCTAATAATGTACACAAACGTCCGGTCCGATAAATTAAACAGGTGAACAAGCACAAAGGGAGAGATAGATTTCACAGTTCAGTTATAAGCATAAATAATTCATGATCATATACATAAAACAAGTCCCCTACCAAAGCTGGTTCAAGGATCTGGTTTGCCTGCAATTGCAACATCATCATCATCATCATCTTCATCATCTGAGCCGTATTCTTCTTCACTTAGTTCTTCATCGCTAGACTTATCTTCTGATCCTTCCCCTGGCTTTGCATACTTCTCACAGTATTCTGAAACAGCAAAACCCAACAAAATAACCATCAAACTTCCTCAAAATGTCCCCAAAAAACCCCTAATCACAACATTACAATACCCTGTAAACGCCTAACGGTTAAACCTATGGTTAAGTCTTTACAATGATATCGTTATGCACCTCTTTTGTTAAATGTTTCTAAACTTTAAAATGATCAGAAACTTTATCTTCATCATGAGAGTCTAATGAGTAAATCAACTTACGGGTTTATAACGTATAATCACTAGCAGATCATTACATTAGCTCCAAGATTTACGAAAATTCATTCTTACGTTAACCAAACAAAAGCTATAATTCGTTAGAACAAAAAGAAACACGAATGAGTGAGAGGAACATTTAGCGTTGGGAATGGTAATCTCAAAAACGCACACGTTAAGAACAGGTTCAAGACACAAACTATTCTCAGTATTCTAAAATCTGTATACCTCACATCAAACAAATGAAAAAAAACTTCAAGAAACTAACAGATTTTTCAGAACCTTGACATATCTTTTTAACACGAGAATCTGATTCGACTTACCTTTAACTCGTTGCTCATAAGCAGGACGATCACGCATCATTAATGCAGCAGCTTCTCCATTCAATGGATCTGATGGGTTTGGATACAGAAGAAGCTGAGGAAGAAATGTCTCAAACACATTCACAAGGTCTGAAAATAAAACATAAAGTTAAATCAAATCTTCAACACAAGAACAATCATTTGATCCAAAATTTTCAAAATCAACCCTTACCGAACATAGGACTCCAAGTTTGGTTAATCACATCTAAACAAACAGAACCCGACCTGCGTAAACAAAAGATAAAAATCAAGCAGATTCCAATAAATTGATCCAAAACATCTACTGATTGAATTTAAAAAACTCACAGTTCATCAACATTAGGGTGATAAATTTTAGTAATGAAACCAACAGATGGAGATTTGTAAGGATAAGCATCTGGAAGCTCAACTCTTATCTTCCACACACCTCCTTGATAGAGACCTATCACCAACACACATTAAACCCGCAAATATAGAATAATACTTTTACAACATTTCTTCACAACTAACACCGAGTATCCGAAATGGACTTCGCCGAAGCGCCTAACTAATCCCGGGGTGAATAAACTCACAAGCCCACCACGAGTAAAGTACTCATACCATAGCCAAAAGTGACCAAGTAAGTAAACTACACACACAGTGTGTAAAACACGGTGGAATCGAACCGCAGTAGATCCGAATCCACCGTGCCACCACCAATAATGGATTCATAGTTATGCAGAAATATGAACAAAAAATCTAAGAGACCCATCAATAATTGCAAAAACCCTATCATCATTTTCATAAGTAAGAGATTCAAAAGCACACACTAGTGACTGATTAAGACAAGAATCAACGAAACTGGTGATTAATCTCAGACAAGAGTAAATCAAAATTCAATCTTACTGTCTTTGGGTCCATTGAATTCAACATAGAATTCTTGCATGCCATCGTTGATCGTTTCCACTTTATAATCGCTCATCATCCTGAAAAAAATAAGATCAAATCAAATCAAACAAAAAACTCAAATCAAAAGTAACAAAATTAGGATGAACCCGACACAAAAATTAGAAAGTTTTTTTTTATTACAGCTTCATCATATCCATTTCTCTGCGTTTGCTTGGCGAAGACATTTTTTTTTCTCTCTGTGTCTAGGTTTGCTTATGTTTCTCTGATTTTCTGGGTTTTTTTTTTTTGGTTTTTGTTCTTCTTCCGGATTCGAGTGGAGATGAAATGAAATGTGTGAGAGAAAAAGGAAAGATTTTTGTTTATTTATTTTATTTAATATCTTCACGTACACCGATGATGGAGTTAACCGAAGAAGACCGTATCTCTAAATATATATATCGTTGTTGGAAATAAGAATCTTTTTTTTTTTTTTTTTTGGTCATCCGAAACTACTTAGAGCTCAAAAGAGTCATTCCTGGGGAATGTTGTTTACATATATGATATGAAGCGGTTCTGTACGAACTTTTCGTGCCAGATTATCCGCTTTAACATTAGCACTACGAGAAATTAAAGATAAAGAGAAAGTTGAGAACTCTTCCTTGTCGCTCTGAAATTCCTCCAAATACACTGAAAACGCCGGCCATTCGGTTGGAGAAGACACCATCTTCACCAGATCAGAACAGTCTGTAAAGAACGCCACCTCTTGATTATCTGCACCAATCATACACTTCATCGCCCAGAGAAGGGCCTCGACTTCTGTATGTAGTGGAGATAGACTTCTACGGAGGTTGGCAGCTCCTATGGTTGGCGGCTCTCCATTTGATGATGTACAGAACCATCCTGTACCGGAGAACTTATCACTTTCTTTCCACGATCCATCCACAAAACAACGGTATCCTGAAAAATTCGAGTCAAGTGAAACATCCCTCACTCGAGATCGAGTGACCAATTCCATAAAACCGTGATTTTCATTATGAAGCTCAATTTGAGCTGACTGCCACAATTGTGCCTCTTTTTCCGCTAACTGTAATACCTCTAACGGGTTTTTGTCTATATTTTCAAAGATTTTTTCATTCCTTGCTTTCCAAATATACCAGATGATCCATGGAAAAGCTGATGAATCGAACTCCGAAGGTATCCTCCAAAATAAGTGATCCAAATTCGCAAAAATAGATTCTGTGGGAAAATTTCCCATAGCCGTTGGAATCTGTGAAAGCGCCCAAATCTGTCGTGCCGGGTGGCACTGAAAGAGTGTATGATTGATCGTTTCCTCTGATGCGCCACATCTAGCACATCCTGTGTCACAATCAATTCCTCTTTTCCGCAAATTTTCCGTAACCGGTACACAACCCGTTAAGATTTGCCACAAGAAATGGCGTATCTTAGGAGGACACTGCGCTTGCCAAGAGTATGCTTTTAGCGGTTTGATGTCTGGGCCAATAAAAAATAAATTGGTTTCCGACTTTTCTATCCGTGTGGTATGATATCCCGATTTGACTGTATATTTTCCGGATTTTGTAAAATGCCAACCTAGAGTATCTTCCTTAGTTGGCGCACCCACAGGTAGGGCACTTATTAGCGCGACATCTTCTGGATCAAAGATCGCCTGTAAGAGATCAATATTCCAAAAGTTCGACCGACTATCTATAAGATTGTGAACTTTTAAAGATGGGTCAACAATTGAACCATTACTTTTTGCTGGTCTCGGGAATTGAGCTGGAATCCAGGGATCCTCCCACACTGAGATGGATGTCCCAGATCCGACTCTTTTAATAAGTCCTTTATTAACCAGAGATCTAGCTGAACATATACTCCGCCATCCATATGATGGGGCGTATGATTTTATATTTTCCAAAGGATTGGATTTCCGAAAATACCGTCCTTTAAAAACCTTCGCGAAAAGAGAATCTGGAACCGTAATCAACCGCCATAATTGTTTTGCTAATAAGGCTGAATTAAAATCGTCTACATTCCGAAATCCTAGTCCTCCTTCCGATTTACTATTACACAATTTATTCCATGACATCCAGTGCATACCTCTGGAATCACCATTTGAACTCCACCAGAAATTAGCAACCGCACTAGTAAGTTTAGAAGTGATTGTTTTTGGCAGTCTGAAGCACGACATAACATAAGTTGGTAATGCTGCCGCTACCGATTTAATCATCACTTCTTTCCCACCTTTCGATAAAAATTTTGCCGACCATCCGTTAATTCTTGTTTGTAATCTATCTCTAACAAAAGAGAAAATTTTTGTCTTGGAGCCACCTAAACTCTCCGGCAATCCGAGATAAGAACCCATACCACCAATATTAGTGATACCCAAGGTAGATTTGATTTCTTCCTTGATATCATCATCTACCTTATGTCCAAACTGAATCGAAGATTTTAAAAAATTAATCTGCTGTCCCGAAACCGCTTCATACTTCTTTAAAATCTCCAAAATTACGCCACATTGTTCCTTGTTAGCCTTACAGAAAAATAAACTATCATCCGCAAATAACAAATGTGAAACCGAAGGGCTTGCATTTGCTACTTTGATACCCGTAATTAATTTTTCACGTTCTGCTTTCCGAATATTCGCAATTAGCACTTCTGTGCAGAGGATGAATAGATAAGGCGAGAGCGGATCTCCTTGTCGTAATCCCCTCTCTGGTACTATTAGTCCTCTAGGTTGTCCATTAAGGAGAACTCTATATTGGACAGTTGTAAGGAAATAAGAATCTCTCTAGTATAAATTTTGTGATTTTTTTGGCTTTTCAAATTACTTTCTCCCTAAGTTTTTTTTTTAATTACTTTCTCCCAAATTTAGATCAGAATTTAGATTATTGTTTTTGAAATCTAGAATTTTTTCTAATAATTATTATATTTTGGAAAAGTGTTTTTAATCAAATGGTTATTAAGGCGATAAAAAAAAAATCAAATGGTTATTAACTTACCTTTAACTCGTTGCTCATATACGTACCTAAAATATCTGTAAGTTTAGTGTTTATAGAATGTTCATTGGTGTTTTAAGTAATTAGTGTGTTCTTTTTTAAAAGCAAGTGCTCTTTTTTTATTACATAACTAGATCATCACCCGTACTGTAGTACAGGTTTAATTTCATTTAATACAAAATTTATAAATTTTATGTTTTAGAATAAAGTTGTGATATATTATAATAGTAAGTGAAAAAATAATATTTTTTTGTCAGTCCCTATATATAATATTAGAATGAATATATTTTCCTTTTTCTATAGTATTCAATTATGAATATTTTTTTTAAGATATGAAAACGGAAAATAAGATTATTTAAAAAAAAAATTAATATTGTTTGAACAATGAGTTAATTTATGTTAACAACCACAAAATGAGAGTGCATATAATTTAGTTAGATCAAAAATCAAAATATCATAAATGAATCGCATCTAAAACGTAGATTATTTTGAATTACTTAAGAAAATTAGCTATTATTTTGAATTAATTTAGGAAATTATTTTTTCAAATTCTGATTCATTGGTTGTTGAAATAGAGATTTGTTTGAGCTAATTACGGAATTTACCAACTATTCACATGATCAAATATGTTATGAACATATATTTGGTATATAATAATACCAAATTCAATCCGTGTGTGGAGTCTATATTTTCATTTTACAATCCGTATGAAAATATTGCGGCACAATCTATTATTTATTATTTTCAAAATTGCTTGCGGAATCAAATTTTCAAATATTTAGAAGTGTCAAACCTTATTTAACTCATCTCATCATAAAATCTTAAAATGTCGTCTGTTATAAGGATCATAACTTTCTACCATATAATACATTACATTTAACCCGTCGCCTACTATAAATATTTTAAACATATCGTTTTAGAAAATCAAATTAATGTATTTATAATTTTTTTTTATCTTTTTAATCTATTAAATATTTATGATATTCTTTAATATTAAATATTTATGATATTCTTTAATAGATTAAATTAAACTATTTTAAAATGTTCCAAATTAAAATCTTTAAAAAAATTTATTGTATTATGTAAAATTACTAGAATATGACCCGCGGTACACCGCGGGTTAATTATTTGATTTTTTTTTATCTTTTTATTTGTTGTGTATAATATTTTTTGTAGTATAACGCGGGTTACATGCGTTGTAACTAAAAAATAAAAATTTAAGTTTTATTTGTTTTGTTTTATTTAGTGTTTAAGATTGTATAATTATATTTTGATTTATTAATTTTAGGATTTCACCGTGGTATATTATCCCGTATTAATATCGATCCAAACCCGTCTCACCATATAATCTCGTCTGGTGAAATTAAACATCATTTTGTTATTTTTTTTTAATAACACTTTTATTTAAAAGACATATAATTTGAATCAATTTAAAAGTTTGCTTTCAAATGGTTTTCATAATATATATATTTTTAAATTAGCGTGTGTTTTTAGACCAATCCGTAAAAAAATTTACAATTGTATCTTAAAATACTAAATAATTGTATTTTGATTTCTTTATTTTAGGATTTCACCCGTGGTATACTGTCCCATTTTTTATAATTGTAGAAATTAAGGAAATATCCGAATGACTCAATTTCAAGTCAGAAGAAAAAAAAAACGACTGGATTAAATGCGCAATTTGTTCTTTAAAAATGTTACTATAGATTACACACATATTTTTTTTCTTCATCGATTGAGTAATATATGTCCGTTTTAAAAGATTTGAATCATAACATATGCAGAAAAAAATTTATTAACTATATATATTAATAACAAAAATAATATAAATATAAAATCAAATAAAAGTGAAATGAGAATCATATATTTATGTTTAAATTGGGTAGAGTGGTTTTAGGAAATTAGCTCAAATTTGTTATATTAGCATTAAATCATCATATTTGATTTCCTTATCTGTAAAAATCGTAGAGAATATACCATGAACAAAGAGTTTAGATATAGTAATTAGTTGAGAAAATATATATAATGTAGATTTTATTAAGTATTTTCGTTTTTAGTTTTTGCCATAATTTAAGGAAAGATCCGATTGAAGATTTCCGGGTCAAAATCAGAAAAAAAAACCCGACCCGATTAGAGGAGCAAATTTGTACTTCAAAAATGTTAAGTAGATTAGTGATTATAGTCCTAACTCCTAAGAATATTATTCGATATACGTACATTTTATTCGTTGTTTAATTGTGTTTCTTTCATTTTCTTATTTTTTAGAGAAATTGTTAAAAATGCCCATTTTTCAATACCCTTTTTCAAAAATACCCCCTTTGAGAGTCCATTTTTAAGTTTGCCCTCTTTTAATTTTTAATGACCATTTTACTCTTATTTGAAACAAAATTAGGTCCACAAAATACAAAATATTTTTTGGCGGGAAAAGTGATCCCGCAATTTTCCCGCCAAAACACTTGTAAAAACCTTTAAAATACCTTGTAAAATTTTCCCATAAAAATTTTTCCCGTCAAAAATTTTTTTTTGCGGGAAAAGTGATTCCGCAATTTTTTTGGCGAAAATTTTTGGCGGGAAAAATTTACAAGGTATTTTAAAGGTTTTACAGAGTATTTACAAGTGTTTTGTAAGGTTTTACAAAGTATTTTAAAAGGTTTTACAAGGTACTTATACCTTGTAAAACCTTATAAAAAAATTGTAAAACCTTATAACTCGTAAAACCTTATAAAATAGCTTGTAAAATCTTATAATATCTTATAAATACCTTATAAATACGTTGTAAAACCTTTTAAAATACATTGTAAAACCTTATAAATACCTTGTAAAAAACCTTTAAAATACCTTGTAAATTTTTCCCGCCAAAAAAATTGCGGAATCACTTTTCCGCAAAAAAAAAATTTTGGCGGGAAAAAATTTTACGGGAAAATTTTACAAGGTATTTTAAAGGTTTTACAAGTTTTTACAAGTGTTTTGGCGGGAAAAATTGTGGGATCACTTTTCCCGCCAAAAAATATTTTGTATTTTGTAGACCTAATTTTGTTATATTTCCTTATATATTTGTGATATCTTTTATTAAAAGAAGGGTAATTTAGTCATTTTGTACATAAAAAGGAGTATTTTTAAAAATGGACAGCCAAAGGAGGCATTTTTGAAAAGGAGTATTAAAAAAGGGGCATTTTTGTGAGTCTCCCTATTTTTTAAGGCTTGTGTTTCTCTGATATTGTTTTATTTTATTTATTTTTCATGTCCGATTACATTTTAAAAACATAAATCTGTACTGTAAAGTATTTATCTGGAAAAAATAAGGAAGAAAATATTTTTAAAATAAAAGTATTTTTCGATATACACTTTCCGATGATTCATTAAAATCAGCAACTATTCATTTGTCACAAGTGTGACTACAAAATATTTTTATTAAACAAAGCAATAGACTAATAGTGCATCCACATGTAACGGTATCATTTACTAGATAAGTCTCATATAATTTGACTTGCTTTAAGTAAGTAAAATGTACCACATCACATATATATTAAACTAATGAGACAATTAAACAAACAAACTTTCGAAAATGTTAAGAAAATAAGAAATCTAAAACATACACACTAGAAACAATTTTCATATTACAACACATAACAATAAAAAGAAAATAAATAAGCACTAAACCAAACTAAATCCGAACCGTAATAAACCAAATGCATACATAATAAACTCAATTTCAGTTTGATTACCATTTTTCTTAAACCCAAGAAAAAACTGAATCAAACCCAAATTGAAACCCCAGCTTTAAAACACTCCTAAAAGAACCTATAAACAAGAATTAACAAAATCAAAACATCTAGAAGAAAGTTTTTCATTTTTGTCTTTTTTTTTTTAATTATTCACAGAAGTGAATCTAAAGCACAAACTCTAATTCTTAATCTCCTTTTTTTTTGTAGACGACTTGAAACGTCTGTACACAAACATATGTATATCAACACTGATATGTTTCGTAAATTCAGCTTTGTGAATCAGCTATTAGTGTATTCTTACCATTTTCTTTTTCTTTTAAGTTTCTTCTCCTTCTCTCTAATTTCTTTGTTCGGATACAGAGAGAATTGAGCCTTCTAAGATGCAGTACTTGCGGGTTGCTAGTCGAGAGGAGAGTCGAATACCATTTCCTGCAGAACAAACGGATTCTCTCAGACATATCCCGGGAAGTACAACGAAATATGTAAACAAGCTGAACTGGAACTACTAGTTACGGTTTACTTAGAGATTAGAGTTTGTCGAGAGAACTGGATAAAAAGAATGTACCTTGTTGCAGACGGGGCAGGTTTCACTTCTCTCCATCCATTCTAGAATGCATGCAAGGTGAAAATGGTGATCACATTTGGCTACAAGTTTCGGGTTCTCGATATCATATTCTGAATCAAAAGCAAAGACAATATAATACATAACCCATTCTCGCAGTCATATAAGGTACGGTTATGTTTATGTCTTTGGGATGTGGGAAAGGCAAAAAACTTTTACCTTCCAAACATATGGGACAATCCTCCTCTTCCTCTATTGGTATAAAGACGGCTTTTGATAGCTTCGGGTCTATTTCTTCAGTAGATTCAAGATCAATCTCTGTTTGGATTTTGCAATCTGTCTCTTTATTTGAGCATGTAGTTGGAACCCCGAGAGTAATACCATCAACTGTTTCTTGAGCAGACTCGGTATTAGCAGAGTCCACTGAAACCTCTCTTATATCAACACAAGTAGCCTCTTCAGCACTGGCTGGTGTTTGAGGAACCCCTATAGCCACATCGAAAGGGATAGGCAGTGGCGGTGGTATATAAGCATCAGGAGATGATGTCTCTAAGTTTGTGTCTACTACTACAACACCAGTAGAGATTGCAGAGGAAGTCCTATTATGAGCGGAAGACAAAGGCACACGCTCTTCTGTTGCCCTTGGGTACTGCAAAATACAAGTCAGAAAGCAAGGTTTAACAAATTTGATCATACAATGGAAAACTCATTCCCATATGAATCGAAAGCCCGTTATGGCTTTTAACTCATATTACGTCCTGAAGCACATCAAGATTGAGTTATTTGCAGCCTAACTAAGCAAGAACACATTAAAAAAAGGCCAGGAAGTGGGAGAAGTATAACACTAACGTAGTAGTACGCAGGTCCATTATCTACATCAGCTCTTCGTGAAGAAGAACAACAACAGCAACCTCCCATCTCTTCTTTTTTTTTTATTTTCTGTTTTTATCACAACAACTACAAAAACCGAAGACTCTTCATCTATGCTAACCTACAAGAAATATGAAGAAACAAGAAACAAATTACATTTCGATATCCGTATGTGAATGAATATTCATCACATATAATGCAAGAAACTCAAACAAGCTTTATCGTTTTCGATATCAGTTTCAGCTGTCTACAAAAGTCTGATCAGATTCATCATATGCTACCAACAATAAAACCAAGAGAGCAGAACATCTACTCCAAAATTTTCAGCTACTAACAGTCCAAATTTACTCTCAATAATCATCAACAGTGTTGAGACTAAAAGCCTATGTGAATCTCCTACAATTCTTAATCTTTTTAGCACCATAAACACATAATTGCACTGAATTCAAATCAATTCTATACTAAACCCCAAAGCTAAAACAATTCAACTTCAACAGGTACACTAAATCCCAAAAAAAAACACACCAAAAAAAAGCTTCATTGAGCTAATCCGTAAAACCCTAAACCGAAACTTATCAAAGCAACAATAAACATCAGAATTCTCAGAATCTAGCATAGACACAAAGAAGAAAAACGGATCAAAAAAGTAGAAAAATAAAATCCACAGAATTTCACACAAAAAATCAAGCTCAAAACCTAAAGAAAAACGATCACTAGCAAGATCAAAACACCAAACAAGAAACCGATCATCTTCTCAAGATTGAATCAGAGAAGAGAAATTGAAAATCTCAAAATCATAGAGAGAATTTTACTTTTTTTTTCTCGGAAGAAGCTTTTTGTTTTTGTTTTGTCTTCGTCCTTCTCTGCTTCTGTGCTTTTTGCGGTGCTGTTTATCGTGCGCTCTATCAAAATGACTTTCCTAAGAAATTAGAAGACTCTTTTTGCTGATATATTATATTTACTTACCTGATTTATAAATTCATTATTATTACAATTACTGGCAACTCTCTGAAATTACCTTTAAATGGTATAAATATATATTTAAAATTGGAAATAGAGAATTAAATCTAATTTTAATTTTATTTCTAATTATTTAGGTTAAATAAATATTTTTATATATTTGTGATATTATTGAGAAAATAAACTACTTCCAATATTTTTAGGAAAAAAACTTAATAGTATATTAACTATTTTGGAAATTTGTGTAGTATGTACTATACTTGTCTATAAAACTTGTTTTAGTGTTATATTGATGGAAATATTTCATTGCAAAATATTGTGAGAAAATAGTGTATTTCAACATGAACAGATTGTGCGTTTTTATACATCAATAAAGATACAATATTTTTAAATCTCAATGCTAAAATAATTCAAATGAACTATTTAAACTATTCGATTTGAGTGTAAAATTACGTTGACTTAAAAAAATTTAATCAACAGTTTTGAGGTGTTATTTTATTTTAACAAAACAATGTCGTTTTAGTCATTTGAATCCACAAATACCGTGAAAAATATCATATATGCATATAGAAGAATAACAAATTTAACTATCTAATCAACACAAAAATTTAATTGAAAAACGAAATTACGTTACTGAAATCGGCTGAAACATAGTTTGATGTGGACCAAAAGATTATGAATTGGAAATTACCATTGTTCTTTTTTTTTAACGTCTGGATTTATTATTTATTGCAAATTATGAGAACTGTTACATAGACGATTCTACAACGGACAATTCCTTCCGACCCTTATTAGATACACGACAGACGACACCTCCTTCATCTCCTTCTTCATGCTCACCTCCTTCACCTCCTTCTTCATGCTCTTGATGGATACTTCCCTCTCTGCGTAGAATCCTGACGAACGGCTATAATTGTACATCGCTGGAGATCTCCAGCACACTTGCCTCCAATAATCTGCAAATTAATTAATAAATCGCAGTATCTGGGACTCGAATCCCAGACCTCTGGGTGTAGAAGCATTAATTAACCAACCCTTGATCAACCAATGGGCCAAATGGGCTTCCAATGGACCTTGGAAATTACCATTGTTCATAAAAATAAACATATGTCTTGATGTTTAAAAATATGAATGGGCTCAACTTAAGAATAAGAAAGCCCATTTAAAAGAAGCCTATTAAAAAGCCCATATTTGTCTGTAACTGCAGCCTTTATATATGAATCGTGTTCGTATATTTCTGCTTAACAATTTTCTTCCTCCGTTTCAAAGGAGTCACCGACTCGATACAGAAATCCGAATCCGCCGGAGACGCAGCGAATACCTTACAACGGATAATTTTCACGACGCCGGTTGTCTTCCCTCCGTCGTACATACAATTTAGGTCATCTGCGAAGTCACGAATTGAAAATACAAGAGACAATATCTAAAATCGATTCGATTAAGAGGAGCGAAACAGAAGAAGATCAATATGGGAAACGGTAATGGTCTCTCGACTCTCGATCTTACTGAGTTTTGATTAGTTTATCGAATTATCCGGCGAATAAGAGTATGCCAATACCTGGGAAATTTTTGATGTTTAGGTGAAAGAGGACGAGCGACGAAGAAGATGAAGTACGGTGGGAAGGTTCGTGTTGATTCTTCTCCAGATGAGTTTTTTTATTAGGGCTCTTCAATGCCTAGTTAGTGTGTAATTGTACTGTAAAAATCTCAGGATGATCAAAAGATGAAGAACATCCAAAACGTTGAAGATTACTATGACGAAGCTGATGAGGATTCTCGTGATGGTATATTGATTAATCTCGCAAAATTACATAGATACATTGGGAAAAAAATTGAATTGAAAGTATAATGGTTTTTAAAGGTGAAGGAGAGGAGAAGAAGAGAGATTTTACTGAATTAGAGTTGAAGCCAGATCATGGAAATAGGCCTTTGTGGGCTTGTGCTGATGGAAGGATTTTCTTGGAGACGTTTTCTCCTCTCTATAAACAAGCTTATGATTTTCTTATCGCCATTGCTGAACCCGTTTGCAGGTGCTCATAATATTTTTTTTGAAAGATTTCGATTTTGTTTTGATTATAACAATGTACAAGTTATGATTGTGGATTGATTTTTATTCATTGGTTACTATTTCAGGCCTGAGTCAATGCACGAGTATAGTTTAACCCCACACTCGTTGTATGCTGCTGTTTCCGTTGGTCTTGAGACAGAAACTATCATCTCTGTTTTGAATAAGCTGTCTAAGACTAAGCTACCCAATGAGATCATTGATTTCATCCATGCTTCTACTGCTAATTATGGGAAAGTGAAGCTCGTTTTGAAGAAGAATCGGTATTTTATTGAATCCCCATTCACGGAGGTAAGTTCACCAGGCTGTGTATTGGATATTTGTTTAGTTTCTCTGTTGGCTTTGCTCACTCGTTAAGGATAAACAATCTCAGGTGTTGAAAAGGCTTCTCAGTGATGATACTATAAATCGAGCTAGACTTTCTTCTGAGGTATGTTGAACTCTGCCATTTATTGCATTATGTTCGCTATTCTTGGATGGAAATACATTCCATGATCTGTTGTTCTCAACGGTTTTTGCATCTTTTGTTGACAATGTGGCAGAGATATATATCCTGATTCTCCAAAGCTTTTGGTTTCCTGTTTAAATTATTAAGCTCTCTTGGCTATTTAATAGATAGATGAAGTCATTAATTATTCTTCTCCTTAAACTGCTCGATTCATTGAATGTGGAATTCATATCTCTTATAAACTTATACCATTGTATTCTCCACAGTATGTTGAACCAACTTATTAAATTTTTTTGCTAGCCATATTATGGTGGTGATGGATTTACGATCGGCAAAACAAGTGGTGAACTTGAAGCAGGACCTGGGGAGCTGTTGAATGAAGCAGAATTGGCAGCAGCAGCGGAAGAAAAAGAAACTCACTCATTTGAGGTAGACCCTGCACAGGTAAGTTTCTCGGAATGATTCTTAAAAGTAATCGTATTGCTGAGTTTGGTAACGTTGTATGATCTTTACTTAACTTGCGGTGTCATGTTCTTTGCTCTTGGTGTTTAGGTGGAAAATGTGAAGCAGCGTTGCTTACCAAATGCCTTGAATTACCCTATGTTAGAGGAATATGACTTCAGGAACGACAATGTGAGTAACAAATATTACACTTCAGGCCAAGTTTTTGCTTACCAGATGATATGCACTGCAGGTTTGTGATTGTTAATAACTTGATGGTTTCTGTCAGGTTAATCCTGATCTTGACATGGAGCTGAAGCCCCATGCACAACCAAGGCCATACCAGGAAAAAAGTTTGAGCAAAATGTTTGGAAACGGTAATATGATATAAATGTCTACGCCACATTTTTTTTCCTTAGTTATTTGTTTACAGCGACTGCTAAATTGATAGTGAACTTCTCTTAGATATTTAGATTTGTACTTTCATACAGTGTTCTGATCTAGCTTCATTGTGAACTCCTAATAGATAAGTATCTTTTTTAATTTCTCCTCAAAGATTGTGACTGATCTAGAATATTGATTCTGCAGGACGAGCAAGATCTGGAATTATAGTGTTGCCTTGTGGTGCTGGTAAATCTCTAGTTGGTGTTTCTGCAGCGGCTCGTATAAAGAAGAGTTGTCTTTGTTTGGCAACGAATGCTGTCTCGGTGGATCAATGGGCCTACCAATTTAAGTTGTGGTCTACTATAAGAGATGACCAAATATGCCGTTTCACTTCTGATAGTAAAGAACGATTCCGTGGAAATGCTGGTGTTGTTGTGACAACCTATAATATGATTGCCTTTGGTGGTAAACGATCTGAAGAAGCAGAGAAGATTATAGAAGAAATGAGAAACAGAGAGTGGGGGTTGCTGCTTATGGACGAGGTAATCACATTGTTCTTAGTGTGATGTGCCTTTGAATTGAAGTTAGTGTTTGCTGGTAGATTACATTGTGGTTCATTTAGAAGGTATATCCAGTGTTAATGCGATATACAAATAACAAGTTTCCATTCAATGCATGACATTTTAAGAGTTATGTTTTTCGTAGGTGCATGTGGTTCCAGCTCATATGTTTAGGAAAGTTATCAGTATCACAAAATCTCATTGCAAGCTAGGACTTACAGGTAATTGAAAAGTTCATTTTCACATACCTTTTTATGTGTTATACTTTAGTTGCAGTAGCTAAGTCTCCTTTTTGGTCTTTTGTTCAGCCACCCTTGTGAGAGAAGACGAAAAGATTACAGATTTGAACTTCCTCATTGGCCCGAAACTATATGAAGCCAACTGGCTAGATTTAGTTAAAGGAGGCTTTATTGCAAATGTTCAGTGTGCTGAAGTATGGTGTCCTATGACCAAAGAGTTTTTTGCAGAATATCTGAAGAAAGAGAACTCCAAGAAAAAACAGGTTCATGATATAAGCTTTTTTCGCATTGTTCTTGTTTTCCTTGGCAATTTGGTGGAAAAATAAATCTTTAGAAAATTTACTATCTGATTTTATGTTTGTTTCTTTGATACACTAGAGTCCATGAATTTGATGTAGTCCAGAACCTTAAAATATGGTAAACATCAATACAATAGGTTCTTTGTGTGTGTCTAATAATTTGGCAAATGCTCTAATAGATAACCCTGTAATAGGAACTAGGAAACCTCTTCCATTGTTCTGACATTTACATATCTTGTCTTCTGGTATCTGCAGGCGCTTTATGTCATGAACCCTAACAAGTTCAGAGCCTGTGAATTTTTGATACGTTTCCATGAACAACAACGCGGGGATAAAATCATCGTCTTTGCAGACAATCTTTTTGCACTTACAGAGTATGCAATGAAACTCCGGAAACCGATGATTTATGGTGCAACCAGGTTCGTTAAAGAAGTTCTATTGAAAACACAGTTCTTTTTTTCACTTTTCACTCAATCTCCAATCTGATAATCCTCTCTGCACAATATGTAGCCATATCGAACGAACCAAAATTCTCGAGGCATTTAAAACCAGTAAAGACGTGAACACTGTCTTCCTGTCAAAGGTATTACATTGTTTCCTTCATTTTAGAAATCTGTCCATTCCATGTTTGTAAGGGAACTTAATTTCGGTTTGGTTTCTATGACTACAGGTTGGTGATAACTCTATAGATATCCCTGAAGCGAATGTGATTATCCAGATTTCGTCACATGCTGGTTCTAGACGTCAAGAGGCTCAACGTTTGGGTCGTATCCTTAGGGCTAAGGTGTGATTTTCAGTATTATAACTTATCACATTGTGTCTCTCCTAGTTCATCTTGTTGTTTCGATCCCAATACGTTTTATTTCTCCGTGATCAAAAACAGGGTAAACTTGAAGATAGAATGGCCGGTGGGAAAGAAGAGTACAATGCATTCTTCTACTCACTTGTTTCTACCGATACACAGGTAACTCACTAAATTGGCTGAAGTAGCCATAAAAACGGAAATTCATCAGACCCATGATCAGAACCAAAATATGTAATTCAATTCTAGTCCGGACTCGTTTCCAAAACACAAAAAAATATCTGCTTTAAATCGAACGGCTATGCTCGTGGCGAATGGCTGATGTAAGGATTGTGAATGTTGAAAATGCAGGAAATGTATTATTCAACGAAAAGACAGCAGTTTTTGATCGACCAAGGTTATAGCTTCAAGGTAATAACAAGCCTCCCACCTCCGGACGCGGGTTCAAGCTTGGGCTACCACAGTCAAGAAGAACAGTTGTCTCTTCTCGGAAAGGTGTTGAATGCTGGAGACGATTTGGTTGGTTTAGAGCAACTCGAAGAAGACACAGACGGAATGGCTCTACAAAAGGCGCGACGAAGCATGGGATCGATGAGTGCAATGTCCGGTGCAAAGGGAAGGGTCTACATGGAATACAACTCAGGCCGTCACAAATCCGGTCAACAGGTAAAGAAACCTAAAGATCCAGCCCAACGACACCAAATGTTCAGAAAACGTTATGGGTGAGACAAGAGAAGCTTTCAAGAGTTTTTTTTTTTTACTCATTTTCGGCTATTTGTTTTGAGTTCTAACTTTTGTGCAAATTTGTTTCAGCAAATGAAGAAACCTAAACGAAGACACCCTATCTTAAAAGACCGTTAACATTTGATATTTGTATTATTATGTGAATTGACTAATTGATCTTAGAAAGTTCTTTAATTTTTGAAAATCATTTTGTTATCGTCAATGTCAGCTGAACCAAAATTGAATTGAAAAGTTATAAGGGTTTGATCATACGAAACGTTTCACTCTACCTTTTGTTGATGCAAAATCATTTATAATTGTTTCCAAATCCATACTCTCCAAAACGTCTTTTTCAATACATAAAATTGCTAAACCGTTCAATCTTTCTTGAGACATTGATGATCTCAAATAATTTTTCAGCAATTTTAGCTTAGAGAAACTCCTTTCCGCTGATGCTACTCTCACGGGAGTGGATAGTAAAATTCGATAAGCAATAGCAGTATTTGGATAACAACCAATGGTTTTTACAAACTCTAAAGCCTCGATAGGTGTCATCGTTTCATCGGGTAAAGTCACCTGCAATATTCTTAACTCAGAAAAAAAACTCATCCAGATCAATATCCGATGAACCACTATGCGAAAATGTATTTTGAACAATGATTGCTGTTACGCTCGATGGGAAGATGACTTCTCGCTTGGACTTTACTCTTCTTAACTTCAAAACCGAGGTATCTACGCTGGCCTCAATTAGCTACACATGTTTCTTCTTGTACAAGAAAGTACATTGTTGCCAAATCTTCTTGTTTCTTTGCAGGGCACTTATAGAAATTATAAATACTACTAGCCACTTGTTCTACTTCGCTTTGGCTATTCTTTGCTTCTCTTCTTTCATTTGCATTTTGATTTATAGTATTCCGATTTGCAGGAATTAAAAATCTTTGAGAATAAGAAAGCCCATATTAAAGCCCATAACTTTTTGCATCTTTTGCTTTACATTCTCTTCCTTGACATTAAACCAGTTACAGACTCAGCCATACCCGAACCCGACACCGAATCCGATTCAAAATCCGCCGGCTTCGCCAAATAGCTTTCAACGGTAAATTTTCACGGCGCCGGTTGTCTTCCGTCTTTGGTCTTCTGAGAAATCGCGAATTGATAACATCAATTGGAAAAAACAAAAAAGAAGATCAAAATGGGAAACGGTATTAAGCTCGATCTTACTCATCTTTGCTTAGTGTTTATCGAATTATCCGGCCAAACAAAGTAAAGCACTGCGGGGAAATTTTGTTGTTTAGGTGAAAGAGGAAGACCCAGCAAGAAGATCAAGTATGGTGACAAGGTTCGTGTTGATTCTTCTTCAGCTGATTTTTTTTTTTTTTGCTTTTATATTATTTAGGGCTAAAAAAAATAATCTCAGGATGATCAAAAGATGAAGAACATCCAAAACGCTGAAGATTACTATGACGAAGATGATGAAGATTCTCGTGATGGTGAACTTACTCTCTCGCTGTATGGTAGCATAATTTATCATAATTGGAACTAAATTGGATTAGAAATTGTTTTGAAGGTGAAGGAGAGGAGAAGAAGAGAGATTTTACTAAACTGGAGTTGAAGCCAGATCATGTAAACAGGCCTTTGTGGGCTTGTGCTGATGGAAGGATTTTCTTGGAGACTTTTTCTCCTCTCTATAAACAAGCTTATGATTTTCTTATCGCCATTGCTGAACCCGTTTGCAGGCCTGAGTCAATGCACGAGTATAATTTAACCCCACACTCGTTGTATGCTGCTGTTTCCGTTGGTCTTGAGACAGAAACTATCATTTCTGTTTTGAATAAACTGTCTAAGACTAAGCTACCAAGGAGATGATTGAGTTCATCCATGCTTCTACTGCTAATTATGGGAAAGTGAAGCTTGTATTGAAGAAGAATCGGTATTTTATTGAGTCCCCATTCCCGGAGGTGATTTCACCATATGCTTATCCTCTGTCTCTGCTATTGTGTATTTGGATATTGGTTTTCGTTTTTCCATTGCTTTTGCTCAATTTTAGACACAAAACAATTTCAGGTATTGAAAAGGCTTCTCAGTGACGATGTTATTAACCGAGCTAGATTTTCTTCTGAGGTATGTTGAACTCCTCCATTTAGTGCTTTATGTTTACTTTCAAGATTTTATCCTGGATGGAAATCAATACCATGATTGGTTATTCTCAACGGGTTTTTGCATCTTTTGTCACCAATGTGGCAGAGATATATATATATCCTGATTCTCTCAGGTTCTTGGTTTCAGTTGGTAGATAATCTCTAATCCTTCTTCTTAAACTCATTGATTCATTGAATGTGGAATTCTTTAATCATATACCATTGTATTCTCCACAGTGTCAGTATGTCGAACCAACTTAGATTAACTTTTTTGGTAGCCATATTATGGCGGTGATGGATTCACTATTGGCAAAACAAGCGGTGAACTTGAAGCAGGACCCGGGGAGCTGTTGAATGAAGCAGAATTGGCAGCAGCAGCAGAAGAGAAAGAAACTCACTCATTTGAGATAGACCCTGCTCAGGTAAATTTCTCCTAATGCTTCTTAAAAGTAATCGAACTGATGAGTTTGGTAATGTTGTATGATCTTTACTTAACTTGCGGTGTCATGTTCTTTTGCTCTTGGTGTGTAGGTGGAGAATGTGAAGCAGCGTTGCTTACCAAATGCCTTGATTACCCTATGTTAGAGGAATATGACTTCAGGAACGACAATGTGAGTAACAAATATTACATTTCAGGGCCAATTTTTGCTTACCACATAATATGCACTGCAGGTTTGTGATTGTTAATAACTTGGTGGTGTCTGTCAGGTCAATCCCGATCTTGACATGGAACTGAGCCCCATGCACAACCGAGGCCATACCACGAAAAAAGTTTGAGCAAAATGTTTGGGAACGGTATAGCTCTCTGCATCCACATTTTTTTCCTTAGTAAATTTATCTTATGGAAACTGCTAAAATTGATGGTGAACTTCTCATAGATATGTATACTTGTACTTCCCCGTGAAAGCCGTGACTGATTTGCTTTATGGTGAACTCCTAATAGATAATTATCTTTGTAATTTCTTGAGAAATATTGTTGACTGATCTCGAATGTTGAATCTGCAGGACGAGAAGATCTGGGATTATAGTGTTGCCTTTGGTGCTGGTAAATCTCTAGTTGGTGTTCGGCAGCGGCTCGTATAAAGAAGAGTTGTCTTTGTTTGGCGACAAATGCTGTCTCGGTGGATCAGTGGGCCTTCCAGTTCAAGTTGTGGTCTACTATAAGAGATGACCAAATATGTCGTTTCACTTCTGATAGCAAAGAACGATTCCGTGGAAATGCTGGTGTTGTTGTGACGACCTATAATATGGTTGCCTTTAGTGGTAAACGATCTGAGGAATCAGAGAAGATTATAGAAGAAATGAGAAACAGAGAGTGGGGGTTGCTGCTCATGGACGAGGTAATCAAATAGTTCTTAATGTGATGTGTGTCCTTAAATTGAGTTAGTGTTTGCTGGTAGTTATTTTGCGGAAAAGTCATATGTGGTTCATTGAGAAGGTGTATCCCAGTGTTAAGCCCATGAATGCGATCTACAAACAACAAGTTTCTACTCTATGCATGACTTTTCAAGATTTATGTTTTTTTAGGTGCATGTGGTTCCGGCCCATATGTTTAGGAAAGTTATCAGTATCACAAAATCTCACTGCAAGCTAGGACTGACAGGTAATTTTAAGGGTTCATTTTCACATACCTTTATATGTGTTATACTTCCGTTGCAGAAGCTAAGTCTCTTTTTGGTCTTTTGTTCAGCCACCCTTGTGAGAGAAGACGAAAGGATTACAGATTTGAACTTCCTCATTGGCCCGAAACTATATGAAGCCAATTGGCTAGATTTAGTTAAAGGAGGCTTTATTGCAAATGTTCAATGTGCTGAAGTATGGTGTCCTATGACCAAAGAGTTTTTCGCAGAATATCTAAAGAAAGAGAACTCCAAGAAAAAACAGGTTCATGAATATAAGCTCTTTTTATTTTGCATTGTTCTCAGCAATTATCTGAAAAGAATATCTGAGATTGTTAGATATCTGATCTTTATGTTAGGTTCATCTGATACACTAGTCCATGAATATGATGTATTCTGGAACCTTGAAATGTAGTAAGCATCAATTTAGATTCTTTTAGTGCGTTTTTCTAATTTGGAAAATGCTCTATTAGAATCACCTGGGAACTGTCTACGGAATTGGAGCTAGTCAACCTTGACAGTTGTTCTGACATGAGAGTCTTTTGGTATCTGCAGGCACTTTATGTCATGAACCCTAACAAGTTCAGAGCCTGTGAGTTTCTGATTCGTTTCCATGAACAACAACGTGGGGAAAATCATTGTCTTTGCAGACAATCTTTTGCACTTACAGAGTATGCAATGAAACTCCGGAAACCGATGATTTATGGTGCAACCAGGTTCGCTAAAGAAGTTTCTTGAAAAACACATTTTTTCGTTTCACTCAGTTTCCAGTCTGATAATTCCTCTCTGCACATATGTAGCCATATCGAACGAACAAAAAATTCTCGAGGCGTTTAAAACCAGTAAAGACGTGAACACTGTCTTCCTGTCAAAGGTATTAACATTGTTTCCTTCATTGTAGAAATTTGTCCATTCCATGTTCGTTAGGGAACTTAATTTTCGGTTTGGTTTCTTTGACTACAGGTTGGTGATAACTCTATAGATATCCCTGAAGCTAATGTGATTATCCAGATTTCGTCACATGCTGGTTCTAGACGTCAAGAGGCTCAGCGTTTGGGTCGTATTCTTAGGGCTAAGGTTTGAATTTTAATATTATCACTCATCATTAAGTGTCTCTCCTAGTTTCTCATGTTGGTTGGATCAAATTTGTTTATATTTCTTCATATGATCAAAAACAGGGTAAACTTGAAGATAGAATGGCCGGTGGGAAAGAAGAGTACAATGCATTCTTCTACTCACTTGTTTCTACCGATACACAGGTAACTCACTAAATTGGCTGAAGTAGCCATAAAATGGAAATTCATCAGACCGAACCCGAATCAGAACCAAAATATAATTCAGTTCTAGTCCCGACTCGTTTCCAAAACACAAAAGAAAATCTGTTTTCCAAAACCTGAAACCTGAAATCCTGAACAGACACTCGTGTCTCTAATGAGTGGCTGATGTAAGGATTGTGATGCAGGAAATGTATTATTCGACGAAAAGACAACAGTTCCTGATCGACCAAGGTTACAGCTTTAAGGTAATAACAAGTCTCCCACCTCCGGACGCGGGTTCAAGCTTGAGCTACCACAGTCAAGAAGAACAGTTGTCTCTTCTCGGAAAGGTGTTGAATGCTGGAGACGATTTGGTTGGTTTAGAGCAACTCGAAGAAGACACAGACGGAATGGCTTTACAAAAGGCGAGACGAAGCATGGGATCGATGAGCTTAATGTCCGGTGCAAAAGGAATGGTCTACATGGAATACAACTCAGGCCGTCACAAATCCGGTCAACAATTCAAGAAACCGAAAGACCCAACCAAACGACACAATCTCTTCAAAAAACGTTACGTGTGAGACGAGAGAAGCTTTCAAGAGTTTATTTCACTCATTACGGCTATTTGCTTGGTGTTGTAACTTCAAATTTGTTTGAAAAGTAAGACTTCATAAAATATCAACATTTTCCCACAGTTTTTGTTGAAAGTATTTATGATGTACGTTGACATTGTTTAAATATGTAAGTGTATATTTCTATTTCGGGGCTAGTTTGCAATTGTAGAGGAAGTTGGTAGGATAATAATACCCCCCACAAACATGCACAACAACAAAAAAGTATAAAGATAAATGAGATAAAATGAATATCAAGGTTCGTCACACGTAAGAGGAATATTATTTGTTAATAATTCATTTTTTTCATTTCTATATGTATACCTTTTGCATTTTTATAATCTTATATTATTTGTTAATAATTCATTTTTTTCATTTCTATATGTATACCTTTTGTATTTTTATAATCTAAACCTACAAAGTTCTGTGTAGGTAGCATTTTGACCACTTTTTCAATTACATTTATTAAATTTGTGTCTACATTAAGTCCTGATTGTTTGATATTCTTTATCTATTTCTTTGACAAGCTTCATGATCACAAATCTTCAAATGCCAACTCCCATTGGTTGCAATTATAAAATACTCTATATTACTAATTGAAGCATCTTAAAATTTTACTAAACTAAATAGTATTATTTTTTATTGTGCACGGAATAAAAAATTTTCGTAACCAAATATACGGATATGCGGTTTATATTTTGGTATATATATAATGCTAAAACTATTTTATCTCTTATAAAAATAAATATTAGAAATTCAAGATATTTTAAATCCAAAACTAATATTGGGTTTTAATAAATGTGAATCATCATATATTTTTTTGTCAAAGAAATGCAAATCATCATATGCATGTATATGTTGAATATTTTTCAAAAATTTTGTAAATGAAATCATAAATAAACGTTGCATCTAGAAAAAGGACTATATAATATAATATATAGAGTTAGGAAATTTTAAGAATTTCTCTGATTAAAAAAGAGTCGATGTAATTTTCAATTTTGTTTGTTTGTGTCTCCTTATATCTCTCGTCAAGTGGAGCATAACAAAGAGAATAAGAAAAACAATTTTCCGTAAAGAAGGACCAGATTTGAGCTCAAATCATCATTGCTTCCTGTAAAGATGAGAACCTTATGCTCAAGGTAAAAACAGAGATGTTAACTAGAGTTAAAAGTAATTCATCTCTGGTTAAGTTAAACATTTCTGGGAGCACAAGGAGCTGGCCAATGAAGGACAATTTGTCTCGATGTGAATTCAAACTAAAGGAGCGTTTGTGGAGAATCCAAAGCGTGTAAAGAGAAGGGTCTTTTGGGGTTTTGGTGGCTACACTAGGTTTGAAGTTGTCTCTCATATATAAGCATATATGAAGACGTGAGATAGAGGTGAAGAAGCGGGAGAGCAGAGCACAATGTAGATCTATGGAGAGAGAGTGTAAGGGAGTTTTAGAAACAAGAAAGTGTAAGCTTTGGGTAGTTTCTTAAGTAGTCAAATGATGAGAGACAGTGAATCTAAGCTAGTGAAGAGCTTTAGACAATCACTTGTATCATTTGTAAACACCTTCTTCTTCATAGTGGAGTTGAGGATCTATCGATCCTAACCGGACGTAGCGGCTCGTTAATGCCGTGAACCGGGTTAACAAATCCTTTGTGTGCTCCTCTTCTTCCTTTCTCTTGCTATGTTTATTCTCTTCTTCTTCTTCTCCATTACATGCTCTGTTTGTGTATGTGTGTGATCTTATGTTCATGATGACAAAGCATGAAGCTTTGAGGTGTTGAGAGGTCAAAAACCTCTACAAGTGGTATCAGAGCACAGGTTCGTGCTTAAAGACTCAAGCTTTGCTCTGAATCTTCAGGTTCCGTGAGTAAGATTCAAGCTTTATGAGGAAGATGCAAGTTTTGTCGAAAAGGTCACACCTTTATCAAACAATGGCTTCGGGAAGTGCAGCTCTAGAGAAGAGAGATGGTTTGGAGATTATATCTCATAGAAGACGGAGTGTCTTGTCCATCTACGAAGAACTAGACCTGCTGGAAGCATTGAGAGTAGAAGATAGAAGAAGACAGAAGATTTCGATAGAAATCGGGGTATTTAGCAGAGGAAGCTTGTCGTGAGCTCTAGTAGTGTTCAGAGATCGACGACAAGGAGGTTGGAGAGATTCTCACCGGAGAAGGCTGTGTTCCGGCAAAGTGGCTCGAGTTTCCGATGACGTCGTGAAAGAGAAGACGGCGCCGTCACGAACAGAACGAGTCGGAGAAGAAGAAGCCTTGGGTTTCATTGTCAAGGAAGAAGACAAGCGCTGAGAGAGAATCGCGGAGCTGTGGTGACCATAAAGTCATCGGATATATGTTGGCCGGGAAATCATGTTACGGTGGTCGACGGGTGAAGGAAGAAGAAGTCAGGTCACGACAAACTCGTTTCTCTGTTAGGCCAAGATGGGCCTCCTCTCTTATTAGGAAATATTGGGCCAAAATATTTATTAATGCCCAAGAGGAAAAGAGGGATAAGGCACGTGACCACGTGTTATTTTATCCTCTTTATGCTTCTCTTCCGTTCAAGCTTCGAGACTGAAGCTCAAAGAGACAGTCACGACAGAAGCTCAAATCGCAAATTGAGGTTTTATTTGGGAGCGGTTTGGTTTGACCGTAAAGTCGAAAATGGAGCAGTTGCCGAAAATTCTCGTCGTCGGAAGAAGTGACGATTGAAGAAGAGCATTCTCGGAGCTGCAAATTAGCGAATTAATCGTGTGGAATGGAGCTTAAGTTGGCGTTGCGAAGCTCAGAGACATTCCGGTATATCCAAGTTTCTAATTTTCTGTAAAGAAATTGGAGGTTGCAATGAGTAAAGAACGACAACAGTCACAAGTATGTGTCTATGTTTACTCTTGATTGGAAAGGAAGGAATATAGTAAAATCATCGGGTGAAGTTTGATTAAGATCCTGGAAATTTGGAAGTCGGATTTCTTTGACTACAATCATTGGATTAGAATCATTCTTCTTTCTCAAGACTCAGAGTTTGGAGGTTTAAAGTCTTGTTCCACTGCTATTGCAAAGGGATAGAAAAGATTCAGTATTGGCCTTTTCTGGGAGTTTGAATCAGATTGGTATACTCTTTTACTGTTGAATCAGGTTGGTATTCAATTGTTGATGTGATCACAGCCTCGGAAACTCTTAAATTTCAAGGGACTAGGGGACGCCTTAGAAGCTTGAAATTTATGAGTATTGGGCTGTGGAGTATTGGTAAAAGGTTTTCTGGATTCAGTTTAAAGACAAGACTTCAGTGGTTGTTTGAGTTTTGAAGATGATTTGTTGTGTGGTTTGTCTCAGTGTCAAAGGTTAGATTCTAGTGAATCTGAGAATGGACAGATTGGTGGATTGTTAGTAAAAGCGTCTACCGGGTTATGTCAGCGGGTTACAAACGAGATTGTTGGGTCTGTAACAGTTGTTGAGGCAGTATTCACTTGTACAGAAAACTTTTCTGTAGATACAGTGGGTGAAACATACTTCTGGTGTAAGCCTAAGTGTGAGATGAAGAGTGTTTAGGTTCTTATACTACAAGAACATAAACTCTCGAAAAGATGGCAGCGACAAAGATTCATGTTTTGTGCAGATTTGTGTTTTGATATAGCACATGGTGGTTCTGTTGGAATGAATCTAAGAGCAAGGAGTTCTTATCTCGGGTGGAGCAACGTATTCTCAGTGGTTGTCTTGTGTGTGAATCAGATCTTCAAGCGACAAAGAAGTATCTGATGGTATGCATTTGGCTATAGTATTTTCTTGTGTCGAAAGTCTTCTTAGCCGAGAGGGTGTTAGACACCGGGAGGGTGTTTGGCATCAAGGGGTGTTAGGCGGCGTGTCCTGTTCGTTTGAACAGCGGTGCAAGACAAGTATATAGTGGAATTGGCTGCAGGAAGTACAAGATTTGATTTCTGGGATTGAGGTTTGGTTTGATGGTGTTTCAGCCTAAGTTGTTGCATTATCAGATTTTGTAGAATGCTCTAGAGATGACAAGGCTGCTGGAAATAGAGAAAGGTTCTTGGTGTTCTTTGGGTAAAAATGGATCAGTTGGAGTGACAGCAAGAAGAAAGAAGATGTGTCAATAGTTCTGACATGCTTTCTTAAGTAAGGAGCCATGGTTTAACATTCTGATGCAAAAGAACGTGGAAATAGATCAAAGATACAGTGAAGAGCGGTTTTAACTCGGATTGGTGAAGTTGAGCTATGTTTGCAGAGACATAGAAAACTTCTAAACGGTGTTATGTTCCAGGAGAAGAAATTGATTTTACATGAAGATGTTAAATTCAGGTGGAGCTATGTTTAGAAGAGGTCTCAAATCATATCAAGGTCTTAAATGACTTAAGAAGTGTATGTTAGCTCAAAAGAAATGAGTTTAAAGAGGTTGCTTAACTCACTGTTGGTTAAGGTTCATGGAAGTTCAGTTTACTACGAAGAAAGGAAAGCTAAGAACAGGTGGAAAATTTCAGAGCTGAGTAAGCAGAGATGAAGTTATTGAAGTGATTCAGTTAGATTCTCAGAAGAAGAAACAGGAAGAGGCAAGTGCAAGTGCTGCAGGAACTGTCTCAAGGCTACTCACTTCAAGAATGTGAAAGTGTCATGTATCTAGCTTGATAAATGACACATCTCAATGCTGGTGGTAATGGCTGAAAAGAAGCTCTAGAAGAAGGCAAATGCAGGAAGTTTAAATTGCATTTGGAAGACAATGACCAAGGAGTTTTGAGTTAATTGTCTACATCAGGAGAAGATCACATAAGTGTCTACTCGGGGAAATCACTTGCAGGTTAGTCAAGTGGATAATTTCAAGTATCAAAGAGTCATAAAGAAGAAGAAAGACTCTAGTTAGGGTCTGGTTAGTATTAATGACGATGGTACTAAGTTCCGGTGGAGGTTGCATGCAAGAAAATGCATTGCAGATTGAGATTGCAGCGGGAAATGCATCAAGGTTCTAGATTTGGTGTGGAAGGAGCTGTACATGGTTGTCTCAGGATTATCACAAGGAGTTGCTGATATGAGACATGTTAAAGGTTGCTGGTAGTGACTAAAATCTGCTGGTGATGAGTCTGTTTTAAC